TCCAAAATTACGCAGCAATCCCTTCCACCCAATTCAGCTCTTGCCTTGTTAGACTCAAATTTAAACAATAACCTTAAATGCAGAGAATTTGTATTTTCTCTATTATCAGTATCAATTTTTTTGTCTTGCTTTAGAACAACCAATTTTGCTTGCACTGAATTCTCCAACCCTTAGTCTCCTTTACCAACGCTGCAAACTGACACACATTTAAAATCTGGAGGAAGCTCTGCCGAACTCAGTGGCACTTTTTTCTGTGGGTTGCATATCTGATCGGATTCAGGATGCCTATCTAATCAGCCACACCAGCTGTGACTTGAAAAGATTTCTGTCTCTGCCACATGATGAGATTTCAATTACAAATGGCTACGCTCTTAAATAAAAGGTAAAGGTAAAAGGTAAAGGACCCCTGAATGGTTAAGTCCAGTCAAAGGCGACTATGGGGTTGCGGCGCTCATCTCGCTTTCAGGCCGAGGGAGCCGGCGTTTGTCCGCAGACAGCTTACCAGGTCATGTGGCCAGCATGACTAAACCACTTCTGGTGCAACGGAACACCGTGACAGAAACCAGAGCGCACAGAAATGCTGTTTACTTTCCCTCCACAACGGTACCTATTTATCTACTTGAACTGGCATGCTTTCGAACTTCTAGGTTGGCAGGAGCTGGGACGGAGCAACAGGAGCTCACCCTGTTGCAGGGATTCGAACTGCCAACCTTCTGACTGACAGGCCCAAGAGGCTCAGTGGTTTAGACCACAGCACCACTTGCATCCCTACGCTCTTAAATAAGGTTCACTTCACATTATTACAGGTACTTGTGGCATGGTGAATTGAGCTGCATAAGTAAGGTTACACCCTTTTTAGATTTAATTAGTCTGGAAAAACTACCACCACCTGGTTCTACAAATGCTGATCTGAACTCAGTGACACAGAGTGGGTTGTATTCATTATAGTACTAAGGAGAATGTACCACCAGCATAAGGATTTTCCTTGAATAATGAAATATTCTCCTTCTCACCCCCCTCCCGCCTCCTAAATATATTCTGGGGCTTCCCCCAAACCGCCCCCCCTGAACAGATATGGGGATGGCACAGGGGAGGAGTGTAAAATCCTGTTATGCTAGCACACATATTTTGCTGAATGACTGCAGTTTCCATGCCAACAACCCACTACTACATATGCCTGCGTGGGCTAAGCGTGACTTATTTCCTCGTAAGGGTAAATAAGTCTATATCTCAGGTTTTCTATCTTTCTTAAGATGTCTCCATTATTCCACAGAATACACCCAACATAAGAGCCTCCTGTAGACTCTGAATTTGCACAAATGTCTATGAATCAGGACACATTTCAGAGGCAACAATTAACTGCAGGTGGCATATTTGTTTATACAGGCAGAAGTTGATTAGCTGGCTGCTTATTCTATAAAGGCAAATAATGACAGACTATATTTAGCAAGTTGGAACGAGCAGAATAATGAAGCTCAAACATCTAGTTATAAAATAGTTTTCCAACACATGCTGAGATGACAGCTAGCTGGCATTTAGAACCATAACACTCAATCAGGAAGGCGGCAAAGTTTCCTGACATCAACAGTACATGGCTTTTGCCACATGGTGGTGCTTTGATCAAGGCTCTCTTTTGAATCAAAGAAAACCCATTTCAGCAGCTCTTCAGGGAGCAATCACATTTTTACATAGGACTAAAGCACTTCCTCCTCTTTTCTGTGTTCTGCAAGGGAATTTCTAAAAGTCCCTCTGGGTTTCTTCTATTTTTAAATCCATATGAAGAACAATATTCGCACTGGCAGACTGAACTGGTGACAGAAGTTGAATTGTAAAGCTCTCTAGATCCTTGATGATTTGCCATGCTGGCTGAGGCAGACTGGATTTGGAGCCCGGCAATATCTGGAAGGCCAGAGGTCCCCCACTCCTAGGCTGCAGCTGTTATTCTATCACCAAAGGCCTGGAGAACTTGGATTTCCAAGATTTCTGCAGTACAATTTCACCTACAGGAGGGACCTCATACTAAATGACATGGAGAAAGAACAATATTTTGAAGGAGAAATGTTTTACTGAAATCTGTGTCTTTGACATGTTGGGCTGGCAACATGATAAACTCCCATCTCCAATATTTTTTATCATGACCATTTTTAGGGCTTAAGCCTAACATCACTAGCTAAGTTAGTTAAGAGTGTGGTGCTGATAATGCCAAGGCTACAGGTTTGATTCTCGTATGCAGTGCCGGATTTACGTATACTGTATTATTATTCAGTTTTACAATATACATCTAAATTCGAACAATAATCATAATCATAAACATATAGGATTCCCTGAATCCTTTGACTTCCCTCCATGGGTTCCATTGTCAACCATTTTCTACTGCATCATATAATTTCTCATTTTTTTCTTAACAATTCATTTTTACCTTAGTTTTCGTTACAAGTGTTGTTATAATCCTGCCGAAGTTTTTAGTCCTTTACAGTGTTCTCTTAGGTAACTTATAAATTTCCCCCATTCCTTATTAAACTTTCTATCTTCTTGGTTTCTAATTTTCCTGGTCATTGTCGTCATTTTGGCATAGTCCATCGTCTTTTCAACTATTTTTCTTTGGTCGAGACTCTGGGCCATTAGTATCCACGCTGCTATCGTCGTATACATGAATAGTATGCTCCTTTGGTAGTGGTCAAGTTATTCTAACCCAGATATGGCCATACCTGGCCAACAGACAAAGCTAGTCACAGGGGTCACTAATGACAAATATGAATCCAGGTAACCTCCAGCTATTGACCTACCCCTTGAGAAGGAGTGAAGCACCTCCATCGTGCCCTCTGTCTCCAATGTGTATTATTGTGCTCATGTATCTGGAGTCAAAACTGCACCACCCACAGTAAAGGCATAGGCAGACTTGGGGTATCCCTAAGGTAACACTAGGTTTGCAGAAAAACCCTGTAGGAATAAATCCTATCAAGGAGGGGGGAAACCAAAACACCCCATAAGAACTCAATGACACAGAATGTTTAGGGGTGAAAGGGGGAGAGCAGAAGGGAGGGAGGGAAGGAGCGAGAGAGAGAGAGACTACAGAGATCTATATAAAGAGTCGAATGAATCATTTATTTGGTGATTTTCCTAGTTCACTTTGAAAAACAATTTTAAAATGCACTCAGGATGATAGAAGAGATATCCCCTCTCAGATAGCAACAGAGAAATCAAAGCATCAATATCCAATGAAACAGTTGCACTAGATCAGTGGTCAGCAAGCTTTTTCAGCAGGAGGCCGGTCCACTGTCCCTCAGACCTGGGGGGGGATGATGCAAGAGCACCACGAGCCCCGGTGGCTGCTTACCTGTGTCTTGGAGCAGCAGGGACTGGCGGTGGAGGGACAATGAGCGGCGCGCAAAAGGGCTCCAGAGAGGGGCTGCTTAAAATGGCGGCCACTCAAGTGCTTCTGCTGCTGGCACCAACAAAGCCCAGCCCTTTCCTCTTCTAGGCTGGGAAGTCAAGGAGGAGGAGGTAAAATCTGTTATGGTCAAATGGGCCCAAGACTTTGGCTACAACATCCCAATGACCGCCTGGGAAAATTTATGGAAGGTCAATATGAAATTTACTGCTTGTTACACCCTGAACAAAAACTTTATGAAGACGCAATTCCGATGGTACCTGACTCCACTAAAATTATCTAAAATGTATAAAAATATTTCAAGAAAATGTTGGAGGTGCGGGGAAGCGTAAGGGTCAATGTTACACATGTGGTGGACATGCAAGAAAATTAAGGAGCTCTGAAACATAATCTATGATGAGCATAAAAAAATGAATTGGAAAGGAGAGAAAATCCCAACAAAGTTGTAGTGGCAAAGTAAATTGATTGAGTCTGCTGAACTGGCAAAAATTACAGACAAATTGAGAGGTAATACTGAACAAACATTTATTTGGAATTGGGACATGTATAAAAAAATACCTTAAAGATTATTGTACTAGTATAAATGTGGCAGGATTTGAATGACTTATGTGTTACGATGGATATTTATATTATTGATGATTAAAAAGAAAATAGAGATTAATAGTGCACTGGATAAAATAAGAAGTAAATGCATGATGGGGTGGCGGGAAGTCGTAGGGAACTCAAGAATGTACAGTGAACAAATAATGAGATTTTCTTTTTGTATTTCTATTTTGATTTTATATATATATTTCTTTGTTATATCTTTTAATATTAATAAAGCATTAAAAAAAGAACATATTCAGGAGACACGCTGGGTGGGGGGCAAGAATGTTCTGTTGTACACAATACATCTTTGCACTGATAGCTCTGTTTTCTCCTTCTAATATTTAATCCTGGGGTTTGGCAAACTTTAGTACTTTGTGTCCAATTTATTTAAGCATCTTCCACAATTCTTATAAAGTGGGACAATAAACTTCTTTTTTTAAAAAAATGGGATGAGGGGGGACTGCAAATATTCCACAAGTTTTAATCAACAGTGCTTCTTTTACACCAGTTGAAATAGCCCATAATAATCACAGGATGGTACAGCAACACTTCTGTGGATAATCCTCCGCATGCACCTTGCGTTCCTTGCCATAAACATAGAAGGAGTAAGGTTTGCCATGCCATAAATATTGTACCCTGGTGAGAAGTATCAGCTCAATTGTTTGCCTCTGTAAAAACACAAAGAAGATACTTTTTAGGGTCTAAACATCAGTGTTTCGTTCACAGAAAAGTTCAAACCTGAATGGCTTTTTTTTATACACCGAAGAATGGCAAGAGTTAGGCACATTCTGAATACGGACATGCTGAGGCCCTATCTGGCAGGTATGGGGAATCTGGGACGCTCCTGACGTTCTTGTCCCAAACCACTGGGCATGCCTGCTGGGCTTACTTAAGCTGGAGCGCAACAACACCTGAAAAGCCAGAAGTTCCCCATCCTTATTCTCTGACCCAGCTATCCCTTAGCCTAGGGTGCTGCCAATGTAGGAACGTGGCCAAACAAGATGGAAAAAGCCTACAAAGCTTAGGATGTTTGCAAGGGCACAGGCCAGTGGAGACCAGCAGGTGCATGAATTTCACCATGACCCTGCACGGGGGAAGGAAGCGCTCCAGGCAATTCTCTTGGACCACAGCACTCAGTGGTGATTTGGTTAATATTCACAGCACTTGCCTGCCTTGGAGATGCAAACTGAGCTTGGTGTTGTTCAACGGCATTGCTGGAGGCTTGACTGATGCCAAAATCAGGGAAACTAATCACTGGATATACCTATGGAAACACAAATTTCAAAGACATACAAATAGAAAACTGAAGTCCTGAGTGAGGAGAAAGAGCAGGCTAGTCATTGTTTTATCACATTATGTAGACATGAACCATAGCTGATCTCAAAATTCAACTGAATACCACCCAAGAAGAGCCTCATGCCTGCACTGCGGACAGGTAAGTAAATTGCAGAGCAAACTACTGTTGCCAATATGAGATGATGAAGCCAGGCTGTTTCTGGGCAACCCACTATGTCCCTGTCCAGCCCTCTCTCTTTTACACAAAATTATCAGGAGAGTTCCCTGGGAAGAGGGATTAGTAAACCACTCTGGGAACTGCAGCTCTCTGAAAGGAATGGCGCTATGGGTTAAACCACAGAGCCTAGGACTTGCCAATCAGAAGGTCGGCAGTTCGAATCCCAGCCACGAGGTGAGCTCCCATTGCTCGGTCCCTGCTCCTGCCAACCTAGCAGTTCGAAAGCACAAAGTGCAAGTAGATAAATAGGTACCGCTCCGGCAGGAAGGTAAACGGCATTTCCGTGCGCTGCTCTGGTTCCCCAGAAGCGGCTTAGTCATGCTGTCCACATGACCCGGAAGCTGTACGCCGGCTCCCTCGACCAATAAAGCGAGATGAGCGCCGCAACCCCAGAGACAGTCACGACTGGACCTAATGGTCAGGGGTTCCTTTACCTTTTTAACAACTCTGAGCATGCTTAACCAAAGACAGTTCCCAGGATTCCTTGGGGGAAAGCCATGACTGTTTAATGTGGTGTGATGCTGTTTTAAACGTCTAATGGAAATGGGAGCCAGAGAGAGGTTGGGTTCCCACTTTGGCACTTCTAACGCTCTGGTAGCCCAGTGCCAAAACAAGCCCCAGCGTGGGCCTCCACAGAAAAATGTGTTGCCATTTGACAAATGCACTACTGAAGTGGGCCAAGTGCCACTGTCACCCAACACCAAAATTTCTACAGTTCCATGACTGGAAGGAGGAGCACAGAGATTGTTCTCCCCCGGGTTGCCCCACCCACATCCTCCCCAGCCGGGAAGAAAGTGGGGGATTGTCCCTGACTTCGTGCAGAGTGATAGGTCCACAAGGTTTGTCTTGCCTATCAAGGCCAGCAATAGTTTGGGAGCTATGAGGGTGCTTTAGAAAATGTATACCCCAGCCTGATGCAAACTATATGCATGTTTTCTGGAAATGCCATTAAGATGCAAAATCTTCAAAGCATGTCTTAACAAATCACTGGGTATGAAAAGCTTTTTTTAATCCATTAAATGTATTATTGAGCTATTTGGAAGATTGCGTTCAAACCACCATTCCTGTCTAAAACTATTTTCTGACTGCCACTGTTGGGGTTGGGGACAGGAAGCCCTGGTCAGAAGAGTTTCTTAGGATCTAGGATGCAGCAACGATATATAAGATAACTTGTTATGTCAGAGCTAGAACACAAATCTGTCAAAAAATGGGCATATGCTAGTTCTAAAATAGTAGGATCGCTGTACAATTTGGCTGTAAGCTACCCAGTGGGCAGAGGCATAGAATGGGGGGGGGTGCCAGGGGACAATTTTGAGAGGGGGCGCCTGTCATCGGAGCCTGGCTCCATGTCACAAGGAGCTGCACCTTGGCTACGGCGCTTGTGCCAGGCGCAGCTCCACCCTGAACCGGGGGAGGAGAGCAGGCCGCGACACACCTCGCACCCAGCGGCAGCAGCTCTTTCGCCAGGTCACTTCTGACTTGGAGGCAGAGAGTGGCCCTCCCTGGTTGTGGCAAGGGACACCCAGTCAAAGCGGCTCCATCACCAGGTCTCAGAGAGAAGAGTCGGCAGCAATGCCTCCTTGGCTGCAAGGCGCCTCGTGCCCAGCTGCAGTAGCTCTGCCACCAGGTCACTACTGACCTGGTGGTGGAGAGCTTCCCATCTCAGTCGCGGTGAGATGTTGCCTTTAACAAATGCACTACTGAAGTGGGCGAAGCGCCACTGTCACCCAACACCAAAACACCATGACTGGAAGGAGGAGCACATGCATGTCACAGTCATACCTGTGTATTTTTGTATGGCTACCATTACTTTTATGATTGCGTGTGTGTTGTGGCCCAGGGTGAGAGAGAGGTTGGAGTGGGGTGGGGGAAGATTTATGTGTCTGGGGGACATTATATGGTGAAATATGCTCCACCGATTAATTAACTGCCAACACTTAAGTTGGTTCCTTTTCAAGTCCTGCCTCTCTTTGCATTACTGCATTTCATTACCATAGGGCTGTCATCAACAAACAACGTCTCTCCAGTAACCGTTTTGAACAGTTCAATAGGAAATCCAGATCTTTCATCTGCCACATATTCATAAACGTTGTTCTTCCTATGAAGGCAAAAGGCAGGAGAGTTGCAATGACAACACAGCACAACGGCCTTCTCAAACCAAACGCTCCCAAAATGGCTCCCCCTACTATGTAAGCTTTTTATGTGGAGTCAAAGAGCCGGCCCAATCTCCAACATAAATCAAACACAGTGCAGTCCCATGGGGGAACTGAACCACATCAGGGGCTGACCATAAATTTATGAAGTCACAAAACTGGCACAATGCTCAAAGGTAGCTGTCGGCGCGGATTGAGCCAGAGCGGTGCCTCATTTAGCCCCATATGCTAACCTAAATGAGAAGAGGCCTCAAGCCCATATTTTCCAGATCAATTGAGTAACCATTTCTAGCATCTATACTGGTAGGCAGGGCCGATTTTCCACGCAGTTAGAAGCGGCCTCCCCTTTCCACCACAGTCTATTTTGACAAGACTTGCCATTCAACTTGCAGCTCAATGAACGACAGCAGTTGTCCTTTTCCTTCACAGTCGTTGCAGACTGTGGTTCCCGTACCAGAACACTCCTGGCAACTGTAAATAAAATGTAATAAAACACAAGGTGCGATAAAATGTAATGAAACTACTCGGTATGTGAGCCCGGCTGAAACACACACACAAAAAGGGAAGGATAATCTGGTAAAACCAATGGAATAGAGGTTTCTCAGTTCTAGAGCTGTTTTCTTGTTTCGTTTTTCTGTTGGGAAATGCCGCTATCTCTTGGGCCTCAGGACGCATAACAAGCAAAGCTTCTTTTTCAGTTAGCAACTTTTTCCAGTTTGGCCAATACTAGTCAGGGGATGGCAACCCTATTTCTGCTCTCTTGAATACACTTAGCCAACACAGGCACACAGAGACATGCAGTGCGGCATGACCCATAGTTTGGGTTAAGGGCTGGAAATCTGCTTCTTTTGCTTTCTTCGGATCCTTCTATTTCATACATATCCCTAAGGCAGCCTTTCGTTCATATGTATTTTTCCACCATGGAATTCCCACAGGCTTCCATACATCTCCCAACAAGGCACAGACCAGATTTAGCTTCAGGGAGGCTGCTGCATCATCATCGCATATCTTTTCACGCTAACTTTTCATAGTCTAACTTTTCACGCTAATTCAAATTTTGCAAAACAACTGTACACGTCTCTGAATGCGAGAAATCATGAAACAGAAGAGACTTCCATTTCCCCCGCCCCCTAGTTTCTCAGACAATTAGACTATAGCCCTCATTCCAGGGTGCTGCCATTAGGCAACTCCTTTTGCTTTATTTTACATTTGGGCACAAATTCCTTCCCAAGTGCAAAATGCATTTGAATCAATTCAGTTACAGAAAGATCTAGGACAATACTTCCTATATTTTTAATTTTAAAAATTTAACTTAGGGTATTTAAAGTCCTTCACATGCAGTATTTCAAACATTTGCACACCTCTGAAGGTAAGCTAAGTCTTATTATTCCCATACTGCAGATGTCTCTTTCATCCTGCAGCTTTCCCAAGGCCAATGAATGAGGCTGACCACCCATGATATCTATAAAACACATTCAAAACATATTATTTTCCTCAAAGAATTATGGGTGCTGTAGTTTGTTGGGCGTTGTTGGGAATTTTAATTCTGAGAGGAGAAAACCACAGTGCCCAGGGAAAGAATGTGCTTTGAATGTGCTTTTAAGGTATATAGTGTGTATACAGCCTCAGTTCACAGCAAAGGCAAGATTTGAAGCAAAGACTTTCTGGTCTATGCCTCAGTCTCTGAGCAACTGTGCTATAGTAACAAGAGAAAAGTAGATATTTACACATGCATGTATTGGGACAGTAGACGTGTGAACCTATCATCTGTTGAACCTATAGCTTGAAGCTCCACCATAAGATTGCCCATGGTATCTCACGTATCAGGGGACCAGGAAGCAGTGCAACTGTCACACATAGTGCAACACTCAAACCCCACAGTGCAAATAAAAATGAGCATCTTCTTCATATATTTGCATATTGACTGACGCACTTTTCAATTCCACTTCCCGAACATTGTTCACATGTGTCATCCACAAACCGGACTCCTCTTCCATGACATCTCCCACACTGTTGCTGTTGGGATTTAATTTTAGACAAAAGAGCCAGAAATAAGCAGGGTATCGCCAAACAATACACTCATTGGGCAAAAACAGATCTCCATGATCATCTTTGACAAGGAATCACTTCACTACCGAAGCAAAGATGTCCATCTTGTAACACCCTGGGAATGTAGATGGAGAGGCCCAAGGCACCACCTTTCTACATATCCCCAATGATGACATTGTTGCGAAGAGGTGTCCCTATGGGCAAATGAACCACGGAGTCAGCTGTAACTGCAGACCTGTCAGAAATGCTGGCTAGATCCAAGCCTTCTCAATTCTACCTGCTTTTGGTGGTTGTAAAGACTAGACAATCTTGGGTGGCTTGCTTGTGGGAAACAAGGGGGACTATCTCTCCCCCCCGCACCCCGTGAATCAGATTCCACTCTCCACCAAGTGTATTTTTAATGCCCTATGAACCTCAAACTGCTGCCATCTGAGACAAAAAAAAATTAGAAGATCTGTTTCCTGCAACTCTTGAAACGTGGTGCTGAAGTATGAGGGGAAGGGTCAGTCCTGGAGACCACTTTGTCTTGGTCAATAATCCAAAGGTCTTCCCTCTGTGACAGAGGACTTCCCTGTCTCCTTGACCCAACCTGGCTGATTCCATCCAAATGAGAGGTGTTGACCTTCTCCTTCTGCTTTCTTAACACTGCCTAGATGCAGCTGGAGATTTCTTGCCTCTTAATAAGAGAAGCTGCCCAGTTCCATCAATCTGTAAACTATAGTGGGATGGAACAGGCTGCTCTCAGCAATGCCTTTGATACTCTATTCGATTCCACCATACTTCATCCCTTTCTATTTTCATAAAGCATGTAAAAATGTAGGTTTTTAAAAATAAAAATAATTTTTTTTCTGAATTAACAGATTAAAAATTGATGGAAGGGTTGTTAGTCGTGACTTTTATCAATTTTGGGTGGTATTGCAATGTTTACTTTAATATTTTTCACATTCATGATTATGTAGTCAGTAGTTTTAACTGTTCTCTGTTCTGAGCTTCCAAATATGCAAGAAAATCCAGTATAGAAAATGGATATCCCCGACATCCAGTACAATTGCTATATCAAATATTTACTGACTTTCTGGTTTGTGTCTCTGGGGTTCCAATTTGGTCCTATTAGTCAACATCCCATCAGCTGTTTAGACAATAGCAGGATAGGCTACTGCACAAAAGAAATGTTGCTTCCTCCACCACCTTTTATTTTCTCATCTGTATCCTCACTATTCTACAAAACCAAAACTCCACACTAAGCAAAACATCCTCCTTACTCACAGCTACTTACCTTGCTGTTGCCATTGCATCTACTGCAGTGACTTCTACCAGTTGATCCACATGTTGGGCAAGCCTTCAAAATCAAAGAAAGGAGAGTGTTAAAACGGAGCCAGTAGCTTTTATTTGGACCTGGGTGGTCTGGAAATACTATCCTGCTCATACAGACACAGCCCAAAATCAATCAGGGACTCAAGCTACAACCTGGCATGAACACTTACCTGGCAGTAAGCCCCACTGAGTTCAATGTCTGTTACCTTGAAGAAAACTGCACAGGACTGTGCCAAAGAGGAGGGGAAGGGTGCTGGCCAGACAAAATGCATGGACCCACGTATACCATCAAATTCATTGATACATTAGCTCTGTACCGTTAATGCTGATGTATGAGGCACTCTGATTCTCTGGGTTTTCTCTTGGAACATGCCAAGAGCATCTGCTCTCACATCCCAAGGCAAAGGAGGTGTACCACGCAGGTAGGAATCTACTGCTCCACCTGGTATAAGAAAAGCTGGATTGGACTATTTTCTGACAGCCGCACTTACACTACCATCTGGCTTGGCATCAGAGAAGCTTATGTTTTCCAATGCACAATACAAGCAAAATAAGAGCATGCATATTAGCCTCTACGGCAAAATGATAGTTTGCTATTGGGAGCCAGCTTTCATCATCATGATTGTCACCAGCATTTCAACAATTAATTTACTGCTTAATCAGTCATCTCTAAGCAGTGTAGTTCCTCCCCTCACAAGAGAGTGACATCCTCATCCGTTCTTCCCCATGCTTTTCCCTTGTATGAATTGCAGTGCAAACTATGCTTCAGAATCAATAGCGTGGCTTTCCATTTTCAAACTATCATTTTCCAGGAGCCAGTGTTACAAAGGTGCCCTGATTTTAACGCCACCTCTTTTGTTTAACAAACACACAAAAAATACTTCTTTAAAATTACACCAATTATAAATTTATCGCATTTTTGTTTCCCCAACTTTTCAGTTAATAACTGGAGTGACCTAAATTCTTTTCTCTACTTAGAAATATAGACCCATTAGTTTACCTGATCTCACTAAGAAAATCTGTGCTACATATCTTGTATCAATTATGGGCTGCAAGGCAACCAAGAACATATCGTCTTATGAGCAAACAGGCATCCAAGTTGTAAGATCAACAATTGATCACTGCTTCATTTCATGTTGTATTGTACAGAAATATACTTTAAATTGCTCTCAGACTTTGTTTGTGACCTTCGTCAATCTCAGGACTTCTTCTGATACCATACAAAGACAATGACCTCAGAAGAAACAGATAAATTTCTTCTGCACTTAATACAGTACAGTCTCATCTTACCAATGTTTCATTTAAAGTCAGGATGGGTGTCTTTGAGGAACTCTCCCAAAACTGTGAAGGGCATCCATCTTTAGCTAAACCTTGGATCCTGAACACCTTGCGAGTCGAATGTTTCAGCTCCCAAACGCCACAAACCAGAAGTGAGTGTTCTGGTTTGCTAACGTTCTTTGGAACCCGAACCTACCACACACCTTCCGTGGCTTCCAAATGTTTAGAAATTGAATGGATTTCTGAAATGGATTCCGTTCAACTTCTGAGGTACCACCGTACCGTGTTTTCAGGACATACAAAAATGGAGAGATAAGGTGGCCTAAACTAAAGCCCAGTTCCATTTGATGCTTTCATGTGTTTTAGAACAAAGCAAGCACACACTTATTGACCTTAAAGAAAGGGGTTTTTTTTTGGCATGCCTGACCTAAAATTATATTATGAAGCAGTCTGCTTTTGTTGGATAAGAGACTGGTGTCATCTTAAAAATAATGAGCTATTAGATTTAGAAGGGCATAACAACCATTTCAATTGGCATATTTAAATTATGAAAAATCCAAAGTACATAAAGGTTTTACTGACCATATAGTAATAAATACCCTACTTAGGGTTTGGGAAAATATAAAAGATTGATGGAACCTAACACCCCTCATTGGACATCTCCATTAGAGGCAAAGGCTGTAAAGAAGAAAATACGAGAGGAAGCTGGCTAACATATAACTCATTATTGATAGAAGAAGATAGTCAAATTACAGTCATACCTCGGGTTACGAATGCTGCGGGTTGCGCGTTTTCGGGTTGCGGACCGTGCCAAACCCAGAAGTACTGGAATGGGTTACTTCCAGGTTTTGGCACTCGCACATGTGCAGAAGCACAAAATGACATCACACGCATGCACAGAAGCACCGAATCGCATCATGCGATAGAACAAAGGTTCATAAATATGTCCTTTTGGGTTGAAGGCCTTGTTCTATATTATTATACTGGGTCCTTTACATAATGCATTGAGAAAGTAATAAAAGCTGGTTCCTGTAAAATTCCTCTCAGGTTGCTACCTAACTCCCACCACCTGCTGACACAGCCTTTTGTGAAGTGGCAGAGCTATCACAACATCCTCAGCTACTCAGTGGCCATGGAATTGGGAAGTGAGGGCAAGAAAAGCTGGCCTATTGTCACCTGATGCCTGCTGTTAGACCAGCTCATGATCCATTGCATCCCAGGCCAGCTCAGCCCCATTCCCACCTTTGGAAACCCATTTCAAGGCCCTCTGCTGGGTATCCACAGGGATAATGTCAACGGGACTCCTGCCTGCCCAATTGGTGACTGGCAGGAGGCCAGCTCAGCCGGCAGAAGTAAAAGGAGATGCACCACACTGTGAAGGGTTTGGATGGCTCAGTCTGGCCTAAGTTGGGCTGGATTGTAGACTAGCATAGCAGCACTTACCCCCATAAGGTTCCGCCTTATATTCAGAGAATCTTGATTCAGTGAAGGTCTCCAGTTTATACTAAGAAACAACTTTCAAGAATTAAACACTTCACTGCCAATTAAGAAATAGTCAGCAGACTTTTAAAATTGGCTTAGGGCAAATATGCAGGGAAGCAACACAAAGCAACCGCCAGAAGACTACAAAACAGAACAAGTAAAATGCATCTCTTATGCATCAATTCAAAATGGTTATATATACTAAAAAATAGAATGTCCCCACCTACAAGTGTTCATGCTAATATAAAAGAACAGCCGGTACTGAAAAAGTAAGTGGCGAAAGCTAATGAAAATAAATCCATAAATGTGTATCAATTTTGAACAGTGCATAGAAATGTTAATGCATAGAAATGTTCATGCTAGCAAAAGCATTGCTTTGAGATGGGCAAGATATCCAGCGATGTTGGTACTAGATTAAAAAGTTCAGAAACATTCATGAAGGTAACAATCCCAAAAAGAACCAGAAATGTGAGTTATCCTTCAGAATCACCTGCCAGCTCCGATGTGACTCTGGAGAAAGGACTTGATTCCATGCCTAGTGAACTCTGTAAAATTTCTGTCTTTTCAGACAGGTTAGGCCAGGGATGAGGAACTTGCAGCCCTCCAGGTGTTTCTGAATTCCTATTCAGCTCCAGCCAACACAGCTGATGGTCAAAGATGATGGATGGAAGCTGGAGTCCATCAACATCTCGAGGACAACAGGTCGCCCAACTCTGGTTGAAGTAGTGACCCATGCAGTGGCCAAAGGGAAAATTCAATTTGCAAAATTCTTTCTCTTTATTATTTTTCCTTTATGTGCCTTAAACAAACACAACCTTCTGCTGCACAACAGCACCACGGAATAACTTCAAGCGCTCTATTACTTCCTCGGTCCAAGTGGGCACCTCATAATTTAGGCAAAAGGGGCACTGCCATCAGTTTGCATTGGTAGTTAAATGCCCTTTATGAAGTATCCCTAATTTTCACATACACACTTAGCTACGTCACTGCAGACAGCACAGTAAGATCTGGGGTTAGGAATGAATGATACCATTTCTTGTTTGTTGATTCTTTGAAAGGACCTTCCACACTCAAGGCAGCTAACCATTAAGAATATAAACATAGTAATCAAAATAAATAAATGGCAGCGGCAGTGGCTGGTGTGCTGTAGTTGGGAAGAAGCGCAGAACCACCTTCCCAACACCAGCGTCACTGCCGCTTACCTGGATGGCACTGGGGCAAGGTGGTGGTGTGGTTGGGGCAGGTGTGTTGGATTGACAATGCCTCTGCCTCCACCATACCAGCTGCTCCTGCATAGCTATACTATTACCAATATATACTGCTTACTCTGTAGGTATTGAATAACTGTAGGTCATTAAACACCATCTCTTTGGCTGGGTCTGTGCTGTAGCAGCACTTGCTGGAAGCGTACTGGATAAAAGCTTCTTTGGCTTCATCTTCAGTAATGGCAGGAACGCTGTAGGAAAGGACCAAAAGGAGGGATAAGCAAAATTGACCACCCAAACTTCCCATGGTCCTCTATGTCTGGGGGTCCGGGACCTCAGGGTCAAGAACCAAATATGCACACCATATCTCTTTTTTCTGGCCCTCACAACTCTCCCCAGGCCTGGTTAGAATATGTCTTTGAAGTCTGAAAACACCTCGTGAATTTCTGAATGGAGGCTGGGGAGAGATGCGTGAGTGTCTGTGGAAACTAGCCTACCAAACAAAGGTGAAATCTGCCCTGCTTGGTCCATTTTTGCCTCTGGCCCCACCCACACCACTGTCATGTGACCCTGAGAAGGAGGTCCACAACAGAATGCATAACAGTATCCACTTACTTCCACGTTCTCTGGGGCGGCTGTTGCCCATTTCCATGTCTAGGAATCAAGTTAGGTGGAGGTGGGCAATGTTTTCCTCCTGTAAAGAAATGGTGTTTGGGTAAGAACAGCAGGATAAGCAATTGTGAATGTTCTCAGGTCTCACGAGCAACATGCTAAAAGAAAGTTCTCCTTGGCAATAATGGATTGGAACATTCATACAGTGGGCACACGTGGGTAAACTGGTCCCAAATCATAGCTGTCAACTTTTCCCTTTTCTTGTGAGGAATCCTATTCAGAATAAGGGAATTTCCCTTAAGAAAAGGGAAATGTTGACAGCTATGTCCCAAATTTTAAGGGCTTTATATACTAATAGCAACACTTGAACTTGGCCAGGTAGCGGAACAGCAACCAGTGCAGATCTCGGAGCGCAGGTGTGAGATGCTGACAAGGCCTTACATCGCTTGTATTTGTACTTGCCTGCAGCGGTTGTGCCTTCATAGCCAGATATGTTGCCTGTGTTATACATAGGAGCAACATACATAGGAGCCATGTCTCTAGGAATGGCGGCACCTACAACAAAGTTAAGGAAAAGGAAGGCGTTAAACGTCATCTTTCAAACATATAATGAATCGTACGGAACACTGAAACCTACACATAGCATTTAATCTTTATTATGCAAGTGATAGGTCAAGGGTTTGGCGCCAGTGGGTACCTTCGGGATCTGAGAAAGTGCCATGGGCACCAGTCACCAAATGTAGGTACAACGTAGCGACGCTGAGCCAATGCAAACAAGAACTGAGGAGGAAGGGCAAATGTCTCATGCATCATGGATATTTATCAAGACCTTACACGGGCACCAGAGGTGGTACCAGTGGGCATGCTAGCACCTGCAGCCACACTGGCAAGCCCTGGTAAACTAGGATTTAGGGTGACATCTGAATGGAGCCAAGGTTAACGGGGATAATTAATGCCTGTGATGACTTGTTTTTCATAACGAAAGTCCACTGAGCAGATGTCTGACCAACAGTTCTGTATGTCTGAGTTGGGATTCTAGCAGGAGAAAGTGAAAAAGAGTGTAATGCACGATAACAGATATAAATGAGTGGCTTAGTGTACAAAAAGCAGAAATAGATGCAGTCAATTTAAAAACTAGGGACCCTTAGAGAGTGCAGTTGTGGATGTGATTCTGTCATTGTCAGATGAATGTCTAAGGCAGTAGGTGCCAACAAACTGATTGTTTAAAATAGAAGTATGAAGCTAATTTTCTCAAACCATTTATTTTAGCTTTGGTGGGGGGTTTTTTTGGGGGGGGGGTTGGCTGGGGGACGATTTCAAGCCCTGCTAGCTGTGGAGAAGAAGGCGGGCCGCCTCCACCGAGGAGAGTCCGGAGGGACCGCGACCTTCCGCGGCTGCGTTGCCTTGCGCGCCTTCGCGCGCCCCTCCCGTTCGCCCGCAGCAAAAGCGCCTCTGGAAACAGCTTTTTCCTGCGCAAAAAAGCCCCATTTGCAGCTTTCCCCTACGCGTTGGCAGAAAGCAGCAACACGAGGGCAACGGGGACTCTCTTTCCTGTTTACTTCGTTGCAGAGTAAGAGATGCCGAGGACGGGGAGGACGGTAGCTTTCAAGGGGAGCGAGGAAGAGGAACGAAGCGGGTCCCGACGAGGGGGATTTTTGCAAAAGGCTCTCACCGGATTCCCTGACGTCTGTCCGCTCGAAAACGCGAGCGAGCAACTTTTGCTCCCTATCCTTTCAATTTCGGAACCCCTCTGTCGGCAGCCTTGCACAGCTTTCAGATTTATATAAGCTGCTAGAGAAGGGGTGGAAATGTGGGGGGCGGAGGGGCCAGAGGCGTAGGGCGGGGGGGGGGCGGTGTCATCACTGAGGGAGGTTGACAAAATATTTGCGTGCGTGGGCACGTGCGTGTTTGTGCGCGAAATTGCAAAGCCCAAAGGTGTGCGCTCTCTGTCTCTTTCACACCTGCTGGCTGCTCTGCTGCTCTTTCGCAGTCCTTCCACCGCCGAGCAAAGCTGGCGAAAGCAAAAGCCAAGGGACTGCCGGGCTGACCTCTCTCCGCTTCCGAGGGGCGCGCGCACTTAGGCGCAAAAATGCTTTTGATTTTCTCACAGTCCCAGGGTCGGGGCTTGAATTCGTCCCCAAGCCAAGCCCCTCCAAAAAACAAAACAAACAAACGAAACACCCTCACCCTCCTCGACATCCCTTTTAATTCACTCTGGAACGAAGTAAACAGGAAAGAGAGTCCCAGTTACCCTCGTGTTGCTGATGTTCTTCATGGTCCCTGCTGGAGACTGAAAGACTGACCCTTAAAGCATTTCATTGTAATCTCCTTTGCAGCACACATTTTATTCCTTCTTTAACTTTCCTATATTGCTTAATCTGCACAGAATTCTAAAAAAGATTTTATTGAAGTAAATTAAAGCAATCAATACAATGAAAATAATGAAAGTTCATAAAGCAGCACAGTATATCTGAAATAGATTTAATATTAGGTTGGCACTTAAGTACTGAAGACCATTAGGAAAACCAAATTTCACGTTGCACTGTGGAGAGGGAGTCCTGTGTGTCTGTTTTCTTGCTTATAAGATAAAATCTCACCAGAATTTTTCAGGATGCTCTAGGCCTTTGGCAACACATAATTTATGAGCTGCTTTTTCAGCTAATGTTAAACTCCACAGATTATTATACCAAAGCAAAAGTCGCAAATTCTGCAATGTTTTCCATCTGGGGGCAATTGATCCTTCTGCCAGCATCCATGTCAAGAATTCCTGAGAACTGAACTCTTTCAACTGATTGAGCAACAGACTGCAATAAAGCTGGAATGGAGTGATTAAGTCAGAGCTTTCCAAAAAATACCTACCTAACTGCAGCTGGCACACTAGTGTTGCAACACAGAGTTTGGAAAGCTTTGGTTTAAGTATTTTAGTCACTTCTTGACAAGCCATTGTCTAGAATTTGAATACCGGTGGGCAGTCCCATCATAGATGGGAAAAGGGGCCTCATTTTCCACAGCACTTCCAACAGTACTGAGAAGATTGTTAATACCATGTAGGCAATTTGCACTGGTGTGTGGTGACTGTTTAGAATGCTTTATCACTAAGTGTAAGTGCTTCCTGAGTGCTGGAAGAAAGACCTGCTCCCTGCTGCAAGGCCCATTTCCACCTTGCCTAGTGGGCCAGGCCCAGACTCACCTTGAAGAGCTAAAAGGCTCCTGGGAGGCCAGAGTGACGTTGCTGGAACAACTCCTGGGTTGGGGCAACTGGCTAAAATGTTTTTAAATGTTTTAAACAGTTCTAATTTTGGTTCCTCTGTTTTGTTTTTGTTGGGTTGGTGTTGGTTAAATGTTTAGTTTGGGTTGTTGGTCATTTTAATTTCGGTATAACTATAAACTATTATCGTTATTATCACTATTATTGTTATTGTTATTATTGTTATTGTCGTCACCATCATCATCATCACCGTTGGTTTCTATTGATTTGTTTGTTTGTTGATTGTATAGGGTATTTTGTTTGTCAGACTTGGGACCCACACGTTAAGTCCAAAAATATATTTTTAAACAAATATTAATATAGTTCTGCTTTTGTGACTCACCTTAATGGACACAAGTGAAAGAATAATGGCATAGAGGATTGTCACCTGCAGAGGTGACAATAAGAAGCACTCGGTAAATGGTTGCCATGCCCTTTGGCAAAAGCTTCAGTGCCTAACTGAATACCTCTGGGAAGCCCAATAGCAGGACATGAGGGCAACTGACCAGGCATTTCTTTGTTTGGGACAAAGATGAAATTCCAAGGCCTATTGGGTTTTTTTAGAAATACAGACCACCTCCAAAATATCATGACCTTGGTCCAAAATGGTCTGAACTGAAGTAGCCTGATCTTGAAACTCTGGACCAATCTCAGAGTTTTGCAGGGCTCAGGGGACAATTTCACTTTGATTTCTTTTAACTTGCAGATGGTGCATAGTGGGGGTAAGTTGCCTGAGGTGAGGGGAGGAAGCATCAGTCTCCTGGATGTGGGAAAGACATCATAGCCGGGTCTGATTTTGCAGCTCCTAGTATAGGAAGAGTGCCCACTTGCAAAATGAAACTGACAATTAAAAGCACATTGTTAATTCTTATTAAAATATATGTTGGCATGTGTTTGGCAGATGCTTGCTTTGAGAAATAATCAGCATACAGTTCCCACATTTGGCCTAGACAACAGCAACAACAAATTGATAACGGCAATGCAGTAAAATGATTCAAAATGCTCTTTTAAGAGTTGTGTATGGCAAGATTGTTGTGTATGGCTGAGACTGGTCAGGTCTCTCGCCCCACTTCTGGAGCCTACCTGAGAGGCATTTTCTGCCTGAAAAAAGCCCTGGACACTTCTCATAGATGGATTGCTTCTGCTCAGGGGGAGCTTGCTGAAGGGGTGGAAATTATTGTCACGCTTACTTTGCCTTTCAAAGAATAATGTTTGTCCCATCCATGTAAAGTAAGCTGTGCCTAAGTCTGCAATTCTGTGTGAGGATTCTAGCTGAGGATCCCAACATGCGCCTATGCATATTTGGCTACTCAGTTGAAGGCATGCCTTGAAGGCATCATGCTGAATGCCCAGGCATGAAGGAGTTTGGGCCAAGGAGGCACATGTTGGGGGAGGGGAAGGCCAGCGTTGCAGCCCTACTGCACCTTAAAGGTAAAGGTAAAGGGACCCCTGATCATTAGGTCCAGTTGTGACCAACTCTGGGGTTGTGGCGCTCATCTCGCTTTATTGGCCAAGGGAGCCAGCGTACAGCTTCTGGGTCATGTGGCCAGCATGACTAAGCCGCTTCTGGTGAACCAGAGCAGCACACGGAAATGCCATTTACCTTCCCGCTGGAGCGGTACCTATTTACCTACTTGCACTTTGACATGCTTTCGAACTGCTAGGTTGGCAGGAGCAGGGACCGAACAACGGGAGCTCACCCTGTCGCGGGGATTTGAATCGCTGACCTTCTGATCAGCAAGTTCTAGGCTTTGTGGTTTAACCCACAATGCCACTCGCGTCTCTGCTGCACCTTACCTATGCAATAATAACACTACACATAGGCATAGCCAGGATCTATGATGGGGGGGGAGGGGGCACCCACCTGTCACCATCAGTGCCAGATTTACATATAAGCTAAACAAGCTATAGCTTAGGGCCCCACTCTCTTGGGGTCCCCCAAAAAATTTAAAGGAAAAATACTGGATGCACATTTCCAAAATATAAGAGAAAAACGAAATAAAATAAAACTTACATACAGCAACAGTGTTTTGTGTTGCGTAGGCTCCTATGATGTAAGTAATGGGCCCTGCCTGCTAGCCTGCTCCCTAAAATATCACTGGTTTGCTCATTTTTATATACAGTGGTACCTTGTTGATATCATCAGTGACTTTGCTTTGGCAAAGGCAAGGAAAGTATTGTAATTTAGATCATGTTTGTGTACTGTTTTTATACACAGTATACAATGAACCATGATAAAATTATACAGTTGAATGGGTATTGGGTAGATGCATTAATATAATCAGTCCTGTTAAATAATTTTTTGAACTACAGGCGTGTCTAGTATTGGTATTATTTATGAATGTGACATATTACTAGAAATATTGTCTTTTACACTCACTAAGTGTAACAGGATACAAAGGTCTGCTGTCCCAATGAACAGTGTAGACTACTATGGTGATATTGATATTATATAAAAATGCATTGTACAGGTTATAACACTTAATTTCATATTAATAAAGCTATTTATAATTATTAGTAGTTTGCATCATACATTTACACCTATTATTATTTCATGTTATGCCAAGTTTCCAGAGACTAGATTATGAGTCTTTGTAAATTGTGTTTCTAAAGGAACTTTTGTTATTGCCAAATGCCAATGCGTTTGCATTACTAAGTTGGCTATGAATAAAAAATCATTTTAAATTAGAGCTTAATAATTATTTCACTATTAATATACTTCTTCTTAATTGTATTTCAGTTCAGCAGTTACTCTGATGAAATACATATTTTGTTATGTGCAAATGACTTTAGATACCTATTAGGTCCATAAATTACCATAAAGCATATATTCAACAGAAAAAATAGCGCTATTTTGTTGTTGACAAAGGACAGCTGGACATATAAAGGGCCCCATTACCTTCAGTAACTTAGGGTCTCATCAAACCTAAATCCGGCTCTGGTCACCATCCTCTGCTAGGCTCTATATAGCAGATTCTGAATGAAATGTCTCAACAACAGTTTTAAACTACAGTGGTATCTTGGATTAAGTACTTAATTCGTTCTGGAGGTCCGTTCTTAACCTGAAACTGTTCTTAACCTGAAGCACCACTTTAGCTAATGGGGCCTTCTGCTGCCACCACGCCGCCGAAGCCCAATTTCTGTTCTTATCCTGAAGCAAAGTTCTTAACCTGAAGCACTATTTCTGGGTTAGTGGAGTGTGTAACCTGAAGCGTATATAACCTGAAGCATATGTAACCCGAGGTACCACTGTACTTTCTTTTGACCCCAAGTGCTTGGAAAAATCTGTCAAATTATTTCTACAATTTCTGCTTTTAGTTAAGTGTTTTTTAGTTATTTCTTTGATGGGGGGCTCCCTCGTCTCCCCCCCTCCCCGGCTATGCCCTTGGCTCTACACACAAATGATATACCCTCCAACATTTCTCCAATGAAAATAAGGACATCCTAAGGCAGGCTTCCTCAACCTCAGCCCTCCAGATGTTTTGGAACTACAACTCCCATCATCCCTGTCCACTGGTCCTGCTAGCTAGGGATCATGGGAGTTGTAGTCCCAAAACATCTGGAGGGCCGAGTTTGAGGAAGCCTGTCCTAAGGGAAAGCGGGATCAAATCAGAAACCAGGGCGGCTTCTGTAAATCAAGGACGTTCCAGGGAGAAAGGGACGCTTGGAGGGTCTGAAATAACATGAGAATGGGCCTAGGAATAGGGGAACTCCTGTCCATTTCGCCTTCCTCTCGCTTCCTCCTTTTTCTGCTTCTCCGCCGTCCACATTTCCGCAGCTTATATGAAACAGAAAGTTACGCAAGGCTGGCCAAAGAGGGATCCGGAAAGAGAAAGTAAAGAGAGAGGGGGCAAAGGTTGCTTGCTCGCCTGCTCGAGATAGTTTGCTAGAAGCGATGGCGGACGGCCGTCAGGGAATCCGGTGAGAGCCTTTTGCAAAAATCCCCCTCGTCGGGACCCGCTTCCCCCCTCTTCTCCGCTTCCCTTGAAAGCTGCCCGTCTTCCCCACCCTCTCCCTCCTCGCCATTCCTTTAAATTCATGCTGAAACGAAGTAAAGGGGAAAGAGAGTCCCCGTTGCCCACGTGTTGATTCTTTCTGCCAAGAAAGCTGCAAAGGGGGCTTTTTTTTGCGCAGGAAAAAAGCTGCTTCCAGAGGCGCTCTTGCTGCGGGCGAACGGGAGAGGCGCGCAAAAGCGCGCAAGGCAACGCAGCCGCGGAAGGAAGCCGCCCCTCCAGTCTCTCCTCCCTAGGCTGTGCGCGCCGCGCCGCGCCGCGCCCATGTCAGTGGAGGCGGCCCGCTTTCATCTCCACAGCTAGCGGGGCTTGAATTCGTCCCCAAGCCAAGCACCTCCCCAAAACAACAAAAACCACAGAAGCAAAAACAAATAGCTCCGGGAAATTAGCGTCTTTTCCTAGGGACATGGGAAGTTTCCTCATACGGCATGTGACCGGGGGTTCTCCACCCCTGATGAGGAGACATGGGGAAGTATGCTGACGCCATCTCGCTCTCCACAGGGTTTCAGGATGGGCTCCTTGCCAGCCCTTCCTGGAGATGCTCAGCCACTGGAAGTGAGCTTGAGACACAGGGCAAGAGTGTCTTTCCTAGCCTTGCCTGGGGATACCGGGGATCGAACCGGGAACCTCTGACAAGCAGAGCATGCGTACTTCTGCAGAGATTCCCTTAACTCTGATACAGAACATGCCGACCTCCGGGTGTCAGACATGAGAACGTAAAAGCCCCACTGCAAACAGGATATTGCAAGTTGGAAAAGTTTCAGAAAAGAGGGGAGGGGATACAAAACTTAGTATCTTTTTGTATTCCCCCCCCCAAAAAATACAAAACTTAATATCTTTTTGTTTTATATTTTTCTCTATAAACCTTAATAACATTAAGTTTTTTTAAAAAAGGGAGGGGAGGAGGAAAAGTTTCAAAAAAGGGCAACCTAAATGATCAAAATGCAACTTTCTGCACAGGAAGGAGTAACTCCCCTTTGCAGAAAGGTTGCAGTGTTAGGGACTTTTTAGTTTAGAGTAAAAGTGATAAAGTTATAGATGTTTAGAAAGTTATGTACTGCATGAAGAAAAGTTTTCCTACCCTTCTCATAACATCAGAACTCGTGGACATGAAATGTAGCTGATTGCTGGAAGATTTGGGACAAATAAAAGAATGTGCTTTGTCATTTGGCAATGGATAAACATTGGGACTCACTCCCAAAGTCTGCTGAAAGAGTTCTCAAGAACTCAAAAGCTTGTTGTCTACTTTATGACGATTCACTTAGTCATAATAAAGGCATTACAATACTAATACTATGCCAATAAAGGTATTATTATATTGTGGCTTTAGGGCTTTTCAAATCTACTAAAACGGCATCTCACAATTTCTTTTTTTAAACAATCAGTTTGTTGCTGAAATAATGGTCGTATGAAGCCAGCCTTGACTTTATATATTAAGTGTTAAGCACCTACTACTTCAGACCTTCATCTGACAGTCTTAAAATTGCATCCACAACTGCACTCTCTAAGGATTTTAAATTGACTGCATCTATTTCTGCTTTTTGTACACTAAGTCACTCATTTATATTTGTTATTGTGCATTACATTCTTTTTCACTTTCTCCTGCTAGAGTACCAACTCAGACATATGGAACTGTTGGACAGACATCTGCTCAGTGGACGTTCGGTATGAAAAGCAAGACACTGCAGGCATTAATTATCCTTGTTAACCTTGGTAGCGTAACATTCAGATGTCACACTAAATCCTAGTTTATAAGGGGTTGCCAATGTGGATGCAGGTGCTAGCATGCCCACTGGCACCATCTCTTGTGCCTGTGTAAGGTCTTGATAAATATCCATGATGCATGAGAAATTTGCCCTTCCTTCTCAGTTCTTGTTTGTATTGGCTCAGCATTGCTACGTCCTCCTTACATTTGGTGACTGGTGCCCATGGCACTTTCTCAAATCCCAAAGGTACCCACTGGCCCCAAACCCTTGACCTATGACTTGTGTAATAAAGACGAAATCTTATATGTAGGTTTCAGTGTTCCATACGATTCATTATATGTTTGAGGGATGACAACGTTCAACGTCTTTCTTTTCCCTAACTTTTTTGTAGGTGCCGCCATTCCTACAGACATGGCTCAGATGCCAGGACCTTATGCTGCTCCTACGTATAACACAGGCACCATATCTGGCTATGAAGGCACAACCGCTGCAGGCAAGCCCTTGTTGGTGTGGACCCTAGTTCCCTAAAGTGTATGCCAGTGGTAGGCAACCTAAGGCCCATGGCCCACAAGCAGCCCATGGGGGTCGTTTAACTGGCCCACGAGCCGCCCCCAAACCGAGCCACCCGCTTGGTGAGCCCCTGCACGCTACGCTAAACCAGCGCGGCATGGTGCGGGGACTTGCTTCTGCGGTGCTGGAAATAGCATCTGCACATGCTCAGTCTCCGAAAATCACGTCTGTGCAGATGCAGACACTGGAAATCGTGTCTGCACAGACGCCAGAAATCGCGGCCGTGCGCGCTCATGTGCACATGCGCTCTTGCCCGTGGAAGGATCTCCGCTGGAGTGAACTGGCCCAGGCAAGGTAAACCTTGCTGACCACTGGTGTATGCTGTAATACAAGTGTTAGTTTTTAAGATGCTTCCCTTGTGCTTGATCCAGACACTGCAGTTAGTGCAGAATACTGCAGCGTGATTGCTAACAGGAGTAAGGCCTTGTCAGCGTCTCCGAGATCTGCAATGGTTGCTGATTCGCTACCTGGCCAAGTTCAAGTGTTGCTATTAGTATATAAAGCCCTTAACAATTTGGGACATAGCTGTCAACATTTCCCTTTTCTTAAGGGAAATTCCCTTATTCCGAATAGGATTCCTCGCAAGAAAAGGGAAAAGTTGACAGCTATGATTTGGGACCAGTTTACCCAGGTGTGCCCACTGCATGAATGTTCCAATCCATTATTGCCAAGGAGAACTTTCTTTTAGCATGTTGCTCGTGAGACCTGAGAACATTCACAACTGCTTATCCTGCTGTTCTTACCCAAACCCCATTCCTTTACAGGAGGAAAACATTGCCTGCCTCCGCCTAACTTGTTTCTTGGACATGGAGGTGGACAACAGCCGCCCCAGAGAACGTGGAAGTAAGTGGATACTGTTATGCATTCTGTTGTGGACTTCCTTCTCAGGGTCACATGACAGTGGTGTGGGTGGGGCCAAGCAGGGCATGCAGATTTCACCTTTGTTCAGTAGGCTAGTTTCCACAGACACTCACGCATCTCTCCCCAGCCTCCATTCAGAAATTCACGAGGTGTTTTCAAACTTCAAAGACATATTCCAACCAGGCCTGGGGAGAGTTGTGAGGGCCAGAAAAAAGAGATATGGCGTGCATATTTGGCTCTTGACCCTGAGGTCCCCCCCCACACCAGACAAAGAGGGCCATGGGAAGGTTGGCGGTCAATTTTGCTTATCCCTCCTTTTCGTCCTTTCCTACAGCGTTCCTGCCATTACTGAAGATGAGGCCAAAGAAGCTTTTATCCAGTACGCTTCCAGCAAGTGCTGCTACAGCACAGACCCAGCCAAAGAGATGGTGTTTAATGACCTACAGTTATTCAATACCTACAGAGTAAGCAGTATATATTGGTAATAGTATAGCTATGCAGGAGCAGCTGGTATGGTGGAGGCAGAGACGCCCTCTCAAGGCTGGCATTGCCAGTCTGACACATCTGCCCCAACCACACCACCACCTTGCCCCAGTGCCATCCAGGTAAGCCGCAGTGACGCTGGTGTTGGGAAGGTGGTTCTGCGCTTCTTCCCAACTACAGCACACCAGCCACTGCTGCTGCCATTTATTTATTTTGATTACTATGTTTATATTCTTAATGGTTAGCTGCCTTGAGTGTGGAAGGTCCTTTCAAAGAATCAACAAACAAGAAACGGTATCATTCATTCCTAACCCCAGATCTTACTGTGCTGTCTGCAATGACATAGCTAAGTGTGTATGTGAAAATTAGGGATACTTCATAAAGGGCATTTAACTACCAATGCAAACTGATGGCAGTGCCCCTTTTGCCTAAATTATGAGGTGCCCACTTGGACCGAGGAAGTAATAGAGCGCTTGAAGTTATTCTGTGGTGCTGTTGTGCAGCAGAAGGTTGTGTTTGTTTAAGGCACATAAAGGAAAAATAATAAAGAGAAAGAATTTTGCAAATTGAATTTTCCCTTTGGCCACTGCATGGATCATGACTTCAACCAGAGTTGGGCGACCTGTTGTCCTCGAGATGTTGATGGACTCCAGCTTCCATCCATCATCGTTGACCATCAGCTGTGTTGGCTGGAGCTGAATAGGAATTCAGAAACATCTGGAGGGCTGCAAGTTCCTCATCCCTGGCCTAACCTGTCTGAAAAGACAGAACTTTTACAAAGTTCACTAGGCATGGAATCAAGTCCTTTCTCCAGAGACATATCAGAGCTGGCAGGTGATTCTGAAGGATAACTAACATTTCTGGTTCTTCTTGGGATTGTTACCTTCATGGATGTTTCCAAACTTTTTAATCTAGTACCAACATTGCTGGATATCTTGCCCGTCTCAAAGCAATGCTTTTGCTAGCAAAAACTGTTGCATGAACATTTCTATGCGCTGTTCAAAATTGATACACATTTATGGATTTGTTTTCATTAGCTTTTGCCATTTATTTTTTCAGTATCTGCAGTTCTTTTATATTAGCATGAAAACTTGTAGGTGGGGACATTATGTTTTTTTAGTATCTATAACCATTTTGAATTAATGGATAAGAGATGCATTTTACTTGTACTGTTTTGTAGTTTTCTGGTGGTTGCTTTGTGTTGGCTCTAACCAGAGACATTTTAAGGTGTTGCTTCCCTATGTAATTTCCCTAAGCCAGTTTTAAAAATCTGCTGACTATTTCTTAAGTGTTTAATTCTTGAAAGTTGTTTCTTAGTATAAACTGGAGACCTTCACTGAATCAAGATCCTCTGAATGGAAGACAGAACCTTATGGGGGTAAGTGCTGCTTTGCTACTCTACAATCCAGCCCCACTTAAGCCAGACTGAGCCATCCAAACACTTCACAGTGTGGTTCATCTCCTTTGACTTCTGCCGGCTGAGCTGGCCTCCTGCCAGTCACCAGTTGGGCAGGCAGGAGTCCCGTTGACATTATCCCAGTGGATACCCAGCAGAGGGCCTTGAAATGGGTTTCCAAGGGTGGGAATGGGGCTGAGCTGGCCTGGGATGCAATGGATCATGAGCTGGTCTAACAGCAGGCATCAGGTGACATTAAGCCAGCTTTTCCTGCCCCCACCCCCAATTCCATGGCCACTGAGCAGCTGAGGATGTTGTGAAGGCTCTGCCACTCCACAAAAGGCTGTGTCAGCAGGTGGTGGGAATTTGGGTAGCAACCTGAGAGGAATTTTACAGGAGCCAGCTTTTATTGCTTTCTCAATGCATTATGTAAAGGACTTGGTATAATAATATTTAACAAGGCCTTCAACCCAAATGGATAGATACGTTTAAAAAATATTTGTGTACCTTTGTTCTAAAACATCTGAAAGAATCAGATGGAACTGGGCTTTAGTATAGACCACCTTATCTCTCCATTTCTGTATGCCCTGAAAACAAGGTATGGTGGTACTTCGGAAGTTGAATGGAATCCGTTCTGGAAGTCCGTTCAACTTCTAAAACTTTCCGAAACTAAGGCGTGGCTTCCAATTGGCCTCAGGAAGCCACGGAAGTCACGTTATATGTTCGGGTTCCAAAGAACGTTCACAAACTGGAACACTCACTTCTGGTTTGTGGTGTTCAGGAGCCAAAACATTCGACTCAACAAGGCGTTCAGGATCCAAGGTACAATTGTATAGCTAAAGATGGATGCCGTTCACAGTTTTGGTAGAATTGGAGAGTTCCTCAAAGACACCCATCCTGACATTAAATGAAACATTGGTAAGATGAGACTGTACTGTATAAAGTGCAGAAGAAAATTATCTGTTTCTTCTGAGGTCATTGTCTTGGTATGGTATCAGAAGAAGTCCTGAGATTGACGAAGGTCACATACAAAGTCTGAGAGCAATTTTAAGGATATTTCTGTACAATACAACATGAAATGAAGCAGTGATCAGTTGTTGATCTTACAACTTAGATGCCTGTTTGCTCATAAGATGATATGTTCTTGGTTGATTTCCAGCCCATAATTGATACTAGATATGTAGCACAGATTTTCTTAGTGAGATCAGGTAAACGAATGGGTCTATATTTCTAAGTAGAGAAAAGAATTTAGGTCACTCTAGTTATTAACTGAAAAGTTGGGGAAACAAAAATGCGGTAAATTTATAATTGGTGTAATTTTAAAGAAGTAATTTTGTTTGTGTTCGTTAACCAAAAGAGGTGCCGTTAAAATCAGGGCACCTTTTTAACACTGGCTCCTGGAAAATGATAGTTTGAAAATGGGAAGCTACGCTATTGATTTTGAAGCATAGTTTGCACTGTAATCCATACAAAGGTAAACCATGGGGAAGAATGGATGAGGACGTCACTCTCTTGTGAGGGGAGGAAGTACACTGCTTAGAGATGACTGATTAAGCAGTAAATTAATTGTTGAAATGCTGGTGACAATCGTGATGATGAAAGCTGGCTCCCAATAGCAAACTATCATTTTGCTGTAGCGGCTATTATGCATGCTCTTATTTTGCTTGTATTGTGCATTGGAAAACATAAGCTTCTCTGAGGCCAAGCCAGATGGTAGTGTAAGTGCAGCTTTCTTATACCAGGTGGAGCAGTAGATTCCTACCTGCGTGGGACACCTCCTTTGCCTTGGGATATGAGAGCAGACTCTCCTGGCATGTTCCGAGAGAAAACCCAGAGAATCAGAGTGCCTCATACATCAGCATTAACGGTACAGAGCTAATGTATCAATGAAAATGGTGGTATACATAGGCCAGTGGTGTCCAGACTCCAGTCCAAAGTTGTCGAGCTTTTTTTTTAGGATTTTACCCCAGGAAATAAACTGCCACAGGGGCCCCCAGGACGGACTTTGGACATGCCTGACATAGGCCCATGCATTTTGTCTGGCCAGAACCCTTCCCCTCCTCTTTGGCACAGTCCTGTGCCTTTTTTCTTCAAGGTAACTCCCATTGAACTCAGTGGGGCTTACTGCCAGGTAAGTGTACATGCCGGGTTGTAGCTTGAGGCCCTGATTTTGTGCTGTGTCTGTGAGGGAGGTCAGGGACTGCTTCCCCAACTCTCTAGCAGCCAGTAGCGTATACTCTTGTCCTTACTCTGTCGCTTATACTGTTGTCCTTAAGTACAAGGCAATTATGATCTCTGAGTTGTTCCTGTTGTGGGAGAGATTTATGAGAAGCAGCCAGTGACTGTGGGCTAGAGTCACGTAAGAGGGAAGCAGCACTTTGGAGTTTCTCAGGCAGCAGACTGAAGGAACTAAGTTCACGATCAGATTTATAATGGGATATAAGAGCAGAAAGAAGCGACAGAGGAATGTTGTTGCAAATTGTACACAGGTTTACTGGTAAGAGTTTGTGCAGAAATGTATGTATAGGCATTTAGGTGGATCATTATGTGACCCGAGTAACTAGAGAGTTGCGTAATTTTGGAGGTAAAAGAGTTTTGTATTCAAATGAGATGACTGAAGGAAAGTCAAGCAGGAACGGAAAGTCATACCATACATTTAAAGCACCGTCATACTAATTTAAACACATATAGATTCCCTCAAAGAATTATGGGAGCTGTGGTTTGTTAAAGGTGCTGAGCATTGTTAGGAGCCACATGTTTCCTTCACAGAACTACTGTCGTACCTTGGAAGTCAAAGGGAATCTGTTTTGGAAGTCCGTTCAACTTTCAAAATGTTTGGAAACCAAAGCGGTGCTTCTGATTGGCTGCAGGAAGCTCCTGCAGCCAATCGGAAGCTGCAGAAACCCCATCGGACGTTTGGGTTCCAAAGAATGTTTGCAAACCGGAACACTCACTTCTGGGTTTGCGGCGTTAGGGAGCAGAAATGTCCAAGTACCAGGGCATTCGGGATCCAAGCTACAACTGTACCATGTCCAGAGTTCCCCATGAAGAGGAAATTCTTATTAATTCGCTCTGGAAATGGTAGCTCTGGGAATGGAAGACATTGTGACCCAGTCCCAGGGTTTGTGCACTGGAAGAGCCTATGTTGGGTGTTCTCCATCTTGTTGGCTGTAACAGCTAGGTTCTGCCTTAGCCCAATGTCTGCAAGCACAGAAATCATAAGGCTGTGGCTGAGATTGAAATTCCGAACCTTCTGACAGTAGAAGACCTAGGTGGGAATCTTCAAGGTCTTGTTGTAGTTCAGCACCCATAACAAACTCCGGTTCCTAGAATTCTTGGGGGGAGGGGAGCCATGGCTGTTTAAAGTGGCACCATAACACTTTGAATGTATGTTATGAATGTGGCCATAGTTTAATGTAAATCAAATGGAAGCTCACCAGATCATCTTAACATTGCCTGCTCTGATTATGAGCAACATAGTATTTCCAGACCGCCCAGGTCCAAAGAAAAGCTGCTGGCTCCGTTTTAACGTTCTCCTTTCTTTGATTTTGAAGGCTTGCCCGACATGTGGATCGACTGGTAGACGTTACTGCAATAAATGCAATGGCAACAGCAAGGTAAGTAGTTGTGCTTAGTGTGGAGTTTTTGTTTTGTAGAAAGGTGAGAACACAGATGAGAAAATAAAAGGTGGAGGAGGAAGCAACATGTCTTTTGTTTAAACAGCTGATGGGATGTTGGCTAGTAGAACAAAATTGGAACCCAAGAGATATAAACCAGAAAGCCAGTAAATATTTGATACAGCAATTGTACTGGATGTCTGGGGTATAGGTTTTCTACGCTGGTTTTTCTTCCATATTTGGAAGCTTAGAACAGAGAACAATTAAAACGACTGACTACGTAATCATGGATGTGAGAAATATTAATTAAAGTAAACATTGCAACACTACCCAAAATTGAGAAAAGTTGCGACTAACAACCCTTCCATCAATTTTTAATTAGTTAATTCAGAAAAAAGGTTTATTTTTATTTTTAAAAACCTACATTTTTACATGCCTTGTGAAAATAGAAAGGGATGAAGTATGGTGGAATCGAACAGAGTATCAGTTCACAGACTGATGGAATTGGGCAGCTTCTCTTGTTAAGAGGCAAGAAATCTCCAGCTGCATCTAGGCAGTGTTAAGAAAGCAGGAGGAGAAGGTCAACACCTCACACTTGGATGGAATCAGCCTGGTTGGGTCTATGAGACAGGGAAGTCCTCTGTCACAGAGGGAAGACCTTTGGATTTTTGACCAAGATAAAGTGCTCTTCAGAATTGACCCTTCCCCTCATACTTCAGCACCACATTTCATGATTTGCAGGAAACAGATCAGATGGCAGCAGTTTGAGGTTCATAGGGCACTAAAATAATACACTTGGTGGAGAGTGGAATCTGATTTCTGGGGTGGGGTGGGGAGATAGTCCCCCTTGTTTTCCACAAGCAAGTCACCCAAGATTGTCTTGTCTTGAGAACCACCAGAAGCAGGTAGAATTGAGAAGGCTTGGATCTAGCCAACATTTCTGACAGATCTACAGTTACAGCTGACCTTGTGGTCCATTTGCCCATAGGGACACCTCTTTGCAACAATGTCCTCATTGGGGATATGTACAAAGTTGGTACCTTGGGCTTCTCCATCTCCTTCCACAGGGTGTTACAAGATGGACATCTTTGCTTCGGCAGATAGCACCTTAATGACGGATAGAGAAAGTAGTGAAGTGATTCCTTGTTAAAGATGATCATGGAGATCTGATTTTGTCCAATGAGTGTTTTGTTTGGCGATACCCTGCTTATTTCTGGCTCTTTTGTCTAAAATTAAATCCCAACAGCAACAGTGTGGGAGATGTCATGGAAGAGGAGTCCGGTTTGTGGATGAAACATGTGACCAATGTATGGGAAGTGGACTTGAAAAGTGCGTGAGTCAATCTGCAAATATATGAAGAAGATGCTCATTTTTATTTTCACTGTGGGGTTTGAGTGTTGCACTATGTGTGACAATTGCACTCCTTCCTGGTCCTCTATACGTGAGATACCATGGACAATCTTATGGTGGAGCTTCAGGCTATAGGTTCAACAGAGACCAGGAAGTCTTTGCTTCAAAACTTGCCTTTGCTGTGAACTGAGGCTGTATACACACTATATACCTTAAAAGCACATTCTTTCCCTCAAAGAATTTTGGGCACTGTGGTTTTCTCCTCTCAGAATTAAAATTCCCAACAACGCCCAACAAACTACAGCACCCCATAATTCTTTGAGGAAAGTAATATGTTTTGAATGTGTTTTGTAGGTATCATGGGTGGTCAGCCTCATTCATTGGCCTTGGGAAAGCTGCAGGATGAAAGAGACACCTGCAGTATGGGAATAATAAGACTTAGCTTACCTTCAGAGGTGTGCAAATGTTTGAAATACTGCATGTGAAGGACTTTAAATACCCTAAGTTAATTTTTTTAAATTAAAAGTATAGGAAGTATTGTCCTAGATCTTTCTGTAACTGAATTGATTCAAATGTATTTTGCACTTGGGAAGGAATTTGTGCCCAAATGTAAAATAAAAGAAAAGGCGTTGCCAAAGGCAGCACCCTGGAATGAGGGCTATAGTGTAACGGTCCGAAAACTAGAAATATAAATGGAAGTATCTTCTGTTTCATGATTTTTTTGCATTCAGTGACGTGTGCTGTTGTTTTGCAAAATTTGAATTAGTGTGAAAAGTTAGCCAGCCCTCAAGTGAATGGAGAAAAGATCCTGCAGGCCTTACCTTTCACCTCCCCATTGGTCCCAGGCACATGCAGGCAGTTAAGAATATCGTGATCTGTCCTTTTAATCTTTTAATCTTTATGAGTTCTTCTGTGTACATATGGTTGCTATGATGACGCAGCAGCGTCCCTGAAGCTAAAGCTGGTCTGTGCCTAGTTGGAGGATGTATGGAAGCCTATGGGAGTTCCATGGAGGAAAAATACATATGAGAGAAAGGCTTAGGGATATGTATGAAATAGAAGGATCCGAAGAAAGCAAATGAAGCAGATTTCCAGCCCTTAACCCAAACTATGGGTCATGCCGCACTGCATTTCTCTGTGTGCCTGTGTTGGCTAAGTATATTCAAGAGAGCAGAAATAGGGTTGCCATCCCCTGACTAGTATTGGCCAAACTGGGAAATGTTACTAACTGAAAAAGAAGCTCAGCTTGTTATGCGTCCTGAGGCCCAGGAGATGGCGCCATTTCCCAACAGAAAAACGAAACAAGACGCCAGCTCTAGAACTGAGAAACCTCTATTCCATTGGTTTTGCCGGATTATCCTTTCCTTTTTTTGTGTGTGTGTTTCAGCCGGGCTCACAAAGTACAAAGTGCCGAGTAGTTTCATTACATTTTATCGCATCTTGTGTTTTATTACATTTTATTTACAGTTGCCAGGTGTGTTCTGGTATGGGAAAAACAGTCTGCAACGATTGTGCAGGAAAAGGACAACTGCTGTCGTTCATTGAGCTGCAAGTTGAATGGCAAGTCTTGTCCAAATAGACTGTGGTGGAAAGGGGAGGCCGCTTCTAACTGCGTGGAAAATGGGCTCTGCCTACCAGAGCTGCCTGAGTTTTACGTTCAGCTTCAGGAGTGAAAGGATCCAGTATAGTTGCTAGAAATGGTTACTCAATTGATCTGGAAAATATGGGCTTGAGGCCTCTTCTCATTTTGGTTAGCGTATGGGGCTAGATGAGGCACTGCTCTGGCTCAATCCGTACCGACGGCTACCTTTGAGCATTGTGCCAGTTTTGTGACTTCATAAATTTATGGTCAATGCCTGATGTGGTTCAGTTCCCCCATGGGACTGCACTGTGTTTGATTTATGTTGGAGATTGGGCCGGCTCTTTGACCCCATGTAAAAAGCTTACGTAGCAGGGGGAGCCATTTTGAGAGCGTTTGGTTTGAGAAGGCCGTTGTGCTGTGAAAACAGAGAAAGCCTGCAGGTTGTCATTGCAACTCTCCTGCTTTTTGCCTTCATAGGAAGAACAACGTTTATGAATATGTGGCAGATGAAAGATCTGGATTTCCTATTGAACTGTTCAAAACGGTTACTGGAGAGACGTTGTTTGTTGATGACAGCCCTATGGTAATGAAATGCAGTAATGCAAAGAGAGGCAGGACTTGAAAAGGAACCAACTTAAGTGTTGGCAGTTAATTAATTGGTGGAGCATATTTCACCATATATTGTTCCCAAGATGATCAGTACCTAAATCTTCCCCCACCCCACTCCAACCTCTGCTACCTCTCCCTCACCCTGGGCCACAACACACACGCAATCATAAAAGTAATTGTAGCCATACAAAAATACACAGGTACGAATTGTCTCACAATTGTCCCCTGGCACCCCCCACTCTATGCCTCTGCCCACTAGGTAGCTTACAGCCAAATCATACAGCGATCCTACTATTTTAGAACTAGCCATATGCCCATTTTTTGACAGATTTGTGTTCTAGCTCAGACATAACAAGTTATCTTGTTATGCATTGCTGCATCCTAGATCCTAAGAAACTCTTCTGACCACGGCTTCCTGACCTCAACTCCAACAGTGGCAGTCAGAAAATAACTTTAGACAGGAATGATGGTTTAAACGCAATCTTACAAATAGCTTAATAATACATTTATTGGATTAAAAAAAGCTTTTCATACCCAGTGATTTGTTAAGACATGATTTGAAGATTTTGCATCTTAATGGCATTTCCAGAAAACATGTGTATAGTTTGTATACTGGGAGCCAACACGATGGCTGGGACAAGTTCCACAGGGGGGGAAGCACTGGGACATCCGATCTCGGTGATCATGGGCAGGAGGCGGAGTTACGCTAAGACCAGACCATGTCATTACTGAGGAGGCAGGTTTAGTCGTTGTTTGAAGACTATCCCTGCCTCCGGGTCTGGCCTAGACAGGAAGGATACTGGAAAAAACACGGGAAACCCACATGACCTGAAAGTGTTGCTGTGCAATGCCAGGTCAATGGTGAATAAAACCACTGCCATCCACGACTTGATTGTGGATGGAGGATTTGACCTGGCATGTGTGACGGAGACCTGGTTGGAGGAAGCAGATGGGCCCGTCCTTGCCGCTGCTTGTCCACCAGGTTTCTCTTACGCACAGCAACCCAGGCCTTGTGGGCGGGGAGGGGGGGTTGCAGTGATTTTTAGGAAGTCATTAGTTTGCACCAGGCGTCCTATTGGAAAGACCCAGTTCTCTGAGTGCATGTTCTGGAAGTTGGGCAATAGGGGCAGTACAGGATTCCTTTTGGTGTACCGACCTCCCCGCTGCACCAAGGATTCCCTGTCCGAGCTGCTTCAGGTCGTGGCGGATTTTCTCCTGGAGACACCTAGTTTGGTTGTCCTAGGGGATTTTAACATCCATGCCGACACGACCTTACAAGGGGCCGCTCGGGACTTCGTGGAAAGCATGGCCTCCATGGAGCTGTCCCTGAATAAGTTTGGCCCAACTCATAGTCATGGACATGCCTTAGACCTGGTGTTCACCTCTAGTGACGTGGGTGATCTGACACTAAGTAAAAGTGAAACAAAAGAAGTGCCATGGTCAGATCACTTCCTGGTGCAACTGGACGTCTCCGCGACCCTTCCCCTCTGCAGGGAGGTGGGACCAATTCGGATGGTCCGCCCCCGCCACTTAATGGATCCAAATGGTTTCCAGAGAGTGCTAGGGGATGCTTTAGCCCATGTTGATGGCCTTTCAGCTGATTCCCTGGTGGCCCGCTGGAATGCGGAGTTAACCAGGGCTATCGACTGTCTGGCCCTCTCCGATTGCATGGAGCCCGGACAGCCCCGTGGTTTTCTTCGGAGCTGAGGGCGATGAAACAATCGCTGAGACGGCTAGAGCGTCGGTGGCAGAAAACTCACTCCGAATCTGACCGGACACGGGTTAGAGCTCAACGTCGAGCCTACCAAGTGGCGATAGCGACGGCGAAGAAGACTTTCTTCACCGCCTCTATTGCATCTGCAGAAAATAGTAGCAGGAGACTCTTTCAGGTGGTTCACAATTTAACGGAACCACCTTTACCACCGGGGCATTGTAAAGACCCCAAGATCTCCTGCAACGATTTTGCAAAGTTTTTTTGCAGATAAAATCACTCATATTCGGAAGGAGCTAGACACCACCGTGGGAGCAGGGCCAGGGCGGGAGAGTGCTAGAGCTCTGTCTGGTCAAGTTGCATGGAATCAATTTCGATCCGTTACCCCCCGAGGATGTGGACAGGCTGCTTGGACGCGTGAAAGCAACCACCTGTCTCCTTGATCCTTGCCCATCCTGGCTAATAAAAGCAAGCCGGGAAGGGCTGGGCGATGGGCTCTGCGGGGTGGTGAATGCTTCCTCTGTGAGGGAACATTCCCAGATCCGCTGAAAGAGGTGGTCATTAAACCGCTTCTTAAAAAAACCATCTTTAGACCCGGCCAGTATGGCCAACTATCGCCCAGTCTCAAATCTTCCATTCTTGGGCAAGGTGATTGAGCGCGTGGTTGCTGAACAACTCCAGGCACGCCTGGAGGATGCGGACCATTTGGATCCCTTCCAATCGGGATTCAGGCCTCACCATGGGACTGAAACTGCCTTGGTCGCGCTGGTTGATGATCTCCGGCGAGCTAGGGACAAAGGTGAGAGTTGTTTCCTGGTTCTGCTGGATCTCTCAGCGGCCTTTGATACAATCGACCATAACATCCTTCTGGACCGTCTAGAGGGGCTGGGAGCTGGGGGCACTGTTATACAGTGGTTTCGCTCCTTCCTCCTGGGCCGTGTTCAGAAAGTGGTGGTGGGGGATGAGTGTTCAGACCCCTGGGCCCTCACTTGTGGGGTGCCTCAGGGTTCCGTCCTCTCCCCATGTTTTTTAACATCTATATGAAGCCGCTGGGAGAGATCATCAGGGGGTTTGGGCTGGGTGTCCATCAATATGCAGATGATACCCAGCTCTACCTCTCTTTCAAATCAGAACCAGTGAAGGCGGTGAAGGTCCTGTGTGAGTGCCTGGAGGCGGTTGGAGGATGGATGGCGGCTAATGGATTGAGGTTGAATCCTGACAAGACAGAAGTATTGTTTTTGGGGGACAGGGGTCGGGCTGGTGTGGAGGACTCCCTGGTCCTGAATAGGGTAACTGTGCCCCTGAAGGACCAGGTGCGCAGCCTGGGAGTCATTTTGGACTCACAGCTGTCCATGGAGGCGCAGGTCAATTCTGTATCCAGGGCAGCTGTCTACCAGCTCCACCTGGTACGCAGGCTGAGACCCTATCTGCCCGCGGACTGTCTCGCCAGAGTGGTGCATGCTCTAGTTATCTCCTGCTTGGACTACTGCAATGCGCTCTACGTGGGGCTACCTTTGAAGGTGACCCGGAAGCTACAATTAATCCAGAATGCGGCAGCTAGACTGGTGACTGGGGGTGGCCGCCGAGACCACATAACACCGGTCCTGAAAGACCTACATTGGCTCCCAGTACGTTTCCGAGCACAATTCAAAGTGTTGGTGTTGACCTTTAAAGCCCTAAACGGCCTCGGCCCAGTATACCTGAAGGAGCGTCTCCACCCCCATCGTTCTGCCCGGACGCTGAGGTCCAGCACCGAGGGCCTTCTGGCGGTTCCCTCATTGCGAGAGGCAAAGCTACAGGGAACCAGGCAGAGGGCCTTCTCGGTAGTGGCGCCCACCCTGTGGAACGCCCTCCCATCAGATGTCAAAGCGATAAATAACTACCTGACATTGAGAAGGCATCTTAAGGCAGCCCTGTTCAGGGAAGCTTTTAATCTGTGATATTTTACTGTATTTTTTGTTTCTATGGAAGCCGCCCAGAGTGGCTGGGGAAACCCAGCCAGATGGGCGGGGTACAAATAATAAATTATTATTATTATTATTATTATTATTATTATTTGTATGAGGCTGGGGTATACATTTTCTAAAGCACCCTCATAGCTCCCAAACTATTGCTGGCCTTGATAGCCAAGGCAAACCTTGTGGACCTATCGCTCTGCACGAAGTCAGGGACAATCCCCCATTTTCTTCCCGGCTGGGGAGGATGTGGGTGGGGCAACCCAAGGGAGAACAATCTCTGTGCTCCTCCTTCCAGTCATGGAACTGGAGAAATTTTGGTGTTGGGTGACAGTGGCACTTGGCCCACTTCAGTAGTGCATTTGTCAAATGGCAACACATTTTTCTGTGGAGGCCCACGGTGGGGCTTGTTTTGCACTGGGCTGCCAGAGCGTTAGAAGTGCCAAAGTGGGAACCCAACCTCTCTCTGGCTCCCATTTCCACTAGACGTTGAAAACAGCATCACACCACATTAAACAGTCATGGCTTTCCCCCAAGGAATCCTGGGAACTGTCTTTGGTTAAGGAAGCTCAGAGTTGTTAGGGCTACAGTGGTTTACTAATCCCTCTTCCCACAGAGTGGTTTACTAAACTCTCTTCCCAGGGAACTCTCCTGATAATTTTGTGTAAAAGAGAGAGGGCTGGACAGGGACATACTGGGTTGCCCAGAAACAGCCTGGCTTCATCATCTCGTATTGGCAATAGTAGTTTTACTTACCTGTCCGCAGTGCAGGCAAGAGGCTCTTCTTGGGTGGTATGCAGTTGTATTTTAGAGATCAGCTATGCTTCATGTCTGCATAATGTGATAAAACAATGACTAGCCTGCTCTTGCTCCTCGGTTAGGACTTCAGTTTTCTATTTGTATGTCTTTGAAATTTGTGTTTCCATAGGTATATCCAGTGATTAGTTTCCCTGATTTTGGCGTCAGTCAAGCCTCCAGCTATGCCGTTGAACAACACCAAACTCAGTTTGCATCTACAAGGCGGATACTGAGGCAGGCAAGTGCTGTGAATATTAACCGAATCACCACCGAGGCGATGGTCTTCGGTGCTGTGATCCAAGAGAATTTCCTGGAGCGCTTCCTTCCCCCATGCAGGGTCATGGTGAAATTCATACACCTGCTGCCCTCCATTGGCCTGTGCCCTTGCAAACATCCTAAGCTTTGTAGGCTTTTCCCATATTGTTCGGCCAAGTTCCTACATTGGCAGCACCCTAGGCTAAGGGGTAGTTGGGTCATAGAATAGGGATGGGGAACTTCTGGCTTTTCAGATGTTGTTGCGCTCCAGCTTAAGTAAGCCCAGCAGGCATGCCCAGTGGTTTGGGACAAGAACGTCAGGAGCATCCCAGATTCCCCATACCTGCCAAATAGGGCCTCAGCATGTCCGTATTCAGAATGTGCCTAACTCTTGCCATTCTTTGGTGTATAAAAAAAAGCCATTCAGGTTTGAACTTTTCTGTAAACGATACACTGATGTTTAGACCCTAAAAGTATCTTCTTTGTGTTTTTACAGAGGCAAACAATTGAGCTGATACTTCTCACCAGGGTACAATATTTATGGCATGGCAAACCTTACTCCTTCTATGTTTATGGCAAGGAACGCAAGGTGCATGCGGAGGATTATCCACAGAAGTGTTGCTGTACCATCCTGTGATTATTATGGGCTATTTCAACTGGTGTAAAAGAAGCACTGTTGATTAAAACTTGTGGAATATTTGCAGTCCCTCCTCATCCCATTTTTTTTAAAAAAAGAAGTTTATTGTCCCACTTTATAAGAATTGTGGAAGATACCTAAATAAATTGGACATAAAGGACTAAAGTTTGCCAAACTCCAGGATTACATATTAGAAGGAGAAAGAAGAGCAATCAGTGCAAGGATGTCTCTTGCACAACAAAACATTCCTGCCTCCCCATCCAGCGTGTCTCCTGAATATGTTCTTTTTTAATGCTTTATTAATATTAAAAGATATAACAAAGAAATATATATATAATCAAAATAGAAATACAAAAAGAAAATCACATTATTTGTTCACTGTACATTCTTCTGTTCCCTATGACTTCCTGCCACCCCATCATGCATTTACTTCTTATTTTATTTAGTGCCCTATTAATCTCTATTTTCTTTTTAATTGTCAATAATATATCTTCTTATAAATAGCCATCGTAACACAGAAGTCATTCAAATCCTGCCACATTTATACTAGTACAATAATCTTTAAGATTTTTTTTATACATGTCCCAATTCCAAATAAATGTTTGTTCAGTATTACCTCTCAATTTGTCTGTCATTTTTGCCAGTTTGGCGAACTCCATCAATTTACTTTGCCACTCCAACTTTGTTGGGATTTTCTCTCCTTTCCAATTCATTGCGATTAGTATTCTTGCTGTTACAGTAGCATACAAGAATATTTCTCTCGCAATTTTTGGTATGTCTAGGCCAAGTATCCCTAAGAGAAAAGCCTCTGGTTTTTTTATGAAGGATACTTTAATCATTTTTTTAAGCTCATCTTAGATTATGTTCCAAAACTCCTTAATTTTCTTGCATGTCCACCACATGTGAAACATTGACCCTTCCACTTCCCAAATATTTCAACATTTGCCAAATATTTCAGCATTTCATATTGACCTTCCATAAATTTTCCCAGGCGGTCATTGGGATGTTGTAGCCAAAGTCTTGGGCCCATTTGACCATAACAGATTTTACCTCCTCCTCCTTGACCTCCCTGTATTTTTCCGGTCTGGATGGCCCTCCCTGCCTAGAGGAGGAAAGGGGCTAGGCTTTGTTGGTGCCAGCAGCAGCAGCAGCGCTTGAGCAGCTGCCATTTTAAGCAGCCCCTCTCCGGAGCCCTTTTGCGCGCCACTTATTGTCCCTCCACCGCCAGCCCCTGCTGCTCACAAGACACAGCTAAGCAGCCACCGGGCTCGTGCTGCTCTTGCATCACCCCCCCCCCAAATATAGTCCGCCCCCCCACTAGGTCTGAGGGACAGTGGACCGGCCCCCTGTTGAAAAAGCTTGCTAACCCCTCATCTAGTGCAACTGTTTCATTGAATACTGATGCTTTGATTTCTCTGTTGCTATCTGTGGGGAGCTATCTCTTCTGTCATCCTGAGAGCATTTTAAAATTGTTTTTCAAAGTGAACCAGGAAAATCACCAAATAAACGATTCATTCTACTCTTCGTATTGATCTCTGTAGTCTCTCTTATTCTCTCCTTCCCTCCCTCCCTTCTGCTCCCCCCCGTTCACCCCTAAACATTCTGTGTCATTGAGTTCTTATGGGGTGTTTTGGTTTCCCCCCTCCTTGATAGGATTTATTCCTACAAGGGTTTTTCTTCAAACCTAGTGTTGCCTTAGGGATACACCAAGGCTGCCTATGCCTTTACTGTGGGTGGTGCAGTTTTGACTCCAGATACATGAGCACAATAATACACACTGGAGACAGAGGGCACGATGGAGGTGCTTCACTCCTTCTCAAGGGGTAGGTCAATAGCTGGAGGTTACCTGGATTCATATTTGTCATTAGTGACCCCTGTGACTAGCTTTGTCTGTTGGCCAGGTATGGCCATATCTGGGTTAGAATAACTTGACCACTACCAAAGAGCATACTATTCATGTATGCGATGACAGCAGCGCAGATACTACTGGCTCAGAGTCACAACCAGAGAAGACTGGTTGAAAAAGAAGATGGACTATGCCGAAATGGTGAAAATGACCATGAAAATTAGAAACCAAGAAGATAGAAGCTTTAATAAGGAATGCGGGAAATTTATAAGTTACCTAAGAGAACACTGTAAAGGACTAAAAACTTCGGCAGGATTATAACAACACTTGTAACGAAAACTAAGGTAAAAATGAATTTTTAAGAAAAATTGAGAAATTATATGATTCAGTGGGAAAAGGTTGACAATGGAACCAATGGAGGGAAGTCTATGATTATGATTATTCAAATTCAAATTTATATTGTAAAACTGAATAATAATAGAAACAAATAACTTGACCACTAGTCAGTGCCTTGTTAACCTCAATTGCTGCTCCTCAGTCACCCATTCCAGCACTTGGTTGTCCACTAGGTCACCTGCTCAGGTGGCTGTTCAGTCACTTGCTCCACTTCTCAATTGGTAAGTCAATAGGTCAGCTAGACTGCTGCTCAGTGAGTCTGCTATTAATATTATTTTTACTATTAAATGTGTAGCCCTTCAGCCGAAGATCACAGGCTGGTTCACAACATAAAAAGAGGGGAACAGAAAATGCATATACAGTGGTACCTCGGGTTACAGACGCTCCAGGTTACAGTCGCTTCAGGTTACAGACTCCGCTAACCCAGAAATAGTACCTCAGGTTAAGAACTTTGCTTCAGGATGAGAACAGAAATCACGTGGTGGCGGTGCGGCAGCAGCAGGAGGCCCCATTAGCTAAAGTGATACCTCAGGTTAAGAACAGTTTCAGGTTAAGAACGGACCTCCAGAACGAATTAAGTTCTTAACCTGAGGTACCACTGTACCTCAGGTACAGGCTGTTGGCGTTCTGCATGAGATGCCAGAAGTAATGGCAGGAGAGACTACAGTGTTATTCACACTTCTCTGGGAGTGAGCGTCACTGAACTGAGCAGGACTTTTATCTAAGTGGACATATATAGGATTGCACCCTGAGCATCCTCCACACTAAAACCCTGGTATCCTGGGAAAGGTGGGAAGGTGTCACTGATTCAGCTGTTGGGCATCTGATATTGAAAGCTATGAAGAACCATACTGCACTTAAACATTCTGTAATGCTTAAAAGACTGTCAGATGATCTTAAGCATCCTAAAACTGGGCAGACGTGAGTTGGGCTCCCATTCAATGCGGTCCTTGTTCTTGTACAGCTTTTGTCTTACTGCTTTTCAGTTCTACAGTGCCACCCTGTGGTCAAAATATAAAAATGTTTCTCTTTAACAGCAATGGTAACTTTCCCACTGTTCTAAAAGAACCCAAAGCTCTCCTTTTGAATTCTAGGGTGAAAGGGGGTTGGTTCTTTGTGTTTCTGACAGTTTGGTTGAACTGGGCAAAAGCTGTTGGCAATGGGGGCTTCCATATCACGAGCTACACACAAAAATCCCCCCCCCACTGTCGTATATGAACACATCTGTGTAAGCATAAATATGTACATAGGCAGATGGTTATAGGGCACTGAGCAGCCCATGGCTCCTGGCAGACAGACCCAGTGACTTCCTATCTGAAACACAAAAGATCTGTTTCCATTGCAAGCAAGGAGTGCACCCTGGGGAAGGGGTCAAGACGCTGCACGGCTTTTGCAAGTGGTCTTGGATCTCCCACTCTTCCCCACTGTTAAGTTGTGAGAACTTCAGTACATAACACCCACCCTCACATTTTATTTTATTTTTTGCCTACATGGCAGCTGGGCACACTGCAAATCACAGTGCCATGAGAACCTAGCTACAGTGTCTGCCTTCTTCATTTGTAGAGGACCCAAACCACAGACAGTGGATGGGGGCTAGGAAAGCCATCGTTCAGAGAAATCCCTGATAGTGAGAGCCAACATTTTGTTCCTCCCACCTAAGTCGGCCTAAATCTGCATCCAATCACATAAATCAGCAGACACAATTTTTAGGCAGTTGTGTGTCATGGGCTTGTAACTCAAGTCTTTTATGTGCCCAGAGATATCCCTGTTTGCAAGTCTGGCAAACTAAACTCTTTGTTGTTGGTTTTTCCTGCTATGTCTCAATTAGAGAAAAGGACTGTTGATTTTGAATAGTTAATTTGTGACACTGCAGCTTTAGAAACGCATTTAGTTGGTCAACCATAAAGCTTCCCTTGGATTCTGAACCATTAGATTTTGAACCATTAAACTCTTTGTTTTGATGGTACCACCTAGGTCACAGCATCACTCTGCCTGGGTCAGCTGACTCCCAGGGTCCTCCCCTGTCTTCTAGGCCCAGTAAAGCTCCACCTAACTTGTTGCTCGAAGACAGGAGTGCCTGGCGTGCTCTGGTCCATGGGGTCACGAAGAGTCGGACACGACTAAACGACTAAACAACAACAACAACTTGTTGCTCAGTCTGACCAACTTGTTCCTGGTGTGGAGACACTGCCCAAATCCCTGCTTGCTTCTGTGAACCTTGACCCCTGTCTGTGCCAAGCATTTACTTCTGGCCCTCTGATATTTGTTCGCTATAGGTTCTGGCTCATGTGGACTGCCAGCCCGTTACCGCCAGCCTCAAAACCTGGCTAACTAGGGCCTGACAACAGGTCTTGTGTGACAACAGCTCTTGCGTCTCCGAGGTTTTGAACAGCCACAAAATTAATCTGTGTGCACTGGAATGCACACAGGAGTGTGGAGACCACCTGTCCGTGCACTTTGCTTTCAGTGGGGTGGATCCAGAGGGGCTTCTTTCCACAGTTTTAACTACTCACCTGAATCTGGACCCTCTGATCCTATTTTGCTGCTCTGGAATTCAACACCTGTGTGTTTGGGACCACAACGCTTGCTTCTGGACTGGCAGCCATCTCCCATGGCTGGAGGAAGCTCCTCAGGATCCAACTCAAAGGATGTACTTTCAGAAGTACATGTGAAATGACAACCCAACCCATATTCTAGCACAGCTTTGAATAAAATACTTCATGAAGCATGACTGATGCTTGCCTGACATTTAACATTTAAAACAACTAGGATTTTAAGAAATAAATATGCATCGCAAAACTAAAAGAGCCCCCTTTGCTCTCAAGATTCAGTATGTGTGTCCTTCCTAAAAGTATTTGGTCAGTAATGATGTCACTGGATTTCTATGCGTACAATTGGTTTTTTCCAGAGCCAGCAACAACATGGAATTAACTGCAAGGCCAGTTAACTTGCTCCTGAATCTTCCAAGGTTTTCTATGCCAGCGAAAAAGAGGAACTGCCATTACACAATCAACATCCTGCTTAAAGAAAGTACAATCCAGCCTCCCTCCCGCCGCTTCTTCTTCAGCGTTCTGTAGCAATTGAGCAGCGAGCTGCAATTTGACAGGGGTTGTGCACATGTGTCCTTGTAAACTTCCGACAAACAGACCAACTTCTGCAGAAAGAGAGGCCTTCTGGGAAGCAGGAACTTTCTCTCTCTCTCCCCGCTACCCAGCAAAACAACAACAGCTGCCTTTCAGTAGCGATGGAGAAAGACCTGCTTATGGGGTGAGTTGTTATTTAACAAAAACAATTTTGTTCTACTAAATAAAGCCATATGTGATACATTTTTTAAAAAAAATAAATGTTGAAGACAAATCCGACAGTAACGGCAACAGATGAGGAGGTAAAGAGGACTCATCATTTCCAGTACATTAGTTGGCACTGAAAAAATACAATTCACAGTGTATTTCTTAACAGAGTTGCAAGTGGAACCCTATGCCAGATTTTTCTTTTTCTTTTTTACCCATATGCTGGAAATGCTTTTGCTTCCCGGTATAACAGTCTGTTCTGTTCTATTTTCTGTCGATTTGTTTTGTTTTTTCATCATCTGTTACATAGGACAGAGCAAATCCGTGGGAACTGAAACAAAATGCTACAGTCTGGAGTCCTCCTGTTCAGGAATCCAAACACTCCAGACACCCCTTTCCTTTTTAAATGTCCCTTCTTACCCCCTTCCCCAAGTCAGCGTTCTGTGGCCACTGAGCATGCTCAGTACTTCCTGGACTGGGAGGGTGTTTCCTCGCTGAAGATTTTTTTGTACGTTCAGCCAGCTGATACCTCTCCCTCATATGTGTAGATGGTGTGATTTTGGCTACATAAGAACCACATTTGGGGGATTTGTGATCACTGGTGGTATATATGATAGTATTCAAGCTAAGAATACGGCTTTCGATTTCTCTTTTTATTAAGGGAAATTTTTTAGATAACTCAAATATTCAGCAGTGGTTCAGATAAGCAGCAGGTGAATTGGGCAATATGCTCCCATACTTAGACGGCAGGTGGGGGAATGTTGTGGCTGAATGACCCTCCATAGAAAAAAACCAGACCACCTGCATGTAGAGAACTCGATGTCAGACAGAAGGGTTTTAGCCTAGCCTTCTCTCTTAGGCCTCAACGGCACTATATATTGAAAACAGTATCATAGTACTTTAAGCAGCCATGACTCCTCTCAAAGAATCCTGGGAACTGTAGTTTACTACAGGTTGTTGGGAGTTGTTAGGAGACCCCCCCCATTCCCTTCCCTGTGCTACGATTCCCTGAGTTCCCTGAAAAGTGGGGTCAGCTGTTAAACTGTTCTGTGAATTGTAGTTCTGCCTGGTAGCCCTAACCCCTAGCCTCTGCCCTTGATTGTAACATCTGCGTGGGAAACGGTCTGTGTATTCATATACAGTGGTACCTCAGGTTAAGAACTTAATTCGTTCTGGAGGTTCGTTCTTAACCTGAAACTGTTCTTAACCTGAGGTACCACTTTAGCTAATGGGGCCTCCCGCTGCCGCTGCGCTGCAGCCACACGATTTCTGTTCTCATCCTGAAGCAAAGTTCTTAACCCGTGGTACTATTTCTGGGTTAGCGGAGTCTGTAACCTGAAGCGTCTGTAACCCGGGGTACCACTGTACAGTCAAACCTCAGTTGTTAAACACAATCCGTTCCAGAAGCCCGTTAGGCTTCCAAATTATTTGACAGCCAAGGCATGGCTTCCAATTGGCTCCAAGAGCTTCTTGCACTCAAGTGGCAGCTGTGTTGGATGTTCAGTTTCCAAAAAATGTTCAGAAACTGGAACACTTACTTCTGGGTTTTCGGTGTCCGGGAGCCGAAACGTACGATAACAGAGGCGTCCGGGAACCAAGGTTTGACTGTTACCTGAAAGCATATTGGCTCCTGCAGGATCCAGATTACACCTTCAGAGACTCCCCTTTAGGGTGCAGGTGCACAGGCTTCTGGGTAGAAGTTGTGAGAAGGTCGGGCTGGGTGTGGGGATAGGGCTACAGATGAAACTCTGTCTCCCCCCAGCCCTCCCCAGCTCTCTACCCAGGTTGACCATCTGCACAGGCTCAGGAAGTCAGTAATGATTTGTGGTACAATAAGCAATTGTGTTTCTTCACTATGGAAAAATCCATGCCTCCTTATCTGTACATTCAAGGCGTACAGCGCCGTCAGTCACAGGACAGGAATATCCCAAAGGTGCCCTGTCAGTCTGGCATGCTTAACTGCCCTACCTTATAGCCTTGGGGAACAGCTGACTGTCACGTTGAGTCAGAAAGATCCAACTCTTTCAAAAGAAGTTAAGCGACGTTCTTTTGTTTGCCTTCTTTCAAACAGAGACGGAAATTGTGCAAGTTATGGAAGTGACGGTGTCCTCTCCCCAAAGATTGCACAAGGTAAGGCAAACCTAGAGTTAGCCAGCCCTAGGCTGAGATAAGATCTGAAAACAGTTTCCAAGCAAAATCTACAAGATGGGCAGGGTATTTACAGTCTCCGGGTTTCTTGTTGTGCAAAACAGATGAGAGAAGAGGCTGGTGGCAGTGCAGCCGACATACACGTATACATTGTATAGGAAAATCACTGAACTTTGTTTGACTTGGGGCACAAGTGGCCGTGAATGGCTGCTGGTGCTTGTTTAATTTCCCCAGGATTTCAGACAGGGGAAATTCCTTTCCTTCACTGGAGATGCCTGGGGCAGAAGAACCTTCATGCAAAATCTAACACAGAGCTATAGCCCAAATATATATATAATAATAATTTTTAAAATACTATTCTTAATTTCATTTATATCTCAGTAGCTATGTTTTATATTTTTAACATGATTGTTCTATACTGTTAAAGGTAAAGGTAAAGGGACCGCTGACAATTAAGTCCAGTCGCAGAGGACTATGGGCTTGCGGCACTCATCTTGCTTTACTGGCCAAGGGAGCCGGCGTTTGTCGGCAGGCAGTTTTTCCGGGTCATGTGGCCAGCATGACTAAGCCGCTTCTGGCGAACCAGAGCAGTACACAGAAACGCCGTTTACCTTCCCACCGGAGCGGTACCTATTTATCTACTTGCACTTTGACGTGCTTTCGAACTGCTAGGTTGACAGGAGCAGGGACCGAGCAACGGGAGCTCACCCCGTTGCGGGGATTCGAACCGCTGACCTTCTGATCGGCAAGTCCTAGGCTCTGTGGTTTAATCCACAGCGCCACCCGCGTCCCTTCTATAATGTCAGTTGGCACTTTTCAGAACAACTTCCTCCTTCCAGCATTCCCCCCACCCCCAATTTCTATGCCTCTCTCCTAGACAAAATATCAGTGATAGAAATGGCATCCCAACAAACAGAAAAGCTCCAATACTGCTTAATTAGATTTGGCTTTTTTTTTTTACTGTTGCTGCCAAATATTATTTTCTAAGAATACAAAAACATTGAATCCATATACTACTCCATGGTAGTATAGCGCTGAGCATGTTAGTGCAACTTGGTTTGTTTGTTGGACTAACTACAGCTAGAATATGCTACACTTTTATGAGTTTGGATATAATGCCTGCATATAGACCATACATTTAAAATACATGACCTCAAGGATCCTAGAAAATGTAGCTTGCCCCCCATGGAGCTAAAACTCTTAGCACTCTTAACAAACTACAGTTCCCAATATTTTTGGGGTGTGTGCGTGTGATTTAAATCTGCTTTAAATGTATAGTGTGCGTGCTGCCAATGAGAAACAGCAGTATAGTGGTACCTCTGGTTGTGTACAGGATCCATTCCAGAGGACTGTTCGCAACATGAAAAGAGCACAACCCGCAGCAGCGCGTCTGCGCACGTGTGGGTTGCGATTCACTACTTCTGCACATGATGTCATTTTGTGCTTCTGTGCATGCGCGAGCGGCAAAACCCAGAAGTAACCCTTTCCAGTACTTCCAGGTCGCCGCAGGACGTAACCTGAAAGAACGTAATATGAATCAAATGTAACATGAGGTATGACTGTATATTCAAAACGGAAAGCAGACATTTTCAATCTTGCTCCCTAATGCACAGTGAGGAGGGAGGTTCACTACCACACATTCTTGTAGCAGAAAACCACAGTTTCTAGTCATATGTTAATTGGGACAGACTTTTCCTGTGAAAATCTGACAATTTAAGCACATTCCCTCTGAGAGTTGAAATACATTCATACCTTCAAAATGAGATTCTCACCATTTTGTCTGTCTGCTCTCAGAACAAAATATTTGGATGCCTGTGCTATTGCAGAAATGCCCCCTGTTTGCTGTGGATGATGAACAGAAAGCTCCACCTATATTTTCTCAAGCACTTCCTCTAATGCTCTAACCACGTGTGTTGTGAAATGCCACATACTTAATCGGTTCTCCTTCAGAAAGTTCCACTGACACATTCCTCCTCAAGCGTTGCACCTTACAAAGCTGTTAAAAGGAGTTGCTGCTCAAATATTTACTCATCCTCTGACGCTGTGAAAGATACTTTGGCCATAGCAGCAATCGGCCTACTCACACTCTCTGGGCTAATGCCTTAGGCTTCTTTGGAAACAAGAGTTTTATTCGAGGAATCTTCCATGCGCAGAACAGAGCGTTTGAGAGGCAGCTGGAACAGAAAAGGCATGCCTGGTATGTGAGACAGAGGAGCTTAAATCCAAACATCTTCTTTTCTTTAGGAATTGTTTAGAGCAAAATTCAGCAGTGGTATCTCGCGTGCTGGAGCTAGACTTCAGAGTTGTTCTGGAGTGCCGCTGGTAAACGGTTCCACACAAATAGGGTGGGAGACTCAGAGCTGATTAAGACTGGACCTTCCATTTGAAATCAAAGTAAGGAAACGAAAACAAAACCGAGAGAGCTGGGGATATTCACTCAGCACTGCTTCTAGCAACAGCAGCTTGTGCAAAACAAAAAAAGGGATGTACTAACTGGTGTGAACTAGACAGGCACTGAAATAAAGGAAAGAAGCATCAACTCCATAACACATCCAGAAGCTTATGTAAGTAAGAATAACATTCTCTAGCATGTTTCCTTTTCTTCTGTATGTTTTGAGCTTCACAAATAAGTTCCCCCCCTACAGAGGCCTTGAAAAAGTTAGTCAAACCTGGCGTTTATGTATGTAAACTGTGTGTGAGAGAGAGGGGAGGGAGAGATTTTATTTACTAACAACACAATCCTTTACTGTATGTCTACTCAGGAATAAGTTTCATTCAGTTCAGTGGGGCTTGATGCCAAATAAGTGTGTATACAATTGCAGCCAAACAAATTAGCGTTCGGCATAAGCTGTCTGACTAAAATGGAATCATGCTCATTTCAAGGAGATGACTTTGATTCAGGGAGCTGACAGTATGTTCCATTTGATTAAAATAGAAAATCGTCACATCACACCAATATCTGTATATTATTTTCCAAAAATGAGTGGTGTTCGGACTTACGCATCAATTGAAACAACTGCCTCTGACTTCATTTTAACCTCTCCCATTCTGCTCCGGTATGTTCTATGGACTATCTACCGGTAATCCTTATCTATCTTCTGATCAATCTCTTGATTGTTCAGCACAGGAATTTAATAACTGTATTCACAGTCAGGATCAATCTAGTATACTGTTACCCAGGGCTTTTTCAGGGGGAACTCACAGGCACTCAGTTCTGGCACCTCTCAGGTGGGTGCCATTGGCATTCTAAGAGAACGAGGGAGGTGTTCATGGTGAATTCCAGCATTTTTTTCTAGAAAAATACCACTGTTGTTACCTGTGGTTGGTATTCAAAGGGATTGCAGGCTTTTCCAAGACTGCATGATTTAAGAAAGTGTATGGTGTTGAACAAAGTTTAGTAATTTACTTGGCAGGCTCTATTTTTTTATTGTTCCATTTCAATAGCACTGTCCATTTAAAATAATTCTAACAGAGGTTTTTCCCCTGAACCTTTTCATCCTCACAAGTTAGGCGATTATTCTTCTCCATTTTACAAACTGAGAATTTTCAGATAAAAAGGGATTTTCTTGTAGCTGGTAGATTTGACAGTCCGTTTCCAAGATCCAAGTCCAACACATCACCTGTTGGAAAACACTGGACTTAACAATGCCAGCGGTAATCATCTTCTCACTGTGTCTAGCACATACACTTAAGAAGGGAGACGAGTTCTTGAAATGTTGGGCCCTACAGAAGATATTTTACAGGTGCATTCAGGATGATTTGTGCTCATGATGCTATTGGGGTGGTCACACACACTCCTGTATTCTAGCTGTTTTGCCTTCAAAATTTTCAGGGCAGTCTCATGGTATGAATAGCAATCCACGCATGGTCAGTAGCTTCCAGCAAAGATCCCAAAACTTTTAACACCAGAAATATTTCATGGCAGCATGCCAAACTGAAGTTGCTTCTTCATGATGCAACCATTCCCACATACATCCTGTTGATTTTGTGTGTGTGTGTGTGTGGAACTGAACACAGCTTAAGCGCGGCCATCAGAGCCTGAGCATTAAAAATGCAAGATCAATAGTGTGGTGTTGGCATGGCGCCATAGTGCAAATAGCCCACTCTCTTTTGCTACTTGGCTTGCATCAGGAGCATAAAGAAGAAGCTTTGTGGCTGGCTGAGCCTGTTAGGGTTTTGTTTTGCAGTAAGGGGAGGTAGGTGTGTGTGTGTGTGAGAGAGAGTGTGTGTATCAGTGGGTGTACAGAAGAAACTGAGGAGTGGGGAACAGGTAGCTCTTTCCCTCCATCTCTCCCTCCTCCGTACCCTCCAGCATCTTTGTCCAGCTGCTGGGGGCAGAGAGGGAGGCATCAAAAACTGGATTTCCTGCTGCAGGCAAAGGAGAAGAGCAGCAGCACATCTGCCACCGATGGAGGACTGTGCAAAAGAGCAGGGTGGCAAGGCATCACAGCACACCTAACCGCTATTGTTGAAAATAAGAGGAAGGATGGCTGTAACAATTTGAAAGGAACCAAAGGAAGCTAGTGCACACTCCACGATGTGGAAGTACTGAAGAACAATTATTTAATGGGAGGAGCAGCAGATGTCCAGTACCAAACCATCACAAACCCAGACTTTAGAACTCCTTCCCTAGAGAAGCTAGACTGGCTCCCTCCTTGCTGAAGATGCCTTTGTGCTAATGGGCTTTTGGGAACTGACTGCTTTTAATGAACGGGCTGGTGCTGTGCTGTTTTTACTGTAATCATTTGTTACACACACACACACACACACACACACACACACACATAACCAATACAAATGATTACAGTATATATATATATATATAAATATATATGTTTGTTTTAATAATGGGTTTTTCCTATGTTTTTAGCAGTTCTTATTTTTATCTCAAAGGTGCCTCGAGTCCCGTCAGAGAAAAAGCCAGGGTATAAATAAATAGGTTAATAATAATAATAACAACTTGCAAAAAGAAACCCATATGGAGGAACCTTCTGTGAATTACCCTGTTCTGTATCATCTTTCTGTGTTTTAGGTGCATCTTGTAATTCATCTCTCTGGGAAGGAGCCTCTGCCCCTCCTTGTGAGATGATGGACAACAGCCCTGAGGATGAAAAGGAAACTGTTGCAGATGCTGGTGAGTTGACATTTACATGAGTCCAAGCTATTAGAGGTTTCCTTCAAAAAATGGAAGTCTTGTCCAAATGGAGAGAACAAAAAGGAACACAAACTTTGGCAAAAGAAAAGAAAAGTGCAAGCAGACAGTAAGAGATACTGAAAAAGAATTTGAGGACTATATTGCTAAAAAATATTAAGGCTGACAAAAAAGCAATTATTTAAATATATTAGCAAGAGACCATCTAGGGAGATGGTTAGACCCTTGGATGACAAGGGAATCAAAGGAATGCCAAAGGAGAATAAGGAGATTGCGGAGAAGCTGAATTAAGTATTTGCACCTGTCTTCACAATGGAAGATATGGGGCAAATCCCAGTGCCTGTACTAACTTTTGCAGGAGAGGAGTCTGAGAAACTGAGGCTGATAATGGTGATGAGAGAGGAAGTTCTAGGCCTAATAAACAAAATGAGAACTGACAAATCACCAGGTCTGCACTCACAACCAATATATTTAGGAGCAAAACAACCAAAAGCTAGTTTTAAAAAGATTGTTTACAATTGCTGACAGAAGACAAAGGGGATGATGACATCCTCTCGGGGCACTGTCTGCTCCAGTGTTCTGTGGTCCATCTTGAATCATTATCTCCTTAACACCACCCTACTCCTGAAGTTGCTTTATTGGAAGCCACCATGGAAAAAGCAATCCCTCCAACTGTGCCTTGGAAAGCAATGGCGCATGCCGGGCTGGGGAGCGGGCACTGATCTTACTGGACAGGGAAATTATCATGAAAAAAAATACAGTCTTTCAAGTAGTTTGGCCCAAGCTGCTTCAAACTTTTAAGGTAATAACCAGCACCTCGAGCTGCACCTAGGAAACATATTAATCGGAAAGGACAGACATTACAAATATATCTTTTTTATTCCATTGCAGAGAACCGGTCCATTTCTGATATACCTGCTCACATGTCCTGTGAAGAATATGAGGGACTCCCTCCATATCTAAGAGAGGGAAAGTAAGACATTTCTTTAATCATTGTTTCTGGGTGTTGTTACGAGTGATTGTTAAAACTATTGGGTGGAATCTTGACTGGAAAAGTCCTGGAGAGCTTCAGCCAACCAGTGTAGACCAGGGATAATCAATGTGGCGCTTCTAGATTTTGTTGGACTACAACTCTGACCATTAACCCATACTGATTGGTGCTGATGGGAGTTGCAGTTTAACAACACCTGAAAGGCACCTCTGGTGTAAAGGTAAAGGTAAAGGACCCCTGGACGGTTAAGTCCAGTCAAAGGCAACTATGGGGTTGCAGCGCTTATCTCGCTTTCAGGCTGAGGGAGCCAGTGTTTGTCCACAGACAGCCTTCTGGGTTATGTGGCCAGCATGACTAAACTGCTTCTGGCACAACAGGACACTGTGATGTTTACCTTCCCGCCGCAGCGATACCTATTTATCTACTTGCACTAGCATGCTTTTGAACTGCTAAGTTGGCAGGAACTGGGACAGAGCAACAGGAGCTCACCCCGTCACAGGGATTCAAACTGCCAACCTTCTGATCGGCAAGCCCAAGAGGGACAATACTGAGCTAGATAGACCAATGCCCTCACAGCAATCACTATTGAAAAGGGTTGACTATGTGTTACCACCTTCATGTTGCTATTATTTTTACCTGCCCTTCACCCTAAGGTCCGAAGGTGGGTTCACAACATTAAAACACAATATTATAAACAGTTTAAAACATCTTACAATCGCAGAAATAATGTGGGCCTCAAAATACACATCCTAAGTGTCCAAAGCAGCCCTTGAAGTTGTTCCAATTTTGTTAACGTTCAGGCATTTTTAAGGCTATAAATTCCAAGTATAAAGTTATCTAGCAAGTACTACAAACTGAAACATGTCTTGATTTCCTTTCCCAGTGTCCTCTTTGCTTCTGAGCAAGATGTTAAAGAAGCCTTCCTACAGTACGCAGCCAGTAAGCGTTGCTATAGCACAGCCCCTGCAAAGCAAATGAAAGTCCAGAATCTCACTCCTCTCAACATATACAGAGTATGTACCATAGTAGTATAAAGCGAAGTGACCGTTCCTGAAAATCAGGCTTTGTGAGCTTCAAGCCAGAGGTTTAGCTCAGCTGCTCTCAGGCTTTTCCCTAGGAGCCACTCAGGTCAAGATAATTGAACGTTCAGGTTCCCCAACATCACACCACTTTGCATTTCCCTGTGTTTTCGGTATGCCCCATGACTGTTAGGTATAGGAAATGTTCTTGGAAAAAAGCAGGTATCTTTTCAGTTGGGATCCAATAGTTAATTCTTAAAGAGGGATTTGCTGGCATGAGAAGTCTATGCAATGGCTGTGTTCTAGCTACCTGTTGGAGGCAGTTTATCTCTGAATGCCAGTTCCTGGGAACAAATGGGGAGAAGACAGCTGTTGCACTCAGGTCCTGTTTTGGGGCTTCCCATAGGTATCTGGCTGACCATGATGAGAACAAGATGCTGGACTAGGTGGGACATTAGCTTAATCTGGCAGGTCTCTTCTTATGTTCTTATGCATTCTTAAAAACCTTTACTCCTCATTGTGAAAATGCCAGAGTACGCATATAAGAGTCAGTGGTGGTGCGAGAGTTATTTCCAAAAGATGTGGTTATTACTTAAAAATAAAAAAATAGAGCCACATTTTTGACTTAGTTGTTATGTTGAAATTATAACTAATTCTGAGAACGAAAATGTAAGTAGTATCTAAATCAATAATAATAATAATAATAATAATAATAATAATAATAATTTATTTGTACCCCGCTCATCTGTTTTGGTTTCCCCAGCCACTCTGGGTGACTTCCAACAAAGATTAAAAAGTGGCAACTCAGGAGAGCCAAGGCACGTGTCTTGAAATCCCTTCTCCTTAATTTTGTGGGTACAAGCTACAGTTGCACAGTATGTTAATGGTTTGCTTTCTGGTGTAGGGACCCAAGTAGTGGCATGTCAGCTTGCGGTGGGACTTGGCATGGATGAATTCAGTTTTTATTTCTGTCCGTCTCTCATTTTTCCAAACATAAATTCAGTTTGCCACATTCCCATATTAGTTTGCAATTTATTTATTCATTTAAAAAAGAATTTCCTCATGGAAATTCTCCAGCATTTTGCCTAATTATACCTATTTCTGTAAGCCATTTTGCATAAAACAATGCTTTTTTTAATGTATGTTATTCCACCTATATATACATTTTAAAATGCACACTTTCTTGTTGCGAATGCATTTTTGGTACACATTTTTGTGTTGGAGAACTGCATTGCAAAATTTGGAGAATTTCAAAGAATAGTTCCATTTTTGTTTCTGGGAGTGCAGGTTAGGTAGGTTGTGTTAAAATGAGAATGGAAGAAGATCACATTTCTTTCCATCTCTAGGGAGGGACTGGAGAGGGACAACAGCTTAGCAGCAAAAGGTCCCAGTAAAAAAAAAGATCAAGCAGCAGGTAGAATTCAATATTTGCAAATCCCTATAGAAAATGATCTGATCGCACCTTTCGTGTGGAATGGAATTTCCCTTATCTATTCTTCAAATGTTGTAGCACAGTTCATGCCATATGCATGGATACAGAATTAACTCCCACTGACTTCTGCAAGACTTATTTGCAAGTCACCATGTATAAGATTGCAGCCTAAATGTATCAAAATATATTATTTAAATGCATAGGTTATTTTTGAGGAGATAAATATTTTTAAATGTAGTATGCATTTAAATATATCTATGTATACTGAGGAAAAATGCATATTTGGGGGGAAATTCTTTTTAAATTCCCTCCTCCAAAAATAATAATAATGCAGAAGTGGAATAGAATAGGATTATGAATAAAAATATGCAAAAGCAATAGGGACCAGAAATAGATAGCTTAATCCATTCCTAGCTGCTAGTAGACAGCTTGGGTTAGGACTAGGTGGACAGTACACAGGCCTCTTTCATTCTGTGCATGCTTAGAGGCGTTATTTCACAAAGTCTGGGGCTTAGGCTCAGTGCTGAAAATGGATTCTGGCTGTGAGCACTTGTGCAATTTAAGTACAGGGCAAGCACCATCTCTAGACCTTTCCCCCTTTTGCCAGAATATAAAATTGTCACGAGTTTGACTGTGTGAACTGCTGTGTGGGCAGGCTTTCAACCAGATAACTGAATGGGTGGTGAGAGAATTTAACAAAAGAACATTAATGTTCATGCATGGTTGGAAATCTCTCCATGCTGCCTTGAGAAGGTGACACCCTTCAGTTCATGAAGAGAAACGCTTGTTGCTGTTTGAATCCAAAGAGAAGAGTTGGGCGTTTGAAGCTGAAGTGTGCTGGACTGGAGAAAGCCCAGGACCTTGATGGTCTCCATACGATCGTTTTCTGGGAATCTGATGCAGAACAAGTATTTTTGTAGGACCCTTTCTGCTTCTATAAACATTTTTCCCCTTTTCTTTTTCAAATTACTTCTCATACAAAATGGTTGTGGTTAAAAGATGAGCTGTGGGTCGACAAGGCAAAGCTCAATAATTTGCACCGCTGCTCTTAATTCCAGATGTGTTGTAGTTATTTAACGGTGAAGGAAAGTATTTGCACAAACTCAGAAGTTGGTCTAATCCCTTCACGTACTCTAGGGTTGAATCTTTAAATATATGAAGAACAGTGCTGCACTCTGTTGAGTTCTGGCTAAGATCAATTGAGAAGCCAGCTCTCCACGCAACACTTCTCATTTGCAGGTTTCGTTTCTTAAAAAGAACCATTTCAAGTCCACTTCCACATACCCTTACGTTATAATTTTGATAGGGTTTTTTTTTCTCCTCCTGTCCTCAGTATCGTCTGGAGACTTTCACTGAAATGAGAGACACCCACGTGGCCAGTGAGCTTTATGATGGTGAGTCACACATGAAAAATAAGATAGCCAGGCCAGGCTTTCTACTCTCCGAGCGATTGCCACCTCATATCTTTCCAGCTACCAAACAGGGCCAGATTGAGTTTTCTTCTCTCAGAGAGATTGGCACCTCATACTTTTCCAGCTTCCAAATTAAGCTTCCTTCTCTGATAGTTTGTTACTGTGTACCTTTCCAGCTACCAAATAAAGAGGGGCATCGTGATTAGCATATGGAAGTCTCTGGACAAACCTGTGCTCAAATTTCCCTCAGCACTGTAGGTGAATTGGGTGAACTTGGGCCGATTGTTCTTTCTTTTGTCCTAATCTGAAGGTCGTTTTATATTTTGTGTTCTGAGCTCCTAGAGGGAAGTCTGCAATTAAGTAAAGCTAACATAATTACTACACATCTTCCAATTTAGAAAGCAGGTTGCTCTTTCCTTTCTATTTCCAGCAGAAGTTGTGAGGTTGTGGGCAGCTGCTGACAGGAGTCATATTTCCTCATATACAACCAGTTAGAATGAAATTAGCTTACTTTGAGCTCAGGGTGTGAAAGATTTAGACATCCTTCCTTTCAGGAAAAGAAAGACTGCTCATATTCCTCTTTGGAGGGGAGCAAATTATTTAATGCAGCAGAAGAATAATTAACATTGTACTATCTCACGCTATTCAGAGGAGACTGAAAAGTACAGGCTCCTTAGGTCCCATGGTGATTCTTGAACTCTTCATAGGTTTTCCACAGGACGGGACTTCCGATTCAGCCATTCTCTGTTCTCTAAAGACAGAGAAGGAAACAGTACCCAACAGTGTAGTCCAAAGGCCTCCCATACTTCTCAAAACATTTATTTAATTATTTGGTTATAATTTTAATTTAAATCCTGCTTTTCTACACATAGGCAGTGTGTTGTTACAACGACAATAAGAATATGATAAAAACAACAATTGTAATTTTTTTTAAAAAAAAAAGCTGATAAAAATATCAAGTGTGAAAGCAGTCAACACTAAACATCAAATGCATAATAAAAAGAGCATTTAAAAATAATAATCGTATTGAGACCAGAGAATAGGGAGTTTTGGGTTACTTTTCATACAGCTCTATTATTTAGAGCTGTTGACTCAAAATACCTGAAGGCAACTCAGTCCCTTCGCTACATTCCTCTGCCTTAATTTCTTCAGAGAAGGAAGTTCCTCAGTGGAAGTTTGTTATATGGCAATGAGAGAGAGTGCCTTTTTGTGGTAGTACCACGCTCCCCATAGGAGTACCACTGGTGTCAATATTGAAATCCTTCAGGTGCCAGATTAAAATCTATGCTTTTTAAAGTTTTGCACTGGTGGTTATTAGTCTGCTCTGCTATTGCTGTTGCCATAATATGTTTATATTGTACTTGTTTTATTGTACTGTCTTGTTTTGTTTTATGCCTCTGTATACCATTCTGGTATCTGTATAGATCAGCCTTCCCCTTTTTGTTGCCCTCCAGATATTTTGGATTCCAACTCTCATCATCCCTTTCCATTGGCTGTGCTAGCTGGGGTTGATAGGAACTGGAGTCCAACAAGATCTGAAGGGTACAAGGTTGGGAGACGCTAGCGTACATGAAAAATGGGTTTAAAGGTGTTGTTCAGCTATGACATCCATCGGCCCCAGCAAGCTTTGACAGTGGTCAAGGATGATTTGCGTTGTAGTTCATCAACAACTGGAGGGCACCATGTTGGTTTCTCCTGCTCTAGGGCCTCTCAAGGGAGAAAACCATAATATTTACTTGTCCTATTGTATTGTACTGCTGAAAAACATTTAACCAGCACCGATGATTCAGGGAAAGCTGCTGTTCTGGTTGAAAAATCCCAGAATATCTACCCACTTTGAGACAAACATTAGTAATGGCAGGTCATTTGTCAACCTGTCATTTTGCCATTGAAGGTGGGGGTACATCATTCTTACTAATTTTATGGTGGCTTCTGTTCTTCCAGGTGGATTTGTAGACTCCTTTGCTGTTGGAATACCACCTCTCCCATGGGATATAACAGTGGATGAACCTCCTTTGTTTACGGACTGTGAAATGCATATTCCAGTGCCCCATTCGTACTCAGTAGAGGTAAGAAAATAACAAGCCATTGGCTGCTCTACACAGGAGTTCAGTGGGGTTTACAATGCAACCCTGTGCATGTTTCCTCCGAAGTAAGACCCACCGTGTTCAATAGGGCTTATTTCTGTGAGTCTCCCTAAAAGGCAGGCAGCAAATAGAACAAGATGGAGAAGAATGCATGGTATTACGGCCTTGTTGACATTTTCCACCAGGGGAGACCTGAGGCGTTTCTGTGCTGGAGGTGAAATGTCCTGCTGCTGCCTCTGTGATGTGAGGGTGCAAATTCTGTAAGGCCTTTTCCCTGACTGCGTGTAGAGTCTCCCCTGCTGGGCAGGGGGCATCCTTTTCAGATCCTGACTCCCACCCAAGCTGTGGTCCTTCCCATCAGCTCCTCCATTCAGGTGACAGGAGGGGAGGTGTTCCACAGAGCTTTCCCACTGGTCTCTCTCTGCCCTGAGGCTGGGGAAACCAGCGGTGAAGCTGAGCAGTGGAGCAGTCCCCCTTGTGGGGTGACGCCTGAGATGGCTGCCTCACCCTGCCTCATGGGGCCGGCTCTGCTTTCTGCCTTGCTGGTTCTTCAAGACTAAAGCCATGTATGCAATCAGTGGTTGAACTCAGGTTTCCTGATCTATTCACCTTGAACTGATGGGTCAGGGCCCACTACTGGGTCAGAACTTACTGAAATTACAGCAGCACCGTAGAAAATATATCATAAAAAGTAAAATAAAATAGAATTGAGAAATTCAAAGTGCTTTTGGCTTAACTTAGCACAAGTTGCACCCCTTCTGAAACCAGTTACTTTAAATACTCTGAAACAAACAGCGTCCCCCAGCCTGGTATTAATTGCTTCTTCCCGCAGTTTATGATCTTGGCAGAGAGCATTGTTTTTACTGCGAGATAATATATTAGTGGAGAAAGTTGTTGTTTTTTTTAACGTATGGGGATTTGGCAGGGAGTATTTCCCCCCCCCCTTTGGTTTATATAGTCTGGTGTGTGTATTTCATTTCAAATGGGCAAGTTGCCATGAAAAACTGATTTGTATCCACCCAGAAGAACAAAGCATGGATATTTTTTCACTAGGCTTTGTGGTTTCCTTTAAAGCGGGCGCAAAAACAAAAAACAAAACTATTTAGGTGGTCTCTCCATGCTAAAATCCAATAGTCTAGGTACATCCTCTAAGTGGGCAACTGAAATCAATGTATCTTAAGTTGGTGCTGAAGTGCAAATCTACCATTTAATTTCAATGGAAAGTAAGTGAGTTCTTAATAATATTATGTGAATGACACCATATGCCTCACTTCAATAGGTTTCTCCATGCTGAGGAAACTGGAAATCTTTGAGCACTTGATTCAATCTGAACCATGTCCTTCCATTCTCATTGCTCCTAACAATTGCTTTTATTATAGCATTGCTGGTCCATGTCATTTCCTTTAATGTGGAAAGTGGAAACCAAAGGTTGATATCAAGAAACAGAAGTGCCAGATTTAAGTGAGAACTGACTACTGCAACCTGCTTTGGGGTTTCTCCCCCTTTTATTACACCTTTAAATAAAGCCACCTATAGGATGTCTTGCTAAAACGAGATCATAACATTGAACAAGTTGACTAGTTTAGGGATTTCTATCATAAAAAGAGTAAAGATTTTGGGTTGATTCAAGCATAGACTTTTTCATAGATGGTAGAATATATATATGGTTATAGAGGGAGACTACTCCTCCCTGTCTGCTTTTCCCACACTTCCGCATTGCAGATGTTTCGTTTGGCTGTTTTGTTTTACTTATGCACTTGTTTTTCATCCTGTGTTTTATTCTGTGAACCATGCTGAGATCATATGATGAAGGGCAGCTTAAATGAATGAATGAATAAGTTTCCCAAATCATTTTCAGTTATACTTCATTCCTTGCTTTCAGGACTGTCCAAACTGCAAAAGACGTGGTGAAACTATGTGTCAGCCTTGTAAAGGAACTGGCAAGGTATTGTATGATGGAAACATTGCCAAATTCTTTTCTGAAATTTCTGGGGTTTTTTTGCAATTGATATTTACTTTCGATTCAAAACGTAAAAGAACTGTTTTTTATTTAAATTATATGAATAATGTGTTTGCTGGAAACCACAGGAAATGAGAGTTTTCTCATGCTCTGGTCCTGCTTTGGGTTTCCCAAAAGCATCTGGTTTTCCACTCTCAGAACAGGATACTAAGCCACTGATCTGATACAGTAGGATCTGCTTATGCAACATGCCCAGCTTGGAGAGAGTGGAACCCTGAACAGGAGCACTCACTGGAGGCTACACTGCAACATTTGGTTGCAGGCACACTTGTTGCATTCTGTTTGTAGGTAAAATCACAACCTACTTAACGTGGCAAATGTGCACTCAACTCTCCAAATGGAAAGAGCGAGTTTCAAAGATAAACACACATGCATGCCTGATTATTTTGTTTTGTCCTTTAATGTAGAAAAAGTGTTCGGCTTGTGGTGGGACTGGTTCACAGGAGGACAGCAATATCTGCTCGTGGTGCGCAGGTTCAGGAAAGAATCGGTAAGTGAATAAGTGGTAAGTTACACCACTTGTATCAGGGACGTGGATGGCGCTGTGGGTTAAACCACAGAGCCTAGGACTTGCCGATCAGAAGGTCGGCGGTGCAAATCCCCGTGATGGGGTGAGCTCCCATTGCTCGGTCCCTGCTCCTGCCAACCTAGCAGTTCGAAAGCACGTCAAAGTAAAAGTAGATAAATAGGTACCGCTCCGGCGGGAAGGTAAACTGTGTTTCCATGTGCTGTTCTGGTTCGCCAGAAGCGGCTTAGTCATGCTGGCCACATGACCCGGAAGCTGTACGTCGGCTCCCTCGGCCAATAAAGCAAGATGAGCGCCGCAACCCCAGAGTCGGTCACGACTGGACCTAATGGTCAGGGGTCCCTTTACCTTTATCTTTACACCACTTGTAGTAAGTTGCATGGCAGGAGATTATTGAGTTGGCTCATCCACCCCCACCCCCCGTTATTTCAGAAAGGGGAATTTGTGATCAATTGTGATTTTTTTTGGGGGGGGGACATGCAGTGTTCTCAGCACTCTCTCCCTCATTCACCTCCCCTGTGATCATCTGTATCAACGTGCCCACTTTACAGCAGCGGCACTGAAACCAGAAAACCATACTGAAAATATTAGCGTTGGTCCATAGTAACGATGAAATTGTTAAAAACTATTCAACTTACAAAAATCTAGCCATATGCAGAGTAAAGAATTATATTGCTTCTAAATGTTAAGTATGTGCACATTTCCTATTTCCCATTTTGTGTGTGTCTGTTTTCCCACCTTCCTCTTCCACAGTTGCTTCAATTGCCGTGGCAATGGCTGGCTGAAGTGTTACCGTTGCAATGGGAGCGGTGTCTTGCTATTTCATACCGAACTTACGATAACTTGGTAAGTTGAAAAGCCAAAGGAAGAAGAGTTCCATGAAGGTGTGCTCTTGCTACAACCCTTGAACATTTTCGAGTGATTCCTTGGCATGGTATTAGCAGAGATCATCACCGAGTACTAGGAATCTTTACAGCGGCTTTATATGGAATCTGGCCATTACTCTATCTAGTTCAGTATTGTCTGCTTTGACTTTCAGTGGCTCTCCAGGGTTTCAAACACAGGTCTCTCCTTGAGATGCCAGGGATTGACCCTGATGCCTTCTGCATGCAAGGCAGCTGCACTACCACATCCCTACTTTCTGCAGCTTTTGCTATATTAAGCTTTATGCTAGGAATGCCCAGTGTACATCAACAGAGAACATCAATTGACACTTCTTTCCTTTCTTCACCATGCAGACTGCTGGACTTGAAATCCAGGAAAGTTACTAGACTGTTTTGTTGTTATTTTTTTATTAGCATCTTACTAGGATTTTTAAAATTGCCAAGTGGGCTTGCATAGAAGGGACGGGTCTCTCTATCGCTTGCCCACCAGCCCACTTGGTTTCCCCGCTGGTCTTCCTCTACAGCCAGCAGGGAAGGAAAGTGGGCTGGTAGATGAGGAACAGGGAACTCCATCTGTCTTCTGCCAGACCCACAATATTTCCTTGTTGGCCATGGAGCAAGATGCTTCACTTTATCCTAAGCCAGCGTTAAAACCAAGTGGGCTGGATGATCCGTCCCTACTTCAGCTCACTCACCTGCAGGCCCTGTCAGAATTCCAGAGAGGTCCAGGCCACTTTCAGGGCCCCAAACCATAATAAAAACACTAGTTTTTATTGTGGTCCCCCCCCCAAAAAAAATAATCAGCTGAGCTAAGAGGACATGTTTATCAATGGTTTAATCTTGTGCTGTGAGAACCTCTCTCCCCCTCTCTCTAACATATATATATTACATATAAATATATATATATATGTAAAAACGTATATATATGTAAAAACAGAAATAATAATTTTATAATTGATTTTATTAAACTCTAAAAATGACAAAATCTACATCAGTTAACAATTTTGTGTCTTTTTCCAAATCACAATTCATATTTGCAGCTCTGAGCTGAGTGTGCCACATTATGGTCTGAGGCTCATAAAAAAAAACCTGTGCATCAAATGCCAAAAAATAGCGTTGCCAGAATTTTTGAGCTCCCCCCCCCCCCCGGCTCGAATGTCTGGGAATTTCTGGACGTATGGCAGCCCTACCAAAAGATTAACTAGTGTATAAATCTGAGGCTCTCTTTGTGTTTAAGGCCCAGGGGAAATGGCCCTTATGCTACCATCTTCTGATTGGCCCTGCTCACTTGCATCTAATTTCTTGTCTAGAGACCAGACAAATAGTTAAATACGAGGCTATTCTAGTGGTCCATGACGTTTTCCCATAGCAATGCTAGTAGAGCCAACAAAAAAACCTCCAAATGACCGAGCAACCAAGTCACACACAGACCAGTCTCTCCCCCCCCCCCACTTTCATCTCACCTCATCATAAATCACTGGAGCCAAAATTCCTTGCTAAGCAAGACACATTTTCCGAGTCATCCAAAAGCAATGTGGGAAATTGTGGTATCAGGATACAAGCAAAGCCTTCATTCAGATTGCAGTTATACACAATTACCTAGAACTAAGTTTCACTGAAATCAATCAGTGGGAAGACATGCAGGTTTGCTGTATTAATTTTTCTTTTCAGTGCTGTCTAGGAGCTGGATGTTGTGAGGTCAGCACTGTTACGCTTTGCCCAGCCTACTTTGTCCTTGAACGTGTGCCTGAAAAAGAAAGCAAATGTGTCTTCTTCGTTTCTGTTTTCTCAACAGGAAGAACAATGTTTTAGAACATGTAGCAGACAAGAATTCTGGCTTCCCAGTTCACCATTTGCAAGAAGTGACTGGGAAAGAAATTGTTAGTGATGAAGGTTCCTTGGTAAGCCACATTCAACCAAATAGCCTGGGGACATGGGTGCTGTTTTTCTTTTGTGCGGTGTGGATATACTCAGGATGGGGGATAAATTCAATTCAGTTCACATTTAAACTTACCTAATTCACACTTTCTGAAATAATCTGTGAACCAAAACACAGCCCTCCTTCAAAACCTTCACTTCTCTAAATGTTGCAGTGCAGTTCTATAGCCACATAATGGATGTGCTATAGTGTATATAGTAAACATAGGGATGTGGGTGGCACTGTGGTCTAAACTACAGAGCTTCTTGGGCTTGTTGATCAGAAGCTTGGCAGTTGGAATCCCTGAGACGTTCGAAAGCGTGCCAGTGCAAGTAGATAAATAGGTACCGCTGCGACGGGAAGGTAAACTGCATTTCTGTGGGCTCTGGCACTCGTCCTCCGTGTGCCAGTAGCAGTTTAGTCATGCTGGCTACATGACCCGGAAAACTGTCTGTGGACAAACGCCAGCTCCCTCAGCCTGAAAGCGAGATGAGTGCCGCAACTCCATAGTCGCCTTTGACCTGACTTAACCATCCTTTACCTTTTTACCATACCAAACATAATGCATAAACATTTTTGAAAGATAGGTCATTCAGGTTATGGAAACACTTTAAATAGGAGCTTAAATACAAGCTTCAGGTAAGCAGTTAAATGTGTGTTTATCAAAACTATAAGGTGAGAAGGATTTGTTTTTTTAATAGGAAATATTGATGGGAATTTCCTATGTCGATATTTTTTTTTTGTTATCCCATGCAAAGGAAGAGTATTTGGGTTGGTTTTGGTGTTTATATGCCCTATACTCAGGGGTTTTTCCCCCAGCCAGAACTTGCCAGAACTCGGTTCCAGCACCTCTCGCATGGATTCTGGCACCTCTCATGTGGGTGCCATTGCCATTCTAAAAGAACAAATGAAGTGTTCATGGCCATCTCAGTTCTACTATATGCAGATGATGTGGTACTCCTATTCCAAACAAAAGTGGGCCTAAAAAGATTGATAAGGGCAATCACAGGATACTGCCAGAAAGAACAACTGACTGTGAATTTGAGTGCTATATTGAAAGGGAATTTTCAATGTGCGTTTTCCTTGGCTCACAATGGCAGGAGAAGCAGCACCTGTTAAATTTCCCACTTATACAGAAGTATTTGGTGCGGCAAAACCCTGTCTTCTATCAGTGGTGGATTTGGGTACGATGGTGCCCTGTACAAAACCAAAATTTGTCCCCTTCCATCCTTGCACTGCCTTCCCAAAGGCAGGGAAGCAAGTCACTGGGCTTTGAGAAGGAAGCACGAGGGGTTGGCAGGGTCCTAGAGCCCTCCTACCTCCTTCCCAAAGCTGGGAAAGCACTAACTATGCTTTGGGAAGGAGACAGGAAGATTCTAGGACTCTATCAGAGCCCAACACCACCTTCCCAAAGCCAAGCGACTCGGGCTTTCAGACAGTGTCCCCTCAGCTCAGCACCCAGTGTGTGTGTACTGCTAGCACAGCCCTAAATCCGCCCTGCTTCTATACTGTATTCCATGCGGACAAGCAAGGAGCATTAAAGAGCCCAAGGACATTCTTGGGCGAATCATAAAAATTCAAGGAAGGTGCAAAGCAGCGTCGGTGAGGGGTGTGCCACTGGGAAGAGCCCCATGGGTAAGACAGAGAGGCCCTGAGGGCTGACTTTTGACCCCTGGACCCGAGGTTCCCCATCTCTGTCCCAAAACAACAACGCCACCACTTTTTGGGTTTTCTTGGGAGTTTAACAATATTTTACAAATGTGAATATAGCAGTGTGTTTTATTTGTTCTCTAGGTATTTCCCATAGTTGATTTCCCAGAGCCATTAGTTGAGGACTATTCCCGAGCATTCATTGCACAACACAATATGCAGTTTACCTCAGAAGGATTGCACAGAGTCCTGAGGCAGGTAGGTGGAAAATGGAATCAATGGATACCTGTAATAAAGGATTAGGGTTTGTTTCTTGTCGGTAACTTGGCATAACTTCTTCTTATTCTTTTTCTTCTACTATGTCATTATTATTTATTAAATGTCTTACCCACCCTTCACCAGCAGGTCCCAGGGAGGGGATAAGAAATGGTTAAAATGAATTAGAGTCGTAGGAATAGAGTGGATCTTGAAAACACATGTATCATGTGTCAAAGGCCAGGGTGAAGAGGTGAATCTTCAGCATGCATCAGAAGCTATGCAGTGAAGGTGCCAGATACACCTCTGTGAGGAGGGAATTCCACAACCTAGGAGACGCCACACAGAATGCCCTCTCCCAGGTCACTCACCCTCACTGAACTTCTGAGGGAGAGATGTAACTTCTTAGAGAGGCAGACTCTCAACAATATTTTTGCTGGCTATACCAGGGCCCAATACTTTTTAGGAAAGTTAAAAGGGAAGTTGTATGCTGGTGAACTGTATGGTGCCTGCAAATGGGGAACGGTTTTTGGTTTTTTATCCTCTGCCTTTGTAAAACAAAAAGGGGAAATGTTGCAGCATTTGAGGAACTTCAGTAATAGTTGTAAGGTAGATATACGAAATTAGATATATTAAGAATAAGTTTAATTATGATAAAAGTGTGTATTGGCAATAAGTATTATGAAATCAAAATATGGAATAGCCGGGAGGTTGGGTCTTTAGTGTTAAGACCAATATATGTTATATTGTTTGCTAAGAAAATTATGTGTCTATAGTTATTCCTGTGTGTAATTTAGAATTTGTGTTTTTTTCTTTTTCTTGTTGTATCAATAAAAAATCTTTTTAAGAAAAGGGCCGGGGGGGGAAGGGAACTGTGAGAACCAATAGGCAGATGTTCCAAAACAAAAGGAAATAGTTTTTCACATAATGCTTTTCTGAAATTCCTTCCTTGTGATGTATGTATCAATAAGGTCAAAATTGTCACGGCCATGAACAGTTGCACAATAAGCTTGTTAGTGAATGTAATTTCATGTGAAGTCATATGAGTTTTAACTCATCACCACAAGCTGGGGATGAACAATGGAGTCATTCAATACCTAGTCCACAGCATACTAGAACTATGGGTATTACAGTGTTACACAAATGATGACCCTCCAAACTGAATCCAACCCATGAGCTGAATATCAGATAGTTCGCCATGAGTTTTGCTGTCTGTGTGGAATGCTCAACTCTTGGCTATTTTGAGATACAGGATGCTAAAGTGAACCAGATGAGTAATCTCTTACCTGGCACAGGAGATATCAAGTATTTTCTTCCTTTAGCTAACAAAGGGGAACTATTTGTGGGTCGACACACTGGTGTCTTGTCGGAGCTCTTCTTTAAAGACAGAAAGGCAGGGCATAAAAGTTCTTCTAAAGAAACAGAGTTGAGCTCAGGTTTGGCAAAGACATTTTGCTGCCTGAAGCAAAAGGCAAGATGGAACATCCTCCCTATTTGATGTGTAGAAGCCAATTGTACTGGCAGCTGAATCTTACTACAAAACCAGAAATGGGATGGCATCCTCCACAGCATTTGAAGTAGCCAGCTAATTTAGGTCGCTGAGGACAGGCCACGTGGCATACAAACTGTGGCTTCCAACACAGGGGAATGTCTGGTGTTCAGGGGTGCTTAGAAGGAGCAGCCAGGGGACCGCTACCACTGCTGCTCAGCATCTGCCACCTGAGGGAGTTTAATGGTAGGGCCGGCCCTGTTTGCTCTTTGAAGCAGGTTTTTCAGTGAATTATATATCTCTTTTTTTCAGAAACAAACAGTTGAGTTGGTGCCACTCACAAAGGTTGACTATGAATGGAAAGAGAGAGTCTATTCCTTCTACATCTTTGGCAATGAGAATAAAGTATATACCAAAGACTATCCAGCAAAGTGCTGCTGCTCCATCATGTGACACGAGGACAGTTTTGGTGGCATTCAGAAACACAGCTGCTCCCGGTTATTTGTTCTTCACGGCAACTTGCAGATTTTTATTTTATTTTATTTGCTGAAGGACATTTTCTGTATGATATTTAGGGATTCAGCCATAGTTCAGCACGGTCGAAGTTGTTTGTGGGTGCTATACACCGGACATTTGTCACTAATACATGACTGCATTGGCTGTGCTTTTCAATTAGGGAGATGAAGGAAACTATTTGTTCTAATGTACGAAAGAGGATTCAATGCATTTGCTTTCTTGTGGTTGTGCATTAGGATGCCTCAAGCTAAGCATCCTGTAAACTTCTTGTGGAAGTATAAGCAGTTCAGAATGAAATATATTCCAGCACTGGGCATCATACTGCATGAATCTCTGCTGTGATTTGCATTCCTCTTAACTAAGAAAGTCAGGTAAGTGAGGGATTGATGGACAGATTTTTCATTTGTCTCCTATACTAGAACAGATCCCCTCTCCCTGCCATTTCAGTGTCTGATTGTACAAGTGCCACATTTAGCAAGGTCAGAGAAGCTGTGGCTCACCAGGCATTGCTGGATTATAACTCCCACCATCCCTTACCATTGGCCATGCTTGCCTGGAAGTGGTCCAGGAGCTCCTCAAGGATCACAGATTCTCCATGCCTGATCTGAAGGATCATAGCATACTCTGATGTTATTGTAATCATAGAATTCAATGAGAAAATGTTTTGAAATTTGAGTCTTAGCTGTGATCAAATGCCCCTGTAGCTGGTGCTCAACAACCTCTGTGTTTAAGTACCAGTATTAAGGCAACTAGCATCTACAGTGGTACCTCGGGTTACATTATGTAATTCTACCTGAAGAAATATCAGGATCACCCCAGAGAATAATTAGTGTGAGTCTGCACACTTTTTTTTTATTTAAGAACACGTCTCAAGTGGTGTAATACATTTAAGCAACCTTTTGGATTTTGTTTCTGTTTTTAAATTAACTTACATCATTGCGTAGAAAATGACTAAGTACAAAACTGATCAGATTTGCTGGAATGCTATGCTATAGGGGAATAATGAGCAAGTCTCCTAATGGTGGGTTCCTCCCCTGTCCTAATACTTGCACAAAACCATGTGGTATAGCAGTCAGAATGCTGGACTTAGTCCAAGGAAACCCACGTTGAAATTTCCACTGAACCATGATGCTCATTAGTTCACAATGGGTTAATTAATAAGAAAAAAACCACACTATTATAGCTACATCCCCCAATTTTCTATATTGGTCCTGCTCTTATACATTTAAGGACCATATGACATACAGATGCTAGTCAAGTGAAGCTATTCCCAGCATGATGTGAAACTAAGTGATGCAGGAAAGCCCTTGTCCACCTGGGTCTAGAATATCCCAGAGTATCCATCTCCTCCTTATCTTCCTGCTGCTCTGTGAACCAGCCAGAAAAGTCATTCCCTTGTCAGAGGCCTTCCTCCATGTCCTCTTGCCACCTGGGCAGGGGAGTTGACTAGAGAAAGCACCTTCTGCGCTGTGGCCCCCAGACTGTGGAAGAGCCTCCCTAGGGAGACACACCTAGAGCCATCCAGATTGTCTGTGAGTTAAATAACATGGCATCTGATCTCATAGAAAGCCCATTCAGGCCAGCCATTGATGCTTTTAGCTCCATATTGTCTCCTCCCTGCCAGCCAGGATGTCAGACAGGAGTCTTTCGTAGCCCTACCTGGAGACGCCAGGAACTGAACCCTGGACATTTGCATGCAAAGTGTGCACTCTACCACCTCTCTTACCATGTTTTTAAACTGCTGCTATTTTAATAATTTTACTGTTTTGTCTTATTTGCAATTTTCATTTTAACTTTTGAGTTGCCTTTGAATAGTTTCTGTCAGAGGCCGTATATATATATTTGTAATAAATAACATAAATCAAAGTTCTGCCTGCTTAATTTCTTTGGGGATGATGTTAATGGCAAAGAAGCCAGACCAAAATAAAAATGTGTTTATTTAATTGTAGCTCACTGGTATTTGATAATAAATTCCAGCGCCGATTAAATGCTTTGGAGTCCTGTCCTTGCCCTAGGACCACTTAAGCCTGTCTTAAACAAATAAAGGTCACTAGTCAGTTCTACAGCATTGTTGTGTCCTGTCACAGTGGTACTACACTGTGAATAAGCGTACCGGACTTCAGGGACGGGAATGGAGCTGGATCACAAATAACCTGTGTAAACTACATAGGATTCCACAGCTGCTTTTCCAGCAGAGGTTGACAGGGAGAAATGGATGCAGAAGTGGGAAGTTGCATTAGGAGGGACAGAATGATATTGTAGCTGTGGTAATGCAAATAATTGACTGTACTATGACCCTACTATGAGTAAATAAGCTCAGGCTGGTATACTGGTATACACGCAAGAGCGCACACACACCCATAGTCATAAGAGGTAAACATGCTGCAGTTGAAACCAAGATCCTATGCCAGATGCCAAGTTCCACGAGGAATTTTGCTTGAGCAAAATTACAGAAAACGAACAGCTCCTTGGGGCATTGTACTGACGTCACTGAGCAGACCAAGCCTTTCATATGAGAGTTTAGAACAATAAGAAGTCTCTTAACAAGATTTTGGGTCGCTAGAACTGCTCCCACATAAGATAAGTAGTTAAAGTAGTAGACAGGTATAATGGATGACTGCCAATGTTAAAGGTCAGTAGATCACAAACAATGATATTCTCTCAAGACATTGTAGTTGGAATTGGATTGTGTAACAGGCAGGACACAGTTCTGAATGGAAGTAATGGACATAAACAACTTCATGTAAGTAATGGACATAAACAACAACTGGAATGATATTATTATTATTATTATTATTATTATTATTATTATTATTATTATTCCTTGTTAAATTTGCTTACTGCCAAAGATGACAGGGTGGTTCACAACATAAAAATACAAAATGAGAACACAAAAGACATAATAAAAACAGTTGAGGCATCATTTTACCTGAACCTCATGACTCGAAAACTTTAGACATGTAGTTCATATATCAAAGCAACGTGAACAAACAACAATCATGTATACCAGACCATTTACTGGTACCAAGCCTGGTATTTGCCACTGTTATCTCAGTTCACTCCAGAAGGAAATATTGCAACACTGTCTTGATAAAGCTCTCAATCCAATGTTTCCAAGACGCAGGGCTCTTTCCCTAGCTATTTTTATTTTTTGCTGTATTATTTTATTGTGCAACTGTAGTGTTTTCTTTTGCAAGTATTAAATATTGTAATATGTTCTTCCCCCTCGGGATCTGATAAATTGATAACAATGTTATCAGAGTATTACAGGCTGTTTTGTTCTGTGTATATGGCATTATTAGCATGCATTTAAGGATGTGAGAATAACTGGGTAGTCAGAATTTGAAAGGACGGTGCAACTGAGATGATAGGCATTACTACTAGAAAGCTGTATGAAGAAGATAACAATTTGGAATAAGAATCTAGGGAGAACCTACAGGATGAGACCAAGGGCCCATCTAATCTGGCACCCTGTTCTCACAGTGGCCAACCAGATGTTTGGGGAAAGCCTGCAAGCAGGACACGAGCACAACAGACTCCTCTCCTGGAGTCTGCAACAACTGGCACAGTGGAACCTCAGTTGTCAAACATAATCCGTTCCGGAAAACCGTTCAACTTCCAAAACGTTCGTCAACCGAGGTGCTATGGGTGGTTGGCAATGTCAATGGAGAAAATGGAGAAACACGCCTCGGAAGCTGCTGGACTTCCGAGGCGTGTTCAGAAACGGAAGCAATTAATTGTGGGTTTTTGGCGTTCCAAAACCGAAATGTTCGGTTTCTGAGATGCTTGAAAACCGAAGTTCAACTGTACTCAGAAGCATACTGCCTTCAACAGTGGAAGCAGAACCTAGCCATCATGGTTAGTAGTCCTTCGAGGCCTTATCCTCCATGAATTTGTCTAAACCTCTTTTAAGGTCACTCAACATGGTGGCCATCATTACCTCTTGCTGAAGCAAATTCCATGGATGACCTATGTGCTGCGTGCAAAACTGCTTTCTTTTGTCAGGTTCCACTCTGTCCAACAGACAGACTCAAATTGCCCGCACCTGAGACCTTACAACATTTCTGCACAACCTGCTCAAAGCAGCACACCCAGGTGGTGACTTTTCATTGCAACGGCAAGCAAGTGGAGGATATATAACCAGAGTGCCAAATCTTTTTAATGCATAGCTCCAAAGTGTGCTAATTTTATACAATTTTCTACAACAGATGTTAATCACAGTTCTGTAGGGGAAAATTTATGGGGGGGGGAGATTTTCATGACTCGTATCTGATAAACACCAAGATGAATTGTAGTGTCAAATCACTCCCCTGTGAGCACTATATTAGTCATGCATATTAATAGTGATGAATAGTTTAGGCTACGCTGCTGCAAAGTGCTACTGCAACGAGCACCAGATGCTGTTATTTACTGAAATGCTCTGCGTGCGCTGGAGGCTGTTGTGATTTTTCTGGTGCAATTTCAGCATGAGAAATTGCATCTCTTTTTGCCAGTTTAAATTTACTGCCATTAGCAAACCATTTTAGATTTCTAATATTCCCTCCTTTTTATATATTCTTGGGTGGTGGTCGTGTTTAATTTATTGGCTCTTGCACAGAATTTTTTGGTTTCTCATATCTTATCAGAATAAGCCTGCCTTAAGGAAGAGAAGAAGATCCCAAACTGAAACCAAATGTTGCTTGAGCGCCCACAAGTATAACTGAGACATACCAGGCAGGCAACACTTTTTCTTGGACTGGTTCATGCAGATTTACAGATCACTTACTTTGTCCACATTATGTCTACTTGGGAATGGGTGGAGAAACTGAACTGTAAACCAGGCTGTACATCAGGGATGGGGAATACTTTCTGGCCACGAGGCCAGATCCTTATCTCTTAACCCTTGGTGGGCCAAAGTTTTGTAGGTGGGCAGGTGTCCTCTCCTACAGTGTTCCCACTCTTCTCCTTGGTGCTTTCAGGTTTCATGTTGATATTCCTTGGGACCTAACTGCTGCCGGTCTCCTTTCCCTTGCCTTGGCCTTCTGGATTGATTCTCCCACACGTTGCCTTGGGTAGTCTTCTCCAAGAATGCTCTGTGTTTGACCTATCTGCTGTGGAATCTGAGCACCATCTCACCTGCTTCAGTTTGTTGTTGTTGTTGTTTAGTCGTTTAGTCGTGTCTGACTCTTCGTGACCCCATGGACCAGAGCACGTCAGGCACTCCTGACTTCCACTGCCTCCCACAGTTTGGTCAAACTCATGCTGCTAGCTTCGAGAACACTGTCCAACCATCTCGTCCTCTGTCGTCCCCTTCTCCTTGTGCCCTCCATCTTTCCCAACATCAGGGTCTTTTCCAGGGAGTCTTCTCTTCTCATGAGGTGGCCAAAGTATTGGAGCCTCAGCTTCACAATCTGTCCTTCTAGTGAGCACACACATTTAAGAAGCGAGAAGACTTCTAGTATTGTTTGTCCATGTTCACTATGCTCTGACCACAAACTTCGTAATTAGCCTGTTAGTGCCAAAATGGGGAAGATCATGCTCCACTCTGACTTGTTTGCTTGGTCAAAAGATTTACTTCAGCAGAGCTTCCAGGGTGCTTTCCAGAAACACAAACAATGTTAACAAACTTTGGCTGACATCGACAACTGCTGGGCCTAGTTCTTGTCACCTCATCTCACAAAGGCGCAGGGCTGGAAAAGAAAGCAAAATGATCAAGGGACTTGAGTACACTATAAAGAACAGAAAGACACATCTGAGAACTGTTTATGTTAGGAAAATAAGAACATAAAAAGATCCCTGCTGGGTTAGACCAAAGGCCCATCTAGTCCAGCTTCCTGTTCTCACAATGGCCAACTTGATTCCTGTGGGGAATGTGCAAGCAGACCCTGAGCACAACAGCACTCAGAAGGCTACTGCCTCTGATAATGGAAGTTGAACATAGCCCTCAGGATAAGTAGGCACAGATAGCCTTATCTTCCATGAGTTTGCCTCATCCTCTTTTAAAGCCAGCCAGCTTCATTGAAAGTCCTCAAGTTCTAGCGTTAGGAGAGAGGTAAGAAAAATTTGTCTCTATCCACTTTTCCCATGCCATGCATAATTCTATAAATGGCTATCATATCGCCTCTTGTTTCCCTTTTCTCTAAACTAAAAAGTCACAAATGCTGCAACCTTTCCTCGCGGGGAGGTTGAGCCACCCCCTTGACTATTTTGGTAGCCCTTTTCTGAACACCAGAAGACAGGCTCTATGAGGCGACCATGTCAGACAGCAGTCGATCGCTGGGGTAGGTGGGAGCAGTGGTGGCTGGTGCTCATTGGAACTGGTTCGTTAAGGGGCAGGGAGGCCAACAGTAGATGGCGCTAGAGCCAACTAATTCTAGTTTTGCCTCCATCCTCCTCCATGCTGAGTTCTACAATGGCAACACTGACACTAAGTGTCCTGAGGTGTCACTGAGCTCAAGAGTGGACTGGCAGGCTGAGATGGATGAGGAGAATGTGCCCCCTGCTCCTCCCTTGCCTCCTAGCACTCCCTAGGTAATCTCACTGCCCCCAGGGCATCACCCACTTTGGCTAACCAGCACCCCAAACAAAGTAGACAATACCCGATTAAAAAAATGAGGGCAAACACTCTATTCCAACAAGAATAAAAACAACAACATCTGGGGGGGGGGAATGCCCCAAACTGGGTAGCAGAGGAACAGAGGAAGCAACCAACAAACAGGAGTTGGAAGTTGTCAAGGAGCAAAATTGATGGGAGATTATTGAGATTGTCTGAGGTTCTTAAGAATGGGAAAAGCATGGGTATGCTGCCCATATACAGTGGGGAGGATACAGAGGGAACAACTAAGAGAAAATGAGGCTGTGTGGTGGTGTTAGGGCTGACTAGAGAAGTTTGTTCCAAAATGTCAGACCTAAATTTCTTAAGGGTAGTTCCAGATGGGTGTTTATAATGGGATGAGCTGGTCCATTAGGAAGTCACCTACCTGATGTCATACACGTCCTTAATCTCTAGGGTTGCCATCTTTCGAACAGTGAAAATCCAGACAGAAAAGTTGCTGAGCCTTTTTGGCAAGGTTGTTGAGCTTTTAATAGCAAAATTGCAAAAGAATTGCAGTTTTTGAGCTATTTTAATGGAAAAACGGCACTGCTGACATGGGCTAACACACATCCGGATTTTCCTGGAAAATGTCTGGGAAATTCTGGACATATGGTAACCCTGTTAGCCTCAGTGTTGCACTAATTGAACTCAGAAGGGAGGAGACAGCTAAAATCCATTAACTCTGCCATCCGTTGCCTCTAGCGCCACCTACTGTTGGGCTCCCAATGGGGACCAGCCACCACTGAGAACAGTATGCTCTTTGTGCATTTCTTTAAGCAGCACCTACATGACATTGTTGGCATCAAAATACCAGCCCCCATTTCCTCCATTTAATCAGGATTTACCTTTTCTAACTTGAAGAACAAACCTGTTTCCAACAACCTGTTTTAGATAGTTGAGCAAGTAGATTTCAATGCTGAATCCCTGTCTGGAGGCAGCCACATCGCATTTAATGTTAAAGCACATTTATTATAATTATAGTATTGCTTTATTTGTAATTTTTTAATGACAGTTTGAAAGGTGGTTAAAAGTGCCTTTTTGAGTTTATTCCTCACCTGTGAAAATTCCTTTAAAGAAGCACTAGGAGAGTGTCAGGCTCCCTTTGGCAGCAATGAATTAGACATTGATCTAAACTGTGACCATGCATTTCAAAGCACTTTTTTCCCTCTCAAAGGATCATGGGAAGTGTAGTTTGTTAAGGGTGCCGGGAATTGTAGCCCTTTGGGGTAGAGTACAGTTCCCAGGATTCTTTTTTTGGGTGTGGGTGTGGGTGTGTTTTAAATGTACAGTGTGTATGCATCCTGTGTTTTAGGCAGAATGAAAAAGAGTAAAGTACAAAGATGAATTTTTTTACCCACAATCACATCCAACAGACAGTGAAAGAATGTATTTTTAGAATCGGGGGCAGGTATCAATGGGAGCTCTTAGCTTGTAGCCTGGACTTCATTTCAACAGAGATTGATGAATCACTACATACTTTTCTTCAGATTGTTTTATAAAGTGGGAGTGGTTCAAGGGGCGTGCATGGGATTTTTATCTGCTCCTAACACAGAATCCTCAGTAAACAATATATGTGGAAATTGTTGGAGTGGGACTTAGAGACTTCATCCTGCACCATGAGAATGGATCAGGGACAGAACGGAGACGAAGGCAGTAAGTAAACAAAGTCACGCTGTTCAGTATGCCTTGCAAAAGCAGGCAATTTGTCTAAAAGCATGCTTTGTTCTGGGAAGTCGTTCTTCAGAATCAACGGCTGTACACACTGTACATTTAAAGTTCCCCCCACAAGAATCTTGGGAATTGTAGTTTGCTAAGCATGCTGGGAACTGTAGCTCGGTTAGGGGTAAACTGCAGATCCCAGGGTTCTCTGGAGAATGGGGAAATTTGTTTTTGATGTATGGTGTGTTCATAGCCTTAGACTCGGCTTTGAAGTACAATGTGTGGCTTGTGGTAAATAAATGCAGGTTTTCTGGTACAATCTGATGAAAAGTTGGCTAGTTGCAATTTCTTTCAGAAATGGGAGAGCAGGTAGAATAATACTGATATCTGGTTGAAAGCCCAGTGCATGGTTTCCCTGGATTTCTATTTGAGTTGGAGCCATTCATTGACTTTTCACTATCCTTTGAATTCTGCCTTGCTGTTGCTTTGCACTTTCTGACAGCAAGAGTCCATAGAAGGCGATTTGGGCTTAATGGTCATTTCTCTAACCCATAAGGGAATGATGTGTAATTAACACAAGCATCATTTAAAGCTACCTCCTGCTCTTGTTTTGCAGAAGGTTGTCAAATAGCCCTTTACAAGCAGGCTTAATAACCAAATCCCATTGCTAGTAAATGAATGCACTGGTTATTTTGATGCTGACATTAAATGGTTGTTTCAGAAAGAGTTGGTATTTCTGTCCAAGGGGATGTCATTCAGCAGCTTCATACATATAGTTAAGATCTAGTTGAGAACTTGGTTTAAAGGCTCCATTTTCCTCTGCTTCAGAGGCTTTGTCTGAAAAAAGAAACAAAAGAAAGCAATTTCCTAGTGTATTTAAAGAAGTATAAATGCCTTATTCCATTCAATTTAAAACTGATCTCTCTTCTAAGGGGAATTTTGTTTCATCTTGTCCCTTTACACATCTATGAATACATAAAAGACCATGTTTATCGGTACTCTGTCCCGGTAAAAAGACTGTCCGTGTTTTGCCCCCTGGGATATAGCACAGGTCCCCATTTTGTTAGTGTAAATTATTAAAGTGGTCAACCCACAGGTTTTAATCCCTCCCATGGGATTCCAGAATTTAAATCTCTGAGTGGGAACTGGTAGATTCGTCTTGATACCATTGTCCAAGCATTATAGATAGACAGAAAGTGCCAATTTCCTTCCTTCCTTCCTTCTTCTTCCTCTGAAACTATTCAGGTGAGGAGGGCTCTAAAAACCCACTGTGGTATAGTGGTTCGACTAGTGCTGGACTATGACTGGAGAGACCAAAGGTCAAATCCCCACTGAGCCATGAAATTCCCTGGATGACTTTTTGGGTCAGTCACTGTGGGTTGCACCCAACATTAGTCCTACACAGAGTAGGTCCACTGAAATAATTTGGGACCATTAATATCAGTGGACCTACTCAACTAGCATTGGCTACAAGCCTATGTCTAACCTACCACACAGGGTAATTGCAAAAATACAATTAGGGAGCGCCATCGTACGCCATCTTGAAATGCTTCGAGGGAAGGCGGGGATGAATGTAGTAAAGAAATAGCCAATTGCTGCTATTCTCTAATGAGCACAAACAGATCAATGGTGGTATTGAGCATTATATTAAACACTCTTAAATATACCAGTAACAAGAGAATAGACCTCTATTATGGTCTGTTAGGAAAATAACCTATTTTGAAAACCGGTGCCGGACAGACTGTTGCAGAGTAAATTAAGCACACAAGAGTGTCCTTGTTTTCATCTCTGAGATGTTGGAGAATATGAAAGTGGATGTGCAATTTGGGGCTGAGCTGTATTTGTCAAAGATGATCCATCACAGACACAGAAAAGCTATTGCAAGATTACAGTTATTACAGATCAAATCAGTAGTCCTAAGTGGGAAATGGGGAGGTATTTTTCTTGCAGAAAAGGAATGGCTGGCGTGACCTGAATCTTATAGATCGGGACAATTTATGTGATTTGCCTTTTTACATGCAGCACCTAGAAAATAAATGGCCTTAATTTTGTGAGGTAGTGCGCAAGATTGCAATGGCTACACATGCACGGTTTTGTTCCCTGGGCTGTCTCTTCTTCCAGAAACAAGCTGCTTTTTAAAAACTAGAAGAGTATAATTAATGGCAGCTCAGGGATTTGAGAAGGGTGGGGGAAATACTATGAAGACGTGTCTCATGCATATTGCTGGATTATATGGGCAATGTGCTTGAAATACTTGTTTACAGGGGGATATGATTATTATTTTATTTATAACTAAAGTTCACCCCATTTCTTAAATGCAGTAAGATGTATGGGACAAACCTTGGAAATTTGACAAAGCATCAGAATAGATGATATTGGGGGCATTTTCTGAATTGTTCTGAGATGCCTTCTTCTACATCTTTGAGCCTGCTCAAACACCCACATGCAGGCAATTCAGCAGGCAGATTACCTTAGTTTCTGATTGTTCCTGGTAACTCACTGGTCCTGTTTTCCTAGAGTGTGTCATTTGGTAAGATGCTGAGAATGTCTTATAAACATTGTGAATGAGAAGCAACATATTGACTATCTTAAGTTTTCAGCTCTTTCCCCTGTTCTCTAGAGGGGCATATGATGCTGCCACACTGCTGCAGCTCTTCCATCCCATTCCCCCCTAATAGCCACTCATCCATGCAACAGATGTTGCCAAAGTGCTAGACTTGCAATTGTTTTAGAATAAGTTCAACTGGATCCATACTGCTACAATTTTTAAAGACAGACAGACAGACAGACAGACATCCACCCACCCACCCACCCACCACGTTTCATATAAACAAGCAGAAAAGAGCATTCAGCAACTTGTATGCTTTAAGCAACATGCCACTTCACTCCTTTATTTTTCACTATTTATTCATTATTGCAGCTCTATCCCAACCTTTTCTCCCAGGAGCTCAAGGTGGTATACTTGGTTATCCACGTACCGTTTAATCCCCATGACGACTCTGTTGGCAGGTTAGCCTGAGAGGCAGTGACGGGCCCAAGGTCACCCAGGTGAACTCCTTGGCCAAGTGGGGATCTGAACCCAGGTCATAGTCCAACCCTGTAACCACTATACCACACAGACTCCTTGATTGTTATGGGCCTGAAGCTGGGATCACATGTACATCTGTCGCACATAACATCATTTATTTATTTTTTGCTCTGGATGTCGTATAACGATAATGAAGGGGGAAGTTTTCATTGACATACATAACGGCACAACAACTCTCAATATCTTCATGTGTTTCACCAAGAGCTATTGGAAATGAACCCTTTATTTCTTTGGGTTTTGACAGAGGTATCACACAACTGCGGTCAAATGCATATTATGAATAGATGTGAATACACCCTTTTCCATTTTCCAAGCACACCCAACTTCTTTGTTCCATTAACCTAGAACAAGGAGGCTGTATTTACACACTATTGTGACTTCCAACTGGATTGCTATAGCAACAAGTCTGTCTGCAAGTTGCAGACTACAAACAAGAACTATTTATAACTTTGTTATTTCTGGTTATTTACTATATCATTATTTTCAGGGCCGATATCTGGCACACATGAGCATATTCTTCCTTCTAAATTGACCTTTACTATGGCATTTACAAACTATATAGTGGTACCTCAGGTTAAGTACTTAATTCGTTCCGGAGGTCCGTTCTTAACCTGAAACTGTTCTTAACCTGAAGCACCACTTTAGCTAATGGGGCTTCCTGCTGCTGCCGTGCCGCTGGAGCACGATTTCTATTCTTATCCTGAAGCAAAGTTCTTAACCTGAAGCACTATTTCTGGGTTAGCGGAGTCTGTAACCTGAAGCATATGTAACCTGAATCGTATGTAACCCGAGGTACCACTATAGCTCACTTTCAAGGCAAGCTGGACACATTTGTGAGCATTGTTATACAACCAGCTTCAAACCAGTAGTTAAAGACCATAGAAGGAGGGGAGGGGAGGCTTAAAGAAAAATAAAACTCGAGTTCATCTTCTTTTGCTTAAATGTCGGAAATGGCACCTACTAAACCTGGCGATAATGAAGGTTAGAGCTGCAAAGCTGGCTCACTGATAGTAAATCAGGCCTGGATAGTGTGGTTTTAGCATTCATGGACTGTTATCATAAAATCATAGAATTGTAGAGTTGTAAAGGTCTATGCGTGTCATCTAGTCCAACCCCCTGCAATGCAGGATTCTTTCAGCCAATGTAGGGCTCCAACCAATGACCCTGAAATTAAGTGTCTCATGTTCTACAAGTTCTCTATGCAGTTTTAATGTTGTTTTCTTCTCCAATTTTGGTCACTCTAGAGACCCTTCAGGTCTGAATAATGGGTTATTTAGTTAACAAATATACATACTGTTAAATGTAAGAAATATCAAAGCGGTGTACAGTGGTACCTCGGGTTAAGAACTTAATTCATTCTGGAGGTCCGTTCTTAACCTGAAACTGTTCTTAACCAGAGGTACCACTTTAGCTAATGGGGCCTCCCGCTGCCACTGCGCCACAGCCACACAATTTCTGTTCTCATCCTGAACAAAGTTCTTAACTTGAAGCTCTATTTCTGGGTTAGCAGAGTCTGTAACCTGAAGCGTCTGTAACCTGAAGCATCTGTAACCCGAGGTACCACTGTATAAAATACAGATACACAACATAATAAAATAAAATCAATCTAAAACACAGCATCACCAGCTTACATTCACAGTGGCTATCAGTAGGGTAGATCAGTAAAACTAATCAAGTAAACTCTGGGTGGCGGGGGTGGGGTGGCATTTAGCATGCACAGTAAATAGGCAACTGTCAGCACATGCCTAATTTCCAGGGGGAAAGTGTTGTTGTTGTTGTTAATTGAATTTGTTAGTTGCTTTATCCTGCCCAACCCAACCCAACCCAAAGTGACTTACAACCAACCAAACAGACAACCCCCACCCCCAGATACATTAAAACTAATAGGAGAGGAAATACATCCCACCCACTTCTGAAAGGCCACTGATGGTTAAAAACTAAAGGCTTGGTTATAAAGGAAAGTATTTACCTGGTGCCTGAAGACATATAATGATGGCACCAGGCAAGCCTCCCTGGGGAGAGCATTCCGCAGATGGGAAGCCATTGCAGAAAGGCCCTTGCATGCACAGGTGTTGTGAGCCTGACTACCAATGACCGAAAGATCACTCATGATTGACAACACCGTATTGTTCAAATCAGGCCACAACTTTATTTATTACAGATGTTAAGGGCTTGGCATAGGCACTGGGTTGTAACTGATATGGTTTGCTGAATGGTAGACCAAGGGGTCAAAACAGTGCCAAGGAGGTCCTATGACATACATCAAATAGGTGCCACTATGCCAGGATCACTGGCTCAAGAAGTGCTATGGCCCTTGCCCTTGCCCAGGTGTCTGGAGAGAAGCACCTTCTCCAAGGTCCCTTTAAGAGGATACCCCATTCCCTTGGAGGGGCAGGCAGAAGCTTACAACCTTCCCTCCAACCAGAACTAAGGTTTCTACCCAATGCCTTACCCGCCACACAAGCCGGTCCAAATTCTGGCTCGCCGCCAATCTACTCACAAGCAACATGTCAAATCGGCTAGGATATCCATAAGCCAAACATCATTCTCAGGTGCACAGAATCTGGCCTGTCGGTTTTGCAATGCCACATTCCTTTGGACGTAAGAAGTATGATTGTGTTACCACCCTCTGGACTTCCCGTGGAAGGGGCACATGAAGAAGAGCCTCAGATGATGATTGCAGGGTCTGGGGTGGTTCATATGGGGAGAGCTGGTCTTGGAGGTATTGTGGTCCTGAGCCGCTGAAGGCTTTTGAGAAAACTTGTGCCACCACACTGTTGGTTTCTGCTTTCCTTCACTGTGCAGCTCTGCTTGTCACGAGACAGGTGTTTACATTCCACAGTCTGTACTGTTGGAGTTTCTCACGGGAAAGGGAGACTGGATGTGACGTACACTGGTTTCCTGTTTTTCACTGTGTGATTCTCTCCGAGCTGTCGAGGAGAGAGGATGCATTTTTTCTGCTCCGGCAGAGGCAAGATGTCTTTCTGTAATATACCAGCTTTGAACTGTAAATAAAGCAATATAGAGTATGTAGCACGTATTCCTCATCCTTCCGCTGGGCACGACAGACTCTGCTTAAATCAACACGTGGTTATGGACTCCAGAGGTCGAATCGGAGTGCCGGCAAAGGATCGGAATGCAGAGGGACAGATCGGAATGGAATCTGCTCTGCGCGTAGAAGTGATTGATGAGGTATGTGCTACTGCTCCGGGCAGCCTGCCAGCATCAAGTTAATGGCTTTATGGCTGGACTTTGAACTTTTAAAGCCGGTTTTGCCGGGAATAGGCAAAAGGCTCCCAGGCACAAGTCACTATGCTGGGGAAATCGAAAGTAACTTTTAAGTGTGCCTTTGTAATAAGGCAGCTGCAGCAGTGACGCAGCAAGAATTAAAGCAGCATATATATGACGCTGAAGGCCAATGCCAGAGTCATGATGGCCCTTCAGGATGCTTGTGGGATTCCTAAGCTCAACAAGAAAAATTACAGCGACTGGGTTCAGTATGCAGAGGCAATTCTGCGGAAAGAGGGTTTGTTTGAGGTGATTACAGAAACCCCCAGTTCCAGTTACAGATGCATGGGAAGCTAAGGATTCCAAAGCAAGGGAACTCTTACATTGATAGTATCCTCAGAAGAGCTCTGTCTATTGCGTGATAAGACCTCAGCCAGAGAAATTTGGGACGCTTTGAGAGAGGCTCACTTAAGGACAGAAGCTGGATCTACTATGTTTTACTTTAACAAGCTGCATAATATGGCTCTTGCTGAAGGTGGAGATGTGCGTTTACATCTGATGCAGATGCAAAATCTGAGACATGAGCTGCAACAGAGAGGACTCAACTTTCCAGAGGCTGTGTATTCTTTCATGATACTACAATCTTTGGGTTCAGGTTGGGAGTCTGTTGCAACCCAGATTGCTGTGCAACCAACTGCTCCGCTGACAGTGGACTTTGTTACTGCCGTGATGTTAAATGAAGCAGATCGCCGGGTTGCTAGCTGCATGGGCAAGGGGGAGTCTTCACAGACGTCATCCCATAGTGCAGTGGAACCACCAGATGGCGCTAAAGCTTTGAAGGCAGTGAAATGCTACTCGTGTGGACGTCTAGGCCATATGAAGAGGGAATGCAGACATCCCAGGGCCAAGACAGAGCAGCGCAGCGAAAGCTCATCGCGCGGAAAAGGCCGAGGCAAAGGCAAAGGTCCGGTGTCTAGGACAACGCAGCACAAGGCTATGGTTTCACGCTTCACTCCAAAGGTTGCAGAGGTCCAGAAGACGTCTAGATCTTTCTTCGTTGTTGATTCAGCGGCCACCCACCACATGTGCAACGATAAGAAACTGTTTATGTCTTTTACACCGCAGGAAGGTGCGATTCACCAGGCGGATGACCACACTATTCCCAGTAAAGGCTACGGAACTGTTGTTCTTCACAGTTTGGACTTATCGATACAGAATGTGCTTTACGTGCCAGACGCCAAACATAATCTGCTCAGCGTTGGACAGCTGAATGAGCGGAACATTGACGTTTCCTTCAAGAACAAGAAGTGCATCATCACAAAGAAAAATGATTATGTATTGCATGCAGAATATGTTGATCGTTTGTTTGTTTTGTATTATGATGATGTGGTGCAGGATGACACTTGTTGCATTGCAGGTTCTAACAAAAGTTTGCATGCAGAATGTATTCACGATTTTCATCGAAAATTTGGTCATTTGCATTTTGAGGCAGTATCTAAAATGCCTGCCTTGGTTGAAGGTATGACTATTAAACCCTGCAGGTACCACATGAAGTGCAAAGCATGCGCAGCAAACAAGGTGAAAATGGCTGCGAAAGGTAAGGTGTCTAGTAGGAAAGCTACAGAACCATACCAGGTTGTTCATGCTGATTTGGTTGGACCACTAGCGCCCTCTTTGGGTGGGAATAGATACTTCATGGTTCTCATTGATGCATTTTCTAGATATATTTTTGTGTACAATCTCAAGCAGAAATCGGAGGCTTTTCCTAGGTTCAAGGAATTCTGTGCTTGGTTGGAAAATGTGCATGGTAAGAAGATAAAGACTCTTTTCAGTGATCGCTGGGGAATTCACTTCTCAGCAGTTTGAAGCTTTTCTGACTGAGAAAGGAATTCAACACGATTTGTCTAGTCCTCGCTCGCCATGGCAGAATGGACTTGCGGAACGGGCAAATCAGACTTTGCTTCAAGGGTTAAAAACCTTGCTGCATGATGCCAATCTTCCAGAGAGTTATTGGGCCGAATCTCTCTCGTGTTTTGTTTACAGTTACAATCGCAGGTTATCTTCAGCGATTGGTTGTACTTCTATGAGAAGATGTTTGGCAAGAAGCCATACATCAAACACATGAAGATTTTTGGTTCTGACATGTGGGTTCGCTCACCACAAAACTCCAAGTTAGACAAGCGTGGATTGCATGGTATCTTTCTAGGTTATCAGAAAGGGTCTTACAGAATAATGATGACTGACTCTAAGACAATTAAGCTCACGAGAAGTGTTGAGTACAATGCAAAGTGGGGAGAGAATGTGGGAATTTTCCAATGTTATCCTGATGACGGTGATGAGACTGAGGATAGTCAAAAGCAACCACAACAACCCACACCCACTGATGAAGGTTCTGAGTCTGAATCTGAAACTGAATCGGGTGATTCAGAGGATTTCGAGAGTGCGAAAGCCTCTATGCGACCCTCTGAAAGCTCTGATCAAGAATTGGAGGAACCATTGTTCACAATAGGTCGTTTTTCTCCTAAGAAGGAAGAGGAGAGTGTTGAAGACTTAAGGCTAATTCGTAGGTCACAGAGAGCCACAAAAGGCAAACCTCCAAAGAGATTTGCTGATGAGTTTGCTAAGATAGCAGTAACAGCTGTTAAAAGCTCCAAGAAGGTATTTGAACCTTCAAGTTTCCAAGAAATCCAGGATTTGGATTCAAAGGAAGCTGAGCCATGGTTAAATGCCATGAAGGCTGAGCTTGATTCCTTAGAAAGGAACAAAACATGGGAGCTAGTTCCAGTAGTTCCAGGAATGAAACTGCTTGGAAGCAAATGGGTCTTCAAAGCGAAGACAGATCAAAATGGCAAGATAGTCAGACACAAAGCCAGATTGGTAGCCAGAGGTTTTGCACAGGTACCAGGTGAAGACTATCACGAGACCTATTCACCCACAGTGAGATATGAAAGCATTAGGCTTATGCTTAAGCTTAGCTGCAGAGGAAAATCTACACATTAGTCACCATGATATTAATACAGCTTTTCTGTACGGATCTCTAGATGAATCACTTTATATGCTTCCACCTGATGGCGTACAGGTAAAACAGGGATTTGTTTGTGCTCTGAAGAAATCCCTTTATGGTCTCAAACAAAGTGCACGGTGTTGGCACACAAACTCACTGAAGTATTGTTTTCTAGGTTTTCAGCAAGGGAAAGCTGATCCATGTGTATTTGTCAAAGAGGAGGGGCAAAAGAAACTGTACTGTTTGTTTTATGTTGATGATTTATTATTCTTTTGGAAAGATGTCGCAATGTACAATAGCGCCCTAGCTCAACTGAAAGAGCACTTTGACATGAAAGATCTTGGTGAGGTAAACAACTACCCATCTCTGGAAATAGAGAGAGATCAAGATGGTAACATTCTAGTACACCAGTCACGGAAAATTGCTGATGTGTTAAGCAAACTAAATCTGATGGATGCTAACCCTGTAGACACACCGATGACAACAGGTTATCAGGTAGATGACACTGAAGAAGCATTTTCTGACACTACACTGTACAGGAGTGTGCTAGGCAAGCTAAACTTCATTGCCAGATGTTCAAGACCAGACATTGCTGTTAGCTGTAATTTGCTAAGCAGACAAGTCAACAATCCTAGTGTCAAGGATTGGAAAGTTCTGAAACGCATAGCGCGGTATTTGAAAGGCACTATGCATTACAGACTGAGATTTAGCAATCAGAAGTCTGGTGGTCTTGAGATATTTGCAGATGCAAGTTTTGGAAGTGACACTACAGACAGGAAAAGTACGTCTGGAGTTTGCTACATGTACAATCAGAGTCTGTTTGATTGGTCATGCAAGAAGCAAACAACAGTTAGCTTAAGTACTTGTGAAGCCGAACTAAATGCACTGTCTTATTCACTTAAGGATTGTGAATGGTTAGTACAATTGTGCAAAGATATGAAAATTCCTGTCAAATGTCCAATCCAGGTTTACCAGGACAACAAAGCATGTTTGGCTTTGCTGAAGTCTGAAGGTTGTAAGCAAAGCACAAAGCACTTACAATTAAAGTTGCAGCATGCTAGGGAATGTATTCAGAAGGGACTCGTAACGGTGTCCTATATGCCAGGTAATGAAATTCCTGCTGATGTATTGTCCAAGATTGTATCAAGGGATCAACACTGTACCTATGTGCAGAAGTTGGGTTTGTACTGATACTGTACGAACACGCTGCCCAGTGATGTTCACAGAAAAGGGGAGGATGTTGGTTTCTGCTTTCCTTCACTGTGCAGCTCTGCTTGTCACGAGACAGGTGTTTACATTCCACAGTCTGTACTGTTGGAGTTTCTCACGGGAAAGGAGACTGGATGTGACGTACACTGGTTTCCTGTTTTTCACTGTGTGATTCTCTCCGAGCTGTCGAGGAGAGAGGATGCATTTTTCTGCTCCGGCAGAGGCAAGATGTCTTTCTGTAATATACCAGCTTTGAACTGTAAATAAAGCAATATAGAGTATGTAGCACGTATTCCTCATCCTTCCGCTGGGCACGACAGACTCTGCTTAAATCAACAGTATTGTGGTCCTGAGCCGCTGAAGGCTTTTGAGAAAACTTGTGCCACCACACTAAAGATGGATGGCAGGACTATGAAGCACCACCAGGACAACCTCATCAGAGAACTATGGCAGTCAAATGGCTATGGAGGGGAGAGGTGGCTTCTCAGTTAAATTTCTGTATAGACTCCAGCTTGACCATTTCCACCAAAGAGCTCATAAATCTTGGGTATGTGTGGGATAGTACAACGGTCCCTTGATGAGCATTTGACAGGCCACAGTTCATAACATTCAGTACCAATACTGCTGAAGTAGCGCAGGCCTTTTCTAAACAGATTCTGGAAACGAGATAGGCTACTAGCTCCCTCTTGCCCTGCTGGACTCAGAAAACCTGGAAGCAGTTCTGAGTCCACATTTATTTTTTTTAAGCAAGGGAAAAATTGATTTGATTAAAGGTTTTGGGTTCTTTTTTTTAAGCTATCAAAAACTCCTGCAGCATAACCTACTTGTGTTCTCCAGCCTAGTGCTAGTGTAGCTATTGCAGTTCCCTCCAGATGTTGATGGACTCCATCAGCTGCAGTCAACATGGGCAAGGGGTGATGGGTGTTGGTGTCAAAAGGTACCACTGGTCTAGTGAGATCATCTGTAATAAAGGAAGCTAGAAATTGCTTGTGTCCGGATCAATTCTTTTTTTGCCCTCTACCTCTAGACCACAGTATTGTATTAAAGCAAGAGAAATGGACTGGTGTTTTGTACGTAGAAGAATAGAGAGATTATTTTTGTCCTAGTGAATAACTGTGAATGCTTTCAGCAGAAAGGTCCACTTTATCAAATTGATGAATGATGTCATCAAGTCACTTTCCCCAGTGTTAGAATTGTACATTGTTAGCAAGTGGCATTTCCTGGAGCTTCTGCATGTATATATATATTCTTGTATGGACCTTCAAAATGGCACAAAGCACTCTAGTGTGATGGTTACTGAGTGCATTGTTTCTGCATTAGGAATCATGAGCACCTATTGTTACAGCTCAGCAAAGGGCATATTTTTAGAAGAGCACATGAATCAAAGAAACATCTGGTGCCCTAAGATTACTTTCAGGCAATTCTAAACTCTTGCATTAAAAAGGCAATGACTGTTGCTAAAAAATAAAGTCTGAGATCCTAGAATTCAGAACATATGATTATACAAAAAAGAAACCCAAAATATACGATAATTTGACTAAATATTCCACTCATATTTATGTCTAAAACAGCTACCCTGGAACTGGAATCAGAGCCTGAAAGTCCTTTAGCACCTCCTGCAGATCTGTTAGAGCCACTGGGTCATTATGAGTGGACTTTCCGAGATCTTGGTAAGTATGCATTGATATCATGGCCCCCCTAGAAAAATATTGTTAAGTCGCTTTAAAATATTGTAAGCCACTTTGAGCTGCAGTGGCAAAAAATGCGACTAGTAAATTAAATAGATAAGCAAATAAACAAACAATAGAATCTCAGCCTAAAGACTTTGGGGATGGATTCAGACTTGCCCTCTTGCAAATGGAGGCTCCTTCCATTCATGAAAGGGTGGTCCCACTGAAGGAAAGGCAGGGCAACTTTCCGCTGTTCCTGAAGGTCCCCCAATCCTTTGGAGCAGGTTTTCAGGGGATCCTGAGTTTTGCAATGCAGAATCAGCAGCAACGATCTGCTCCCTCAAACAGAGAAGAGTTCTCCCTAGAACTAGTCTGGATCCAACCCAATCGATGCATTACTGCCAAAGAACAATACGTTATACAGTGGTACCTCGGGCTAAGTACTTAATTCGTTCCGGAGGTCCGTTCTTAACCTGAAACTGTTCTTAACCTGAAGCACCACTTTAGCTAATGGGGCATCCTGCTGCTGCTGCGCCGCCGGAGCACAATTTCTGTTCTCACCCTGAAGCAAAGTTCTTAACCTGAGGTACTATTTCTGGGTTAGCGGAGTCTGTAACCTGAAGTGTCTGTAACCCGAGGTACCACTGTAATGCAATGCAAGTTTCTACTTGCTACCGTGGAATGTCTTGGGCTGGCACTGTATGATGGAAGTACCCAAGGCTGCCTCCATAGCACATCTGTAACCATGGCCAATAGAGCTCACCTAGCTGAGAATCTGTGCAGAAAACCCTTTCACTGACTATCAGCCGAAAGAACTAGAGAAAGGTGGGATTCCATTTTCAGACAGAATATATATTTGACAGATAGATGCTGCATGTTAATTACAACAGTTAAAAATGTGTATCAAGGTCTGTTCATATGTTTCCCTGGTTCATTTAGTTGCCAATGGCCAGAAGATAGAAAGCAGAATGATGAGAATTATTATTATTATTATTATTATTTAGTCGTTTAGTTGTGTCCGACTCTTATTGACCCCATGGACCAGAGCACACCAGGCACTTCTGTCTTCCACTGCTTCCTACAGCTTGGTCAAATTCATCCTGGTAGCTTCGAGAACACTATCCAACCATCATGTCCTCTGTCGTCCCCTTCTCCTTGTGCCCTCCATCTTTCCCAACATCAGGGTCTTTTTCAGGGAGTCTTCTCTTCTTATGAGGTGGCCAAAGTATTGGAGCCTCAGCTTCAGGATCTGTCCTTCCAGTGAGCACTCAGGGCTGATTTCCTTAAGAATGGATAAGTTTGATCTTCTTGCAGTCCATGGGACTCTTCTTCTTCTTCTTCTTCTTCTTCTTCTTCTTCTTCTTCTTCTTCTTCTTCTTCTTCGCCTCAGCTCTATGGGGGATTTTCCTTAGCTTTCAGGTTTTCACTGTTATCCCACCCCACCCGCTTTGTCAGCACCAGGAAATCATTGAAGATGAAGGCTAATTCTTCTTTAAATTCTCCCATCTAGGCAGAAAAAAATTAGTTCCGCCTCCAGAGGTAATGCAAAAGTTTAGCGAACAGAGAAACAACCCAGTGTTTCTGCAATGCAGGTAAGAAATGTTTGTTTATTTTCCTTGTCTTGGAAAGCTGCCTTTCTAAGGTCCTAGCACTGGTATGAATCACACCCCACGCCCTGCAAAAAAGGTGCAAGTACCCACAGACTGAATCTCCTGAGCCTATAGGATTGGGCCAAGCAAAAATTCTTTGGTGGCTGGTGCCTATTGAGATGGTTAGGGCAGAAGACTGGCTGGCCAACAGTAGCTAGAGTCATAAAATCATAGAATCTTAGAGTTGGAAGGGACCCCAAGGGTCAACTAGTCCAAACCCCTGCAATGCAAAGGCAATTACAGGTTTTCCTTGTTTCATTCCCACCCTCTAAACTGCTGATCTCTAAAAGGATGAAGTGGAAGCTAAGCAGGAGGAAGTTGACAGCCAGGGCCACCCCTAGGCTAGTTGTAATAAAAAAAAGGGGGGGCAGGCATTTGGGATGCTGGCTTAAGGCAGACTGAGGTTAGTGGGGCAGCACCCAATTTGCCCTAATGGACCACAGTGGGCATGTTTGCACCAGGAACTTGCTACTCCATAGAGTCAGCCACTCCTCTCCCCCAGCCACTACATTAAGCCCATGCTGTTTGCCTCTAGTCATTTTGTTCCAGGCAGCAATGGTCAGGTGGTTCGTGTGATGGCCCTGTTTTGAGCAAAGTGCACAGAACCAGCTGCTGAGAATGGATGGGGCTTTCAAAACTCCATCGTTAGGATCCATTTGCCTCTACATAAAAGGAGCAAGATTATACGTGTCTGTGTGTTTCAGAGGTTTTGCGCTGCCTGTAATCTTTAGAACGGGGCTGTCGAGAAAAGGCATATCAATATAATTTGACAGAGATAAGGAAACTGCAACCAGCCTAGAGCACAAGAATATTAGATAAGAACAGGCATGTTATTTAATAATTTGTTTTGGTTAACTTGAGGCTGGCAGTGATTTTTATTCCCCACCCATTCATTATTGTGTTATGGACACTGAGAGAGCCCTGACGGCAACGTCATAGAGGCCGTGTATCGCACCAAGAGATGTGATTGCCTTCACTTCTTCATTCCATGTTTGCATTTTTGGAGCTCCTGAACGACTGCTACGGGTATTAAATTCATTTATGTATGGTTTAGAAACGAGTGTGTGCTGTGCCGTTAATCCACAGGATCCCAAGAATGACAGATGACATGGCCAGAAATGCGCTCTTCAGCTTTGTCGATTCCAAATGTTGCTATGGCAACAGAGCTGCAGGAGAGCTTGTCATTCAGGAACTGAAGCCGCAAACATTGTACAGGGTGAGTATCCCCAGATGCGCTTCCAACAGGTGTAAATTAGACAAGAGTTAGGGAAGGGAAGTGGCTTGATGCAGACATTTAAGCACTCCAATCCATCTGATTGATTTCAGTGGGACTTTAGCAGCGTCTCATAGCTAAAAATATTTACCAGGCACATGCTCTCCACTGAGGTCTCTTCCCTTTAATCTTCAGTGCGCAGGTTATTCAGTCTGCATTTGCTCAGAGGCATGCTTCCAGGAGCAGAGGGTGGGGCAGGGTGTTGCTTACCTGACCTGGCAGCAGAATTGCTTTTGCTTGTCAGGAATAGGAGTGGGAGGGGCAAGGCGGTGGGGAAGTCTGTGCTGTGCAAATGCACCTGCAGGAACAACATGCTGGCTTCATTGATGTGTTTGCACAGCTCCAGCCACCCTGGCATCTTGATCCTCCCACTCTCCCTCTTGGTAAGCAGGAGCAATTGTGCTGCCAGGAGGCCAGGTAAGCACTGCTGCCCCACCCTGCCCTCACTGCTGCAACCCTCTTAATGATTATTTCATATACCTGAGGGCCAGGACGGGCCCAAGGCATTTTGGCACCGGAGGCGAACCACAAAATGGTGCCCCTCACCCTGTGTCAGGATGTAAAGTCAGTTGGAGTCAGTTGTAAAGGTAAAGATAAAGGGACCCCTGACCATTAGGTCCAGTCATGGACAACTCTGGGGTTGCAGCGCTCATCTCGCTTTATTGGCCGATGGAGCTGGCGTACAGCTTCCAGGTCATGTGGCCAACATCACTAAGCTGCTTCTGGCGAACCAGAGCAGCGAACGGAAACACTGTTTACCTTCCCGCTGGAGTGGTACCTATTTATCTACTTGCACTTTGACATGCTTTCGAACTGCTAGGTTGGCAGGAGCAGGGACCGAGCAACGGGAGCTCACCCCGTCGCGGGGATTCGAACCTCCAACCTTCTGATCAGCAAGCCCTAGGCTCTGTGGTTTAACCCACAGTGCCACCTGCGTCCCTATGGAGTCAGTTGTAGGTCAGCAATAAAACAATAAATCAACCAAGGCCAGTGACTCTTTATTCAAGGAAACAAATTGCAGCTCCAGCCCAGTGGTCTCAGCAACCCTTTCCTGGACCTCTTGCCCTGATGAAGCAGTTGCGAGGGCGGAAAGTCCCCACCTTTCTAGTGCTGACTAGGACTCTTCCTCTCCAAGCTGCATCTGGGCATAACCATCCTCTGCTCTGGCCTTTTCATTTCTCAGTGTGTTCTACAATCCCAGGGGGAAGGGGAGCTGGATACAGCAGGAGGAGAGACTCCCTGACTTCTTCTGCAGCAGGCCTCTCTGCCTCTTGGCCCCACTCCCTACAGCCCCCGCTGCTACCTCTGAGTCTGAACCGTGCTCTGCCACAGCCTCTTCCTGCTCACTAAGTCCTGTTACCTCTTCAGCTTCCGACACACCCTCCTCCCAGTCTGCTCCCTCTGACCACTCATCATCGTCCCACCACAAATCCTCTGGCTCTGAGCCTTCTTCCCCTGGGGGTTCCCCAGCTGGTGCCTCCCACCATTCCTCTGCATCCAGCCAGTCCATGACCCCCCCCCCACCAGGGAAGAAAAGGGGAGTGATGATCTACATCAGGAACAATGGGGGGGGGGGAAATAAAGATCAACATTGGGAACAGGATTTGGGAGAAGACCAACAGTGCCTCCTATTCACTGAGAGGCCACTGTGGAGGAAACATTAGGGCGGCGGGGGGAGGCTGTGAAGGAGGTGGTAGATGTGGCCTTCAAGGAGCTGCAGCTGTCTCTAGCACTGTGGCAGGTGACGCATTCCTTGCAGACTGCCACTTGGTGGATCCTGCTGCTGAGGCAGTCACCTCATTTTGCCTCATGGGTGGGCCACTCTTGCCGAGACCTAAGTCTCATAAATAAAAACTGGTTCATGTACATGAGTCTTGGTGACCAGTGGCACAAAATGAACATGCCAAATTTGGTTTGTGAGAGGCTGAGATTACTTTATTGTTGTGAGATGACTGAGAATATGAGGAACAGGAGGGCAATGAAGCAGAGATATGATGAAGCGGAGAGGTGGGGAGAAATTTGCTCCTTGTTCAATTACTTTCAGGAGTTGTGGGATGGCATGGCAGGCCACTGGTCCATCACAGACTACCATCTCAAAATGTCCCCAGACAACTCTACTTGCTGAGCACGGCTTAAAGTGAACAAAATATTTCCTATTTACTTTCAGTGATAATTACAGTTTCTAGTAATTGCATTTAATTACAATATTTATTTCTCCACAGTATCGGCTGGAAACCTTTACTGAAACAAGATTATGTGAATGGACTTTTGAGCCTTATACCAGTGAGTAATTTTCATGAATAGTGAATCATCCATTTTGATTGCAGTTGTGTCATTGTAATCCAATGTAATTTGTCACCTAATCATGCTTTGTACAGAGCCCTAAAAAATCTAGCTTCATTTTACTTACAACCATTCTGTCATAACTGATAGTGAGCACACAGCCACGTGGATGGCTGATTCCCTGTAACACCTGTCCATGAAATCAGGAGAATTTGTTCACACTTTAAGCGAACCTACCACACCCACAGAATCAATATATGAATCAAAACAACTTCTCCTTCAAAATCCAAACTATTTGTAACGTAATTCTCCAGTAAAAGAATGTGCACAGAAATGTGCATAATAGTGAAAAAATGAAAATAACATACAAAATGCATGCAATTAAGGGAGAATTCCTTGCAGAAAAATACACACACTAGGCTGTGGTTTTTCAACGTGATGCCCATGGGTATCATGGGGCCTGCAAAGGGCTTCAGTGGTGCCCTCAAGCTTGGGAGGCAGACTCAGGGATTTCTTTTCTTTTTTCTTTTTAAAAAGGAAGTCCTAGAAATAAAGCTATGAAGCAAAATGTGCAGTTATCCTTCTAAGTGATTTCTGGAAATAAGTGAGCCTGTCAGTGTTTTCAGCCAATGGGCGAAGTCAGAGCTGTCATTGATAAGTGAGGTGTGTGAACACCAGGCAACAGGAACCCCTGGGTTCCTAAAGAGCTTATGTTTTCCTCTTCCCTTTGCGTGTTCAGACCTTTAAACCTTCCCCTTAAATAAATTCAGACAAGACTCAAATTTTGGTTTGGTTTTTGGCAGAATTTAGGCCACAACTTTATTGATTACAGCAAGTGAGTGGTTGCATAGGCTCTGGTTCAACTAGCTCCCTGCACCCTTGCAGGCAGCGCTGACCCAGGGCACCAGTATAGGTCAGCCTAGGGCGAACACCTGGATAAGCGGAAAGTTGGGAACAGGCTATGTCCACCAACCAAATGTCCCCCTGAACTCAGGCACGGGCACAACCCCCTCTCAGGGGTTGACCAAACCATTGAGTCCCTGGATTCCTTTAACACAATACCCTTCATATAGGGATGGCGAGAGTGTTCCCCCATCCCTATCACCTGAAGCAGAGCCTATCCGCAACCTTACAAGTTGTGATGATTTGCTACGTGGCAGGTGAAACCCAAATGGCAACAGCCAATCAGCCAAGTGGGGAAATTCCTGCCGTGCCCCAGTTCCAACGACAGACGACACAAGACGGCATAGCAAGGTCAAACGCAACAAGCCCTGAAAGTAGGGAGAGGTGGGCGGGTATTCCGATGCACAAACCGAAAGAGGAAGCTCTGGGTCCCTTGATCCCTTTAGGCTGAGTCCCATTGGCCTGATTAAACCCAGCATCAAGGGACCTACCAACTGGGTGCTGTGGCTATCCAAACGTACCCACCCACAGCACAGGGTTTGGTGGCCAGGTCTCACCACAACACGTGCTCTCTTTTAGGGAGGACCCGATTTAGTGCACTTTTCCTGCATCTGTCTTGCTTTCTAGTAGTCCTTGGAATTTCCATACTTCGCCTTTCCATTCTTCCTAGCAACCAGGATGTGTTTTTTTCCTGTGAAGGGTTCATCTGAGATCAGGTACTCTCTAAAATTTACTGTTTGCAGAATAAGTGGGAAGTGAATGTTAAGCAATCCCCTCCCCCAATGGCAAATGCAAAACGTGATAACTTTGCAGAGAAGCTTATACAGTGGTACCTCGGGTTACAAACGCTTCGGGTTACGAACTCCGCTAACCCAGAAGTAGTTGCTCCAGGTTGCAAACTTTGCCACAGGATGGTGGCGCCGCGGCAGCCGGAGGCCCGTTAGCGAAAGCATGCCTCAGGTTAAGAACAGTTTCGGGTTAAGAACGGACCTCCAGAACAAATTAAGTTTGTAACCTGAGGTACCACTGTACAGATATCCTGCTGTGCGGGAGCTGATGTTCGGGCACGCTTTAAGAATTCACTGCACAACTTACAGTACAGTGGTATACATGTCTACTTCAGAAGTTAGATGAGTCCTGGCCTTTGACACCAGAAATTTAACAGACAATCTGAATGCTGTTAACACTTCCAAAATAATCAACAGAGGGCAAAGGGAAACTGGTATCTCATATGCCAATCAATATATCTCTAAATATTTCAGAAGCTGATGATTCTTGCCTCTCAAACAGATTGCTTCCATGCCACGAACATTTCATAAAGCATTCAGTTTTTGTTCATTTTGTGCATAATATGTTCCTTCATATCAGTGCTTTTTTTCTGGAGGTATGCTGGGGTACGCATACCCCTAAACATTTTGTGAATATTTGTACTTGTGTTCATTTACTGTATTTAATTTTCCTGATTTGAGCTATAAAACGGTGATTTTCTTGAGTCAAAATGAGAGTAACCCTAAGCATTTTTTTTTTTTAGAAAAAAGCACTGCTTCATATGATTGTCAGATCATTTGAACTTTGACTCAGCACAGAAAAGTTCCCAGTTACTTTAGGAAAAGGCCTTTCCTTCAAGTTATCACGGGCTCACAAAAGAACCCAAAGTTAAAAGAAAAAAGGTTGCTTGTACTATCAGTATTATAAAGGTGAAGTGTAATGGCTTTCCTGGAAAAGTAATAAACTCCTACTAAAGTGATTGGCACGGCCTGTTGTACAAAGCAGCTGAGAGTTGCTGAAGAGAGCTGAAAGGTTCTCTTTACTAACTTCATCCCCCTCCCCAGTTTTGTGGGGGCTTTGTGATGTCTTTGGGTAGCTGGAGGCAGCCATTATTGCTATTCAAAAAGGCAACTCTTCTCTAGAAACTTCTTGCAAAGTGTGAAATACCCCAGTGCCTGTCAAGGAGCTCAGACAAACATCCCTGGAAAGAATGAATTCACTTATTGATCCAAAGGAGCAGTCTGGACAAAGAAACTGCACAGATAATCTCTGCACAACTTGATGAACCCCTAGAAAACTTGAACATTATATCTGGATCTTGGGTCCACTAGACAAATGTAACTCAGCATGGAAAAAATATAGCTACTGAATAGCTAGCTGTATTATCTATTTTAACTAAGAACTCTTTCGATAATTTAGTTTAATGGATATATTAATCAAGGATCTAAAATGTGGAACTATATATTCACATGGTACTCAATTTTTAGTCACATTAAGCAAAGTTTTTTCAAAAGAATTCTAGTATTCCCTCTAATTATAATAAGAAGGGTGAGCAGCAATATGCCGATCAGGGTGAAGCAAAACAGGACCGCCTGTAAACAAAGCAGAGATTTCTCTGTTCCATCTACTATTTGATTTCAATGGGCTTAAGTGGTGTTTGGGTTCAGATTATGGTCTCTAGGCTTGCTAAAATATTGTGTTTATGTTATTTCTTTCTATCAGATATTTTGGTAGATGGGCCACAAAATGGCACATCTCCTCAACCATGGGATATTAAAGTCCAAGTTCCACAGATGTTTCAGGAAGATACAAAAAAGTTTCGCATTCCTCACTCTTCTTTAGTAAAGGTAATTTGTCAATCATGGGTTGAAAATCAAGCATTAAGTCACATTATTATACCTCAGTTATGCTGGTTTCTTGATCTGCTTTATCACACAGCTCTGTGATGGTTAATATTTTGTAGGTGGTTTTCATTTACATACCCTTTGCTTTCATTTGCCGTAGGTAAAAAATTCTGTTGCCCTTGGTAGTTCAGTTAGGCTGCCACAGTCATTCCCTTGAACGAAATGAGACTTACCTCTGAGTAGACATGCATAGGATTGTACTGTTCTGCTTCCCCAGTTAAGGCACCACCATTCATTTTGTTTAAGACAATGGCATGCAATTGCTGGAAATACTTGGCAGAAATCTGTATTTGTGCACCATTTATATTTCAGGAATGCCACAAGTGTCATGGTCGTGGCCGATACAAATGCAGTGGGTGTCATGGTGCAGGCAGAGTGAGTATTGGCTGCGTCCTCTCCAGTTCAATTCCTTCTTTCTTCTGTGTTCTCAGTGTTATCACTTGTGCCACTTGTACAGCAATCCTGTTTAGTCATTTCATGTTGTAATCTGTGTTGAAAAATCCATATATATACCAGAAGGAAAGCAGTGCCTTGCATACTTAAAAATACCAAATGTGTTGGGGAATGGCATGTTCAGGCAGACATTTCTGACATTTGGGGGAAAGCTGTTACTTCTAGAACCGCATAGCTATCAACTTACAGATTTGAAAATAAGGGACCAGCAGCCTTGAAAATAAGGGATCAGCAGCCAAAATAAGGGATTTTCTGAGCACAGGTATGTTCAACTTCTGAGCCCCTCCGAGCCAAAGGCAGAAAGCCCAGCCAGCAGTCAAACGAAGCCTCAAGCGGTGGTTCCCACAGCACAGCAACCCGGCAAAGGGGATGCAGCAAGGGGAACCACCGTCACCTCTCCGCTGGGAAGCGCTGAGCAAAGGCGAGTCCCCAGGCAACGCGGCCGATTTGATTGGCACAAGGCATGCAAGCTCCACCCCCCAGTCATTCTTAGACTCCTTATTGGGTGAGCAACGCAGCCAAGCAACACAGTTGGAGCCTCCCTCCTCCCTGGCTGGCAGGGAGGGAGGGAGAGGAGATGCTTCTTTTGAAACCTGGTGAATTTAAGGGACATCATCAATAAGGGACAGCAGCGGGAGACAGCGCTGGGGTAAGGGACTTTCCCACCAAATAAGGGATGGTTGACAGCTATGTAGAATCGTGTAATCTGTTCTGTTGTTGTTGTTGTTGTGGTGCACCTTTAGATGAGGTGTGTGACATGCAGTGGAGCCAGACATAAAGCAAAAGCGAAACACCTGAAACATCAAAAGCGATGCCAGATGTGTTCAGGTAGCGGACGTAAGAGGTAAGTTTTTTGAGGTGGGATATTCTTTCTCTCTCTCTCTCTCTCTCTCTCTCTGATAGATACTACTTTACTTATTAAATACTTAGGATAATTTCTGCCAACACCAATGGAACTTAAGAATTAAATAAATCAAGGGAGTCCTACTATAAAACGATAAATCCCAATCCAAAAGCAAAGGCATACACACATACGTATATCTATTGCAGGAGCTCTTAGAGTCTTTTCCTGCAGTGATTGCCCCATTAGCTGAACCACCGATTACCTGAAAGGAAGAGCTGACATGAAAGGGAGGCTTGACTGTGTTGCCATGGTGACAGAGATGCTTCTTTCCATGCAAGGAAGGCTGGCCGAATTGGGGTGAGGGGTGGGTGTGCTGCTATCCCCCCTGCAGCTGGTTATTCATAAGCTAAGGAGGGCTGCCCACAGAAGCTTTCTAACCCAGAAAGAGAAGAGAAGGAATGAGGATGATTTCATGCCCTCTGCTCAGCCGAGTCATGGTTGTCCCCCTTCTCATTTAATCCCCACAGCAACCCTGTTAGGTAGGTAAGGCTAAGAGGCAGTCATTGCCCCTAGGTCACCCAGATAGCTTTATAGCTGGGTGGGATTGGAACTCTGATCTTCCAGGTCCTAGTCTCACACTGTGACCACTGTTCCACACTGGCATACAGGGAAATAAAGAAATGGTGAGCACCTCTGCATGCTGGCCATGTTTTTGTGGTGGCAATATGTAGGCAAGATCTCCCTACGGCTCAACGGACCCATCAAATGCATTGCTAGACATGCAGGCACTGCATATATGGGATGGCCTACAGGTACCTCCTAGGTGTGAGCCCAGCAGTCCCATGACTCCCCAGTGTAGTGGTTAAGAGCAGTGGTCTCGTAATCTGGTGAACTGGGTTCAATTCCCCCCCCCCCCATGCAGCTGCTGGGTGACCTTGGGCTAGTCAAACTTCTCTGAAGTCTCTCAGCCCCACTCACCTCACAGAGTGTTTGCTGTGGGGGAGGAAGGGAAAGGAGATTGTTTTTTTTTAAATAATATTTATTACTTTCCAACAATTTAGACATTACATAGAAAAAGAAAACAAACAATACAATACAATACAAAAACAATACCTAACACTAAACTAACAAAAACAATTTAAACTAAGAAAACCAAACAAAAACAATTTAAAACCCATCAAATAGTTTCAGTCTTTCATTCACTTATTTCCATGACCTCCTCACACCTCCCTTTTTGTATTCCACTTCTATTAGTTGTTTCAGCAATTCCTTTCCAACTTCCTCTGCTTTCTATCCTATAATTATCTTAACACCTTTTAACCTTATTTTCCCCTTTAATTCCATATTAATCTATTTATACTTAATTCCTTATAACATTTCTACTGAAGCCATATAACTTCATTCCAACATTTTTCTAACATTCATTAATTTTACAATATTTCTGTAAATATTCTTTAAACTTTTTCCAATCTTCTTCCACCGACTCTTCTCCCTGGTCTCGGATTCTGCCAGTCATTTCCGCCAGTTCCATATAGTCCATCAACTTCATCTGCCATTCTTCCCGGGTGGGTAAATCTTGTGTCTTCCAGTACTTCGCGATGAGTATTCTTGCTGCTGTTGTAGCATACATAAAGAAAGTTCTATCCTTCTTTGGCACCAGTTGGCCGACCATGCCCAGAAGAAAGGCCTCTGGTTTCTTCAGGAAGGTATATTTGAATACCTTTTTCATTTCATTATAAATCATCTCCCAGAATGTCTTAATCCTTGGGCATGTCCACCAAAGGTGAAAGAATGTACCTTCGATCTCATTACATTTCCAACATTTATTATCGGGCAAATGATAAATTTTTGCAAGCTTGACTGGGGTCATGTACCACCTATAGATCATTTTCATTAAATTTTCTCTTAAAGCATTACATGCCGTAAATTTCATGCCTGTGGTCCATAACTGTTCCCAGTCAGCCATCATTATGTTATGTCCAACATCTTGTGCCCATTTAATCATAGCTGAAAGGAGATTGTTAGCCAGTTTGAGATTCCTTAGGGTAGTGATAAAGTGGGATATCAAATCCAAACTTCTCCTCCTCCTCCTCCTCCTCCTCCTCCTCCTCCTCCTCCTCCTTCTCTTCTTCTTCTTCTTCTTCTTCTTCTTCTTCTTCTTCTTCTTCTATTGCTATGTGCACAGGCTCAGAACCTGAGTAGCCTGCATGCCCAGCTCCGGGAAGGGCAAGGTAACTGGATTTCTATTTATGGAAGACATGGATAGGCTGGCCCTTCTAGGTAAAGGCTGAGAACATTGCAGTATACTTGGCAGGCACTATAGCAAGCACTATGTCCATCCAGATTGGGCCTGGCAGGGACGAAAGTAGGGAGCTAATGGGCTCTCCTGAACTCTGGAGGGGGGATCCTTGCAGCATTTGCAGGTACACAGGTGAGACAGAGAAGAAGGAACAAAAGGGATAAGAAAAATATAAACCCAGTTCATTTCTTCGCAATAGATTCTACATTTTTGGGCTTTTATCCGTTTACTCAATAAGCATAAGCATAAGAATAAGAATAGCAGCAGCAATAGCAATAGCAATACAGTGGTACCTCGGGTTCCATACGCTTCAGGTTCCATACGCTTCAGGTTCCATACACTTCAGGTTACAGACTCTGCTAACCCAGAAATAATACCTCGGGTTAAGAACTTTGCTTCAGGATGAGAACAGAAATTGTGCTCCGGCGGCGCAGCAGCAGCAGGAGGCCCCATTAGCTAAAGTGGTGCTTCAGGTTAAGAACAGTTTCAGGTTAAGAACAGACCTCGGAACGAATTAAGTACTTAACCTGAGGTACCACTGTAGCAACAACATAGTACTGCCCAGCAATGCAAACCAGCCAAACTTCAATGATTAAGTATTGAATTGACAGATTTCCATTCCAAATAGGTCTGACACCCTCAAGCTGTAGATGAGCTGTGACTTCCTAAATCTCATCTGTACAATGATAACGTGCATATGAAAACCAATGAAAGTACCTCTGAGCCCAATATTAACTTTTTATACAAGGAAAATATTTTTGAAGGTTATGTCTATACAGAGGTACTCAGGGCTCAGAGGTACTTTGATAGGTTTTGTTATGCACATTATCATTGAGAAACAAGGCTGATGACACCATCTGGTTGAGTGATCCAAATCTCACCTAATCCCATGGAAAAACTTCCATTTTCCATTTACAGTAATACCTCCGCGAACGTCTGCCTTATCTAGCGTCCATTCCGGCGAACGTCCGTGGCAAACCCGGAAGTACTGGAACGGGTTACTATCCGGGTTTGCCGCTCACACATGTGCAGAAGCGCAAATGCAGCGCTTTGCCCTGCATCTTTTTCGGCTAGTGGCCGGGGCTCTGGAACGGATCCCGGCCGCAAAACGAGGTACGACTGTACCATATTTTACAGAGCCTTGTTTTCTTCTGACACCTTCTCCTCCCAGGTTGTCTGCAGTATGCAGAACCGCTGCCCTTCTGCTTCTCCGACTGCTGAACTAATTGCCTTTACAAATGATCTTTAAGTGATGCAAAGTAGCTCACCATTCTTTTAAACTGTTTTTATTAGGCTCCATTATGCTTAAAATAACAGAGATGGCATTGCGGGATAATCGTGGCAATAATTTTGAAAGCGGGATCCATTGGGGCTAGCAACATCTTAAAGTGCTTTCATAAATCAGCTGTTAACTGCTGCTAATCTGCGTCATGTTGATGCAATCCAAATTTGCCAAGAACAAACATATGCTTTCTACATCTGTTGTAGGCAGAATGGCACTTTCCTTGAAAAGGGTCACCTAGTCTTCTATAGTTTTTAGGGAAACGGCCATTTTGTGCAGATGAGCATTTCATTTCCTTCAATGACATCCTTGTTACTCAGTGATCTCTGTGCTGGCACAAATCATGCAATTTGAGCAACTTGCTGTTGAGTGTTGAAGTTAAATATGTAAAAACACTTCTCCCCTTTTAGCTCCTAAACATTTACTTCCGGGGTGGCGCCATCGGTAATGGCGGATTCCCTCTGATCCGGAGGGACCAGCTCCATGGGAAACGGGTATTTCCCGCTACAGCGAAGCGGGGACCCTTTCAAAAATCACAGGCGGATGAAGCCTGTGACCATGGGACTCGGCGGGCACCTTTAGCGCCCCCCCAACTCGCTAAGGAACCCACTAACGGGCTCCGGAGCGAAGAGGGGGAAGTGGCGCGGTGCTGAGAGTCAACTGCTTCTTCCGTGGAGCGAAGCCGCACAGCCGTTGCCGGAGAGCGCTGCCTTTTTCCTGGGACAATTTGGCTTTTAAAACAATTACCCGTGAGTACTTAAATTTCGGACAATTGGACTTTAAATAATGATTTGCGAGTAGAAAGGAAAATTGGACTGAGAAATTTACCTCAATTTGGCACTGAAACGGGAAGGTCTAAACAGGAAGTCAGCCTTCCATTTCTTGTAGATAGATTAAAGCAAAGACATGGCAAACTAGAGTTCAGAAAATCGCTTGTAAAGGATTAACTTTCATCATTTAAAATTGTTGAACCCCCTTCGGAAGCAGGAGAAGAGGGGGAATTTTTTCTGGACTGTTTAAACCTGCAGAAGAGAGTGTAACGCAAAGTAACTTTCCACCGTCTTGATCCTGGAGCGGGGTGTCAGGACTGACGTTCTTTGGGAAGCTCATTGACCAGAGACAAACGTCTTTGACAGATAGTTAAAAGAAGAGAAACATAGTGATTCCATTGTTCCCCTTCGCATTTTAAAGGAACAAATATTGACAAAATATCTGAAAAAGGAAACTTTGTTGTTTAAATCTGCCTTTAAAAGAAAAGAACAAATAGAAGCTCTTCCCCTAGAGGAAGCCTGTGAAACTGTTACCAATTCTGAATCAGGGAGCTTGCAGCTGCAACAGATTACGATCGTGGGAACAGACTTCTGACCTTGCAGAACAATGTATTCAGAAGCTCTGCTGCGTGCTTTCTGTAAAACAAGTGCCCTACTGGAACAGCTAAAAGAGAAGAGGGACTTGATGACTGCTGCGATCAGAAATTTTGGACAGGTAGTGGGAAACTATATAGAGCCCACCCAGGAATCAAATCAGGAGTGTGCTCTGACAGAACAGATGAGGGAAGAGGATGTTGCTGAACCTTGGGCGCCAGAGATGGAGGGAGCTGTGGCCCAGCAGGAACATGAGTTTTTGGATTTGACAAATGAACTTGGAAAAAGCCAGATTTGGAAAGATAAAGTTTGGTTTGGTTTGGAAATGGGGGGTTGGCTAGACCCCCCTATGCAGGGATGTTTGGACTTTTCAAGTCTGGCAATGGGCCGTGAGATGTTTGGGGTTGAGGGGGCTCTCAATTCTGGAGGGACTTTGAAACATGTTTTTAAATACCACATGGAGTTTAGTGTGGACTATGGAAAAGGGGCTGATTTGTCGAGAAGGGTCAAAAACACTGTTAAGTTGGAGTTCCCACGAGTGAAAGGAGCAGGAGACAAAGTAAAGTACAGGTATAAATATGAAGAAGAGGGACATGGAAGGGACTTAAGGGCCTCGGACATAAGATTACCAGGTTAATGCGCTAGATTGATGGGATAGAAAGGACTGACAAAACCCGGGACCAGGAGGAAGAGACGCTGGATGAAGATTGGAAGAAATTTTTTTTTTTTTTTTTTAGGATTGTTTTATAAAATTGATGAACGTTAGAAAAATGTTGGAACGAAATTATTTAGCTTTAGCAAAAATGTTTAAAGAATTATGTAAGAATATTATGGTTATGAGAAATTGGTATAAATAAGATCTAAGTTTTAAGTTTTAAGGTCTTTTATAGTAAGATAAGATTAAAATAGATTAAGGTAATGTAATGACAGAATATTATGAAATATGGAAAGGATTTGCTGTGACAATTAACAACTAGGATACAAAAAAAAGGGAGGAGGTCAAAGAAAGAAGGTAATGGCAGTTAAGGATTTGAGAATATTGGATTTGTTTTTAAATGTTTGTGGCATATTTTTGTCTTTTGATTGTGTTGTGTTATCTTTTGATTTTGATTTTTATCAATTTGTATTGTTTGATTGTGGTTTGTTTTTCCTTTGTTTTTTCTCTCTCTTTTTCTTTCTTGTTTTTTTTTGTAATTTTAAAATTCTTAATAAATATCATTAAAAATAAATAAATAAACATTTACATTGGTGGTTAGGGTGGCTCATAATGGAACTAAACCAAAGCAAGACCATAATACAGTGGTACCTCGGGTAACATACACTTCAGGTTACATACACTTCAGGTTACATACGCTTCAGGTTACAGACTCCACTAACTCAGAAATAGTACCTCAGGTTAAGAACTTTGCTTCAGGATAAGAACACAAATCTTGCTCCGGTGGTGTGGCGGCAGCAGGAGGCCCCATTAGCTAAAGTGGTGCTTCAAGTTAAGAACAGTTTCAGGTTAAGTACGGACCTCCAGAACAAATTAAGTACTTAACCTGAGGTACCACTGTACTTCCAGCCCTTCCCCTTCTGACAACTGCTTTCCTATTCTGTTTCTCACTCAGTTTAAAGGGTCTAGCGGGTCATTGGGAGAACCAGATGCTATCCACTAGATGCCATCATTGATGGCTTATGTGGATCCAAAGGAGACATATATGAAAACTCCCTGAGAAATATTATTAGTTTTAGGGCCAATCTAGGTGAGGCAGTGGAGAACCATGCCCATCTTTGATTTGACTAAGCCTATGGTTTTGGAGTAGGGTGCAACTCTTTCTTCAGTGCCATTTTCCCCCCTGACCTAAATCAATTTGCCTTCCGCACTGGGGCAAATAGCAGCTTTAAGGGAAGAGGAAGATTCAGATCAGAAAAGTCGAACCCAAGCTAAAGAGTTAACTCCCCTTCCAGACACCAGCAAACTGACCCAATTGTGGCACAGCTACTCCTTTTTTTATTTTTTATCTTGAGATGTTGGGAAATCTGACCACAAAACTAGATTAGTCTCTCTGGTAGTGTACAGCTTATTAAAATTTCTTTGGGTGCCTTCAACAGTTCTTGAATATTTCACCAGAACAGAGGCTTGGAATTTGCCTCAAAATTTGCCTTCAGATGAAATTCAGTGGTAATTCAAGTCACAAGTGTTATATATTTGCCTACTGGTTTTATCTTATATTTTGTATTTAGTTTCTTAGGTTGTGCTTTTTTTATACTGTCCTCCTGCTTAAAATGGGGTGGATCACATTTTGAATAAATCAATACATGCACAAAGTTCAATTTTACATCTAAAAGGTGCAGCACCTGTTCTGGAAGAGGCAGCAAAACCTGTACGACGTGCCATGGAGAGAAAAAGTTGCTACACTACATCCAGCTAACAGTAACTTGGTATGTTGTCTTCTTCGTGATGTTGCTCTTTTCGTCATCATTCTCTGAAATTAATTGCCTTGACTGCCAAAGGCTCTTATATTCATATGTGTGAAGTGTTTGTTAATACTAAGATTCTGTGGGTGCTTTGCAACATAAATTAGACTAGACCCTATAGGGAGGGGTGGGGGAGAAATTTAAAGGCAAATATACCTAAATCACACTTTCTGAAATCTGTGATCTGAAACAAAGCCATTCTTCAAAATGTGCACTTCTCCAGATTTTGGAATGTAGTTCTGCAACCAAATAAATGTATATATTAGGGAAGAATGTGTATAAAAATGCATCTATTAATGAAAATTATATTAAATATGTATAAAATTAGGGGAGATGGCTTTGCTAATATGGGTATATCAGGGAAATTGCATACAAGTGTGTGTGTATATAGGGAGGGATTCACTGATGATTTTCCATGAGGACTTTTTTTAAAACAACAAAAACAACAGTTTTGTGTCAAAACGTGGAGTAGTGAACTTAGCACTGGAAATATGGGAAGCAGAGAGACACCTGTCTCAGGCAGATATATTAAAAAGAAGCTCTTTTATCACACCCCCTTCCACATGTCCATCTAATATGTCTTAACCATTTTGACCTACTTGCTTTGAAAGTATAAGGTGGGGGTATGAATGCGTACACACACACACACACACACACACACACCAATCAGGGGCTATACACAGGAAACATGATAACTGACAAGATAAACAGTGGTGTATTCTTATTTTTTTAATTGCAAACTATGAAAGCAAGTAGGCTTTTTTTTTTTTTTTTTTTGATTAAATGAAATCACAGAGCATAAACAATTTCCTGCTATCTTTGCTTTTTGGTGGACCCACTAAAATCCTGAACTTCAATGTTTCCCCCACTCTGGGCAACAATAATTTCTCTGTCAAGGGAAGGCCAAAAGTGGTTTCAGAATGTTTATGTGTGAGCAGCAACCTCCAGTTTGTGTTCACCAGCAACTGGTCTCCAAAGCCTCTGTTGCTGATACTGTAAACACTGAAAGCCTTATCCATACATTGATAAATATAGACTGACACAGTGCTCTGAATCCTTCTTACCTTGCAGGAAGAACAATGTATATGAATTCATTTATGAGAATCAGTTGAACTTTCCCAGAGAACTACTCAATAAAGTTATGGGAGATAACATATTTAAAGATGAGAACGCTGTGGTGAGTAAAATACATGCCCCCCCCCCCTCCAAACATGACTCCTGGTATTTTCCATATGAAACCTTGGTGAAAAATTACTGGAAGCAGCTGAACTGCTTAACACAATAACTCACTCACATCTTTCAGCCCCCTACCTTCATGGACAATGGAAATCTGCTCAGAAATCTCATGAGATTGCAGACTACCTACTCAAGATTGGAGCTAATGTTTCTGTTTGTACTTAGGATGTTTGGAAGCTGCTATATATGGAGTCAGACTATTGGGGGTCTCTCTAGCTTAGTAGGAACGCGGGTGGCGCTGTGGGTTAAACCACAGAGCCTAGGACTTGCCGATCAGAAGGTTGGCAGTTCGAATCCCCGCGACGGGGTGAGCTCCCGTTGCTCGGTCCCAGCTCCTGCCAACCTAGCAGTTTGAAAGCACGTCAAAGTGCAAGTAGATAAGTAGGTACCACTCCGGCGGGAAGGTAAACTGGGTTTCCGTGTGCTGCTCTGGTTCACCAGAAGCGGCTTGGTCATGCTGGCCACATGACCCAGAAGCTGTACGCCGGCTCGCTCGGCCAGTAAAGCGAGATGAGCGCCGCAACCCCAGAGTCGGCCACAACCGGACCTAATGGTCAGGGGTCCCTTTACCTTTACCTAGCTTAGTACTGTCTACACTGGCTGGCAGCAGCTGTCTCAGATTTCAGGCAGGCTCTCTTCCAGCCCTATTTGGAGATGCCTGAGATTGAATTTGGGGCCTTTTCGCATGCAGAGCATGTGCTTTCCCCCTGAGCCATGCTGCTTCCCCCGTTTGATGTTGCTAGCAAGCCACCAGTATGTCACTAAGTATTTGTTCAATGCATTTGCTCTCTATAGATAACATTCACGCCGCATCTCTCCCATATTCCGATAATGTCAAATTCCATTTTTACATGCATGTTTTTCTTCCTCTTGCTGGTAGAGATAAATCTGAAAACATAATGGCAATATTATATACCAAAGACTCAGGCCCTACGAAAGCTCAGCTCAGCTATTAGGTGATCATCTATTATAATTTCTGTGTCTGCCTTTTGAGAGCAGTTGATGAAGATTCAGTGTTCTTCCTATTGGTATTAACAATTCCAGAATGGAAGAATAAAATGCACCATATCCAGCAATTTCACATCCACCATGTTCATCTCATTCATATTCATAGTATGTAAATGATACGGCTTTGGTTCTACAGCTCCTGATATGCTACTCTAACAGAGCATGATGCTGAGCAAATCCCCTGCAACTGATGAAAGTGATGGACAGGCTTAGACTAGAAAAGTGGCTGGCTGCTCTTATTTCATCTTGCTAGACAATGCATTATACACAATGCCCCAGCAGACTAAGTGAAATGGCCATTACCTTAACTCATTTGCCTAGTGTGTTAATAAAGCAGGGCTGGATCTAGACACATCAAAAAAATGTTTCAGGAAAACGTGTTGCAAAGTTCATAATGGGAAATCACGTTGCTGAAGGAGCGGACTCTACAGCGCCATCTGGTGTCACAATGCTGTAACGCATTTAAAACACACACTCTTTTCTTTTCTTTTACTAATGTAGCTGAGTCCCAGGTTGGGAGGATAGGTGGGGATGGTCAAAAAGGAGATGGGTGAAGGAGGGTGAGAATGACTCTGATTGCCTCTTTTAAAATTGCAGGTGTATCCCCTTCTTGACTTCCCTTACCCTGAGATCTCTCTGGCATCTGAAAGAGCTATTGCAGAGCACAGGGCCACATTCACCAACACATCCCGCATTCTGCAACAGGTATACGCAATAGACATGTGTTTCTATGATTTGTATTTAAACAAACATTTAACCCCAGCTAAATATTGGGAACTTTGAAACTGTGGGGAAATTTCAGAGAATCAAATATGTGTGGGTTTTTGTTTTTGTCAACTTTCCTTTCACTTTTGATTCTTTGCTGTTGAATCTATATGAATCTATCTGTTGTTCATCATAATCTGTGAATGGAAAGGCACCTTCTCTTTGCAAGAGGCACTGAGATTCAGAGAAGGCTGCTGCTGGATCAGGAGGAGGGAGGTGATTTCCATTCTGCTGCCCTCCATTCTGTCTCCCCAACACTTCTGAGCAGGTTTACGGGGGGCGGGGGATGAGGAATAGGCAGAAATCATTTTCCCCAGTCTGTTTCCAATGGTGGGAACATCCTATGAGTAGAGTTCCACTCACAGGAATTTTGAATACAAGCCAATTATAAGAAGTTGATCTGAGCTGAAAAACTTTGTAGTGAAAGGGCAATTCTTAACTGATATTCATTCTTAATACTCCTTTGAAAAATGCACTTTGGTTGCTGCCATGCTACAGACCTCAGCGTTACTCAGTGTTCCTGAGGCATTCCTTTGCCACAATTCCAGGGAAATACTAATACTGAAAGTGAACCTGTTGTATTGAATTACATTGTATTGTAATAGCATGCTGCACTATTTCATTTTAGCACCAGGTGGCATAGAGACAACATATCATCTATGCAGCTAGTTAACTTCTGCACCCTTCATAAAGGGTTCGTTCCCAGCCTCAACGGTAAAGGAATTATGTAGTCAAATATTTTGACTAAATGCTTGGTTTTTAAGCATGTTTTTTCAACTGATGAATCAATTGAACCAATTTGTTGTCCCCGAAACTCTCTCATTGCTAAAATATAACCAGCAGACTATGTCTGAGAAATAATAATCACCATAATAAACCTTAACACGTAAAGCATGCAGGAGCTTGATGCATTATCCCAGGAGTTCCTGCAATAACCCTGTAGAGAATTCTGGAGTTTAGGCATGAAGTACATATTTATGAATGAAATAACCATCCAGTCTTTGCGCCCTCTTCCACTATGGAAGAAAACTTCTAATGTTAGCTTAGGGTTGGGGGAGACAAGTATAAAACACAACCACCTTGCAGGCTTTTCCCAATCACCTTAGAGAGCTCCTAACACAATCGGAGCAGCGCTGGAAGGCTGCATTCAGCCACAACATTCAGCGTAAGTTTTTCTAGCTTGCTTCAGCTTCACTTATTTATTAGACTTATTAGTCACTTGTCACCTAGCAGGTCTCCAGGCAACTTGCCTCAAAGAATATATGCATAAATATAATCTACGGTATGTTCAAGACATACCAACCTAGCAGTTCGAAAGCACGTCAAAGTGCAAATAGATAAATAAGTACCGCTCCGGCGGGAAGGTAAACGGCGTTTCCATGCGCTGCTCTGGTTCGCCAGAAGCGGCTTAGTCATGCTGGCCACGTGACCTGGAAGCTGTACGCCGGCTCCCTCGGCCAAGAAAGCGAGATGAGCACCGCAACCCCAGAGTCGGCCACGTCTGGACCTAATGGTCAGGGGTCCCTTTACCTTTACCTATGTTCAAGACAATGATGCTGTGATGGGACACTTTATGCGCGGATTACAAAATAAACGCCTGCTGTGGTAAACCTTTCTTCCACACATAAGGGCCCCATCAATAAAATCTACATTTGAGGGGTGAGGTAAAATTAACTTATGATGATGTTAGGAAGCACACTTGTAGAGGTCAGGTACATGCATATTGTATAACACTGACGGTAATCCTTAGCAGCTTGCCTAGTAAAAGCTGAAACAGGCCATGTTCTGCCTCCATTCCAATCACATTCACAGCCATGTCCACTTCTGTGTGTTAGTCAAGTAGGATTCCCTCCTGTCCATCCAGATTTGGCATTTTTATCTTCCCAGCTGCATCTTGGCAGGTAGAGGGATGATCTACAGCTTTACATGGTATCTCTGTTGCCAGACTGTCCTACTTCAGGCTGCAGGCACAGGAATCAAGTGTGTGTGTGTGTCCACAAAACTGTCTGTACAGTCAATACCAGCTGTTATTATTAAGTAAATTAATCACCAAACTCTTCACCAGCAGGCCCTAGGGCGGGTTACAACAATTTAAAATCCAGTATGAAAAACAGTTTAAAGGGTCACAGGAAAAGGGTTGTTCCCCAAAACACATGTCTTGGGCGTCAAAGGCCAGAACTGATATACTAGTTATGTTTACACCAAGTATCCCACCTACCCTGTTTCTAAGTGCTTTTGAAAAAAAAGATAAATGGTTGCAGATTATTGGTATGGGGTTTTTCTGTGAGAAAGAATCGTGCCATGCAGATTCAATCCTATGTAAAATCTCATCATATATATATATAATTTTTGTTAATATACATTACAACAATTATTCAACAAATGTTCTAACATTTCAAACTTCAAATCCCTTCCCCCTCTTTCTGTGGTTCTTTGCATTTATTTTTGTCATTTCCTGCATACTTCAAATTATCTTATTTATTTATCTATTCTCATATTTATCTCATAAACACTTTTGAAATTGCAGGTTTATACAACAATCCTGCCAATAATCTGTTTACAGTTTGTTTGTAAATACTCAATAAAACATTTCCATTCCTTTCTAAAGAGTTTATTGTCTTGATTTCTTATTCTTCCGGTAAGTTTCACCATTTCTGCATACTCCATTAATTTCATATTTTTCTGTTGCCTCTCAAGTGTTTTTAATGTGTTTTATAACTGTAACACTTTTAGCTGTTTTTATAATTGTATATTTGATTCTTATAAGCAGACCTGAGACCTTGTGGTTAAGAGCAAGCAAGACATTTTAGAAACAAACAAATAAATTCTTGTTCTGGCTTTGTCCCTCAGCGGCAGACGATAGAGCTAATTCCAGTCACTGAAGTCCACTACCAGTATGCTGAGAAGACATACATGTATTACGTCTATGGAATGGAGAACAAGGTCCATGCCCTGGACTATCCAGAGAGGTATTGTTGTGGCTGTACCATCATCTGACAGTGGGACACTTTGCAAGGAGGATTCCTAGTACGAAGGAAGCTTTTCTTCTTGCTTAATTATCCACGGGTGTCTGTGGGTGCAAATCAATTCATATTTTTACTCATCTGTAGCCCCGTCTTATTTTGCTTGCCCACAGTGGCCACCAAAAGACATAGCGATTATTATAACCTAATTGTATTTACGCTACAGTTTCAGCCATTATTAATACTGTTCCTCTTGGGATCTAAGTGTCTGGTAAATTTATTGCATAGATGGAGAAATTGGGTGTTGGAGTGATGGAACTAGGAAGAACTCCAGGAAGAAAATGTTGGAATAAACTGTGGAGGAGAAAAAGCACTTAAATGGAATACAGTGGGTAAAAATATAAGAGGGTGCTGGATCAGGCCAAAGGCCTCGTTGACAATGACCAGTCAGAGGCCCTGGAAGCAGGACCTGAGTGCAACATCATGACTGGTATCCATTGAAGGCTGTATATTCTTGGTGGTGTCTAAGTAAGTCATACTCAGTATAGGCCCAATGAAACCAAGGGACTCAAGTCCACTGATTTCAGTGGGTCTACTCAGACCTGTATGCCGTCCAATATGTTGATTGCAGGGATTTGAAATTTAGATTCTTCCATTTGATTTGGGATCACTAGTGGGCAAGGCCAAAGAAGATTGCTAGATCTTGCTCAGAGGCTTATTAAAATATATGGAAATATGTAGCACTTACCTTGGAGGGGCTCAAATGCAAGCTGGACTTTAAAAGATGTTACGTTAGCAGAGTGTATCACACTGTGTAGAATATATTTTTGTATGAGTATATTTTTTTCTTATGCTTCAAAGTCACACTAGATTAATGGTTGGGCTACAGTACTGGGCAGAATGGGAACATCATTAGGTCTACATTTCAAAAAGGGAAAATTCAGACACAAAAGTTGTTGAGCTTTTGTCCAGGAAATTCCGGACGTATGGCAGCCCTAGTCTACAGTACATGCATGTAGTTTTAGTTTTAAAATAGTTTTTAGGAAGATGGGATCCATGGTGAGGAGGCATATTGAGGTTTCATGCTGGATCTCAGAGACCAGTATGCTTTGCAGAAAAAAGTCTTCTCAAAAGGTAGGTCTAGGAGACTCTATTGAAGTGCAGTTCTGATACAAGTTTACTCTTCATAAATGCATGGCCAACTATGAGCAATCATTCCAAGAAACCACTGAAACAATCTCCAGTATTCCACATGCACCAAGCAGTTATTTTCATGAGTCACAAAATTACCTACCAAAACTCCCTTATTGAGTACAGTGGTGCCTCGCAAGACGAAATTAATCCGTTCCGCGAGTCGCGGTTTTTTCGTCTTGCGAAGCACGGCTATTAGCAGCTTAGCGGCTATTAGCGGCTTAGCGGCTATTAACGGCTTAGCGGCTTAGCGGCTATTAACGGCTTAGCGGCTTAAAGAAAAAGGAAACAAACTCGCAAGAACTTGCAAGACGTTTCATCTTGCGAAGCAAGCCCATAGGGAAATTCGTCTTGCGGAACGACTCAAAAAACGCAAAACCCTTTCATCTAGCGAGTTTTTCGTCTTGCGAGGCATTCGTCTTGTGGGGCACCACTGTATTGTACACATTTGTAATATGTGAATCCCTCTTGTCTTGCTTACCTACTTTATCTTGTTCTATGATATAGAAGAAAAAAAATAGGGTGCTTCATTGCTAGGCTTCTTGTTTACTGTATTAATCATATTTACACTAATAGCAAACCTTTGTTAAATGCTTTATGCAGGATTGCTGCTATTAATGCTTATGGTATTTTAGGAAAGGACTGGGAATTTCCCCTTTTGAAGACTGTCCGCTAGAGGGAAGCAGTGGCAAAAAAACCAACCTCCTGAATTGTTTTGGTTTAGTAGCAAAAACACACCAGAGTAGTGGCTATGCAGTGTGTGTGTGTGTGTTTGTGTTTATGGCATCATTGTTGCATTTACTATTCTCTTGTCATTGTTATTTTTAAAATTATACCGCTTGGGTCCTAATCAGGTTTATTAAGAATTGTTCTTTCAAATAACCATTCTTAAATTTGCAACCTATTAACAGAGGACAGTTTGTCAGTGTATGAAGTTAATTCACTAAAAGTAATAGGCTTAAAACCTTGCTTCACCATCTAGCCGCAATTTTAATACAGAGAGTGAAAGATGTGTGTTTTATGAAGAAATGATGAACCATAAATTTGCTGACAGCTAAGTTCAAAGGACATACATCCAGAAACAGCATCAAACGTTCTATTATATATGTAAATTTAATAGCTGCTTCAAACAGGTACTATATGGTGGTGAACCAAAATAAAGAACAGCATTAATCTTGGATTAGGGTTTCTTTGCACATTATAAAGATTTCTCATAACTTGCACTATTACAGTCCCTTAAAGAACTTCTAAACGCTTTCTCTCAGTCAGCTTTTTACAGACTCTTCTTATTTTACCTAATTCCAGCTCAACATATGATATGTTGCCATTTATGAAAGTGTATGCTGTTTTATAGTAAAAAGCTTCTAAAAAGGTAGCCTTAAGGTGCCATTAAGCGCATTTCTTTTACCTGAAGTAAAGGGGCATATGGAGTGAGAAAGAAATAAAAATTAGGCAAGATCATGCACATGACACAAAATGTTTGTTCACTGCTCCCTTTAACTGTGTAACCAAATACAGTTGTAAATGCTGTTGGATATGTATGAGTTGGAAAGAAGCTGCATTGTGAAATTAAATATCTTTTTTGAAAAAATAATGCTGTGATCATAAGACGACACATCTTTACTTCCTACACTGTTTTTCAAGCCAGCTTGCACCTTCAATTTGGCATCCTCTGATACCATGCTTCAAAAGCCAAAGCAGTCCAAGCTATTGCAGAGTTAATGAATACACACAGCAGGCAGAAAAAGGTCTTTAGCAATATATTATAGCAGGAGGGGTGAAGCCATTCAGACAGTGAGTCTGGGAGTAATGATGTTACACATACACAGGAGTGTTTCTATTTTCATCTGCGAAATCTTGGAGGATAAGCTGTGGGAATAAATATCTCGTGAGGTATTACCAGCTTCTCAGTCAACTCTGGAATCCATGGCAGTGAGATACCATGCAGATCTGAGGAGTCTGCCCTCTCTCATAGACAATGAGAAAAGGTACAGCAAGAGTCACTCACATCTAAAGAAGGTATCTCTTAGAAAAGTTGCAGCAGACGTTAAAGGGACGTAGGAACACAGGAAACTATTTTGAGTCAGACATTGATCCATCTAGCTCCCTGTTGTTTACACTGACTGGTAGTGGCCCTTCAGGATTTCAGGCAGGAATCTTTAACATCTCTACCTGGAGATGCCAGGAATGGAACTTGGGACTTTCTGCATCCAAAGTAGATGCTGCGCCATGGAGCTACAGCCCTTCCCTGAGAGAACTCAAACTGTGGTCTTCTCTTCTGGGTGTCTTCTGTTGGTTTGGTGTCACCGATGCCTGAAAGGGATGCCTGTCAGATTCCTAACAGCAGTGCTTCCCCCCCCCCTTAAAAAAGTGTTTAGGGGTACTCTCATTTTGTCTCCAGAAAATCACCATTTTATAGTTCAAATTGGGAAAAATAAATACAATAAATGGAGAAAAGTACAAAGAACATGCATTACCTCATATTACACAGCTGACAGCTCACAGTAACTTCCACATTGGAAGTGCTAGATTCCAACTCCTGCTTTACACAGTAAACGCTCGCTTCCGTCTGAGACTGAGGAAACACCGTGACAGAAAATGAGGCCGCCATCTGGGGTACCAATGGAACTGATGATTCACTGTGCTAGAGAAGAAACTATTTTTTTAAAAGAATTAAATTCTTCTGCTGTTAGATTCACAAAATGTTTAGGGGTATGCATACCCCTGCGTACCCCCAGAAAAAAGCACTGCCTGACAGAGATGTGGACTGTGAGGGATGTTAACACAAGGGCTGTTAGATGTGTGCACTCCCTTGTGACAATTCTATGATCTGGACACTATCACTGGATTCCTTTTGCTGGATCATGTTACATAGGCCTGACCTAGGACCTCAGAACCCAATGGAACACATCCCTGAGGCTCCCTGTGGGAAGAATTATTTCATATATGTATTTGCTACATAACAATTTATAGGCCACCCTACAATCTAAGTTGTCTTTTCTATGCATTGGCATAACGTTTTACTACCTAAATGTATCATATTTAATAAAAATGACTATTTTTTTTTGCTTTTCAGCCTGTGCTGTATGTAATTGAATTGTAATTCCTCCCTCCACTGATCCTATTACCGGTGAAGAGGGAAAGCCCTTCTTCTCAAATCCATTAATAACACACTTAATTTTTTGTAAGTGCCAGAACCATGTGTTTCTTTGGCCAGTTGATTTCTTCCCCCCTTTGGGCTTATTCCAATATTAAATCTTTTAGTAAAACATCAAAGATGTGATTTCATTTAACAAGGATGATAAATTAATCACCATAGCTCTGCTTTCCATGTATGGTCTCCTGTAGCCTATAGTGAAAATGCACGTATCACAAAAAGAGAGGAAGCCAATTCCCTTTCTATTGAGGTGTTTTGACTGGATTGCTATAAGGGACTCTCCCTCTTGCCTGGGCAGCAAAATATTGTTAAGATCCTGAGGAAATTCTTTTCAGAGGTGGAGCCTTTCAGGCAAAGGATATAAGATTTCCCCTTGGTTAATAATATTTGCGTGCTCTCAGAACACTTTCTCCCTGGAATCTAGAAATGGATAATTTCATTTTGGTCCTTAACAGGGTATAAGAGATATTCTCAAGATGGGTTATTGCCCCCTTTTTCCTTTGCCTATTTCATCTTGTAGTCAATATTAATCAATAAGAATATGAACATGCATATTTATCTATTAAAATGCTGAAGTCTATGCCTGTAACTCACAATAACATTTCATGTGTCTGGGGAAGAAGACTGTATTCCACGAATACCTATGCCATAATAAATGTGTTCCACAAGACTGCTTGTAGCTTTTGAAGAACATCAAGCATGCATGTGAAAAGGCAAGTTGGTGACTTCTGAAGTAAAGGTGAATCAGGTGCCTGGTGAGGGAAGGGATGGTGTATGAGGGGGAAAACATTTTCCACTACCCTACATTCTTTGCCACTGAACATCTGGATTTATCTCATTTTTCTTGGGCTGTGCACACACAGCATTTTATTTTAGAATCAATGGGAACTGGATACTTGTTCTTTCTACAGAGCCCACAAACAATCTAGATATATTGCATAAGCGCTTTTTGAACAATGGGTTTCATTCTGAAAATAAAAGCTCATTGCAGACTGATTTGGCATTACCCCACAGTGTGTCAGTATGGAAACAGACGCAGGCAGTCTCAGCAATGGCTGGTGTATCTGCACCTGCCCAATGACATTGTGGGTGGGCATAAACCAATATTACCATTACCTTCTTCCTTCACTTGGGGCAAGTTCAGGGAATAAAAGGCAAAGGTAACCCAACCAAGGAGAAGATTTTAAATTGTTGTCAAGTAACCACACCCACCCAAGATCAATGTGGTCCGAAAGCAGCATGTTCAGGGTGAGCGAGAATGACTCCAGACTGAGAAAAACTACAATTTTGTGCTAAATGGTTTAGTGAATAAGAGCAACACCTTAATCCCGGGCTGATTCACACATGCACACAGATAATCTCTGTTAAAAAACAACAACATACCATACCATCGTGTGGGAAGATCACAGGAATGTTTGTTTTATTGCTGTGTGGAGCAGTATCCACACAACAACCCCCATACTGAATAAAAAAGAATTATAATAAAATAACTCAAACACACAGAAATGCCCCTAGATCTATGTTAAAAGGATTCCTTCTTCCAGTCCTGAAATGCCAAATATAAAGAAGAGCCATGTGAAACATCTCCTGTATTGGTCTATCCACTCATCTAGCTCTGAAATTCTTCACATACTGACCTCCTGACATAGTTCATTTTTGTGGAGAAAATTTCCTTGAATTGGGCTGGTTTTTCCCCTTTCCAAAGCCTAGTGGGTTCCCTCCCGCTTCCAACTGACCAGTAGTAAATACATTTAAGGGATTTTGCATTTACAATGCGGTCTACCCTTTCTGAATTGTCCTAATTAATCTCAGTCCAAAATCCCATTTTAGGGCATAGCTTCAGTCTAATTTATTGCCATATTTGGCTTTTTCCTTCTGAAGATGCACATTTTCTTCCTAGTGAAACAAAACATGGTTACATCATCCACAAAGCAGATGATTCAGAAACCTACTTTACCCTGGCTGGTTGTTAGTCGGAACAGTAAACATCTCATTTATTGTAGCGATAGCACAGAGTGATATCAAATGCCACTTTCTCAACAAAAATCCGGAAATGATACGAATAAAGTACATAATTACTCCTTCAGCTTTCTGGGTATCATAAAGAAAAAGTGTTAGAGAAGTTTCGAGAAAGAATCTTTATTGTGAAGGAGTTGGACAAGGCGTTAAAATCCAACCCTCTTTCATTTTAGAAATCAGCAGTCATCTTCTCATTGTTTCAGGCATTGAATGGGGCCTACTTTTGAGCCGACATGCATAGGATTTTCTAAGTGCAGTCTTAGGGCAAGTGTAGAATAAGTCCCGGCAGTTTTCAACCATTTTCCTCAAATGCTGCTATGCAAATTCTGTGTGCCACATGCTGTTTGTGGCGGCGGCGTTTTTATAGGTAGGCTATACTTGAGCTTCCTGTTGTATTTCCCATGATTGCAGCACAAAAACACAGTTACACAATTACTGGTAGACTTGAGTGCCTTTGAATGTTCTCCTAGCTGTGTAGGAGTTATCTATCTGTGAGTGGATCAAACGTGATGGGGGCTTCATCTTCTGCAGCCTTTGGAGCTTAGGTAGGTATTACACATCCATTGTGGTTTCTGGGGGATACACCTGATACCACCATTATTATATTTTAGGCACCACACTGGCTGAGTTTTTAATGGCTCTCCCTGTTTTATTGTAGTGATGTTGCTGCCTCAATAATGATAGCAATGTAGGCTCAGCCGTTTTTTAAAAAAAATTATTTAATAAAATTAAAAATGTTATTTTTCGTCGGGATTTTAAATTCTATATTGGGAGCCACTTCAAGAACTTCTCAAAGTGGAAAGGCAGGGTGCAGATACTTAAAATAAGTAAATAAATAACTTGGCCATGTAAAGGAAAAGGTAAAGGACCCCTGACAGTTAAGTCCAGTCACAGACGACTATGGGGTTGCGGCGCTCGTCTCGCTTTACAGGCCGAGGGAGCAGGCATTTGTCTGCAGACAGTTTTTCTGGGTCATGTGGCCAGCATGACTAAGCCACTTCTGGCGAAACCAGAGCAGCGCACCGAAACGCCGTTTGACTTCCTGCTGGAAGCACTGGTGTGCTTTCAAACTGCTAGGTTGGCAGAAGCTGGGACAGAGCAACGGGAGCTCACCCCATTGCGGGGATTTGAACCACGACCTTCTGATTGGCAAACCCAAGAGGCTCAGTGGTTTAGACCACAGTGCCACCCACGTCCCTAACTCGGCCATGTGAGTGCCATCAATTGCTAGGGTCTTTTCCGTAGCATTGGCATCCCACGGGGAGGGCACTGCCCGTTCCATGGAGAAGAGCCACACAATTGTTTCTGTCTACATGTTGGGATCATTTAGGGTGCAGCCCTATAGTCATTAAACTTTGAATAAGTGCCATGGTCTCAAAGAATAGAAAAAGACAGGATTGCATTGTTAGACATTCCCC